GAGTGGGGGTCCAAAAATCGTTCACTAGGAATATACCAAAACTTGTTTAAACTAATAAAATATATTTTTTAATATATTTAATCTAATAATAAATTATCTTAAACGTTGGTTCTTGAATGTTTACTTGAAACTCTTCCCTAAATTTCTAGCAAAGAATCTTTGGAAATTACCACAATGGTCTCCAAGTAGTTTCCACAGATAAAGCTAGTATCAGAGCTCGATTTTTTTCTTCATTCAAATATTTTTTGCGTAACGAAAATATTTCCGACGAAGACTGTTATTCGTGTACACTTCCTTTAAAACGACATGGAATTTTGTTATTGTATTGAATTGGCCTTCATGATATTTTTGAAAAATATTTATTTTAGATTTGATCGAATAAATGAGAGTTCTGGGTGCACAATTTCCGACCAGTTCTTTCTATCTCATTGTCATACAGGAAATCCAACACGAATTTTATAAATGCCCCCCCCCCCTTCAATCTTATCCATCCCTCNTAATAAGTTTGAATAGATCAGTATGATCCATATAATAAGTTTGAATAGATCAGTATGATCCATGTATTAAGTTTGAATAGATTAGTATGATCCATAAAATAAGTTTGAATAGATCAGTATGATCCATGTAATAAGTTTGAATAGATCAGTATGATCCATGTGATAAGTTTGAATAGATCAGTATGATCCATGTAATAAGTTTGAATAGATCAGTAAGATCCATGTAATAAGTTTGAATAGATTATTATTGGTCTAATCCACGAGATTTTGCTAATGATACTCTTGCTAAAGAAATGGTCGGAGTTAAACTCATTAGGCAAGGACAAGGGTCCAGAATAAAACTAATTCTGTTCATTTAATATTAGCTAGGTTCAGAATTATTTATATCTGATATCTAATTATCTTGATCATAATTTTTGGGATTGCTTATTTATCTCTAAGAAGTCCACTGCGTACTTCCAAATTATAGTATTATTAATAAGTGTATAATTGGTTTACCAGACTTTAAATGGAAATTTTAGTTAATTTAGTTTTTAACTTGAAAGTTATACTACAAAACCTAGATTTTTGTGATCTAACTAATTTACAATTTATAATTTAGATTTCTAAAAAAAGTTTTTTTTAGCGAGTTTCCTGCATCGAAAATCCCTCGGGCACCGTCTCAATCACAAGCTGTACTGCTCCAGTATATCCAAGGAAGACAATTATTTTTAAATATTTTTTTTAGCTTCAGTTAGGTGTGAACAAAAAAGATAAATCTTGAATTGATCCCGACTATTTTTGTCTTTCTTTGATGTTTTTCTTACTCAAAATAGATATTTAATATTTAATCTTTAAATTAGTAAACTTATCGCGATTTTTGATTCGAGCGGTTTCTCATGAAAGTCATACTTACACGTAGTTCAAAATCTCTCAGTTTTTATTTACAGTGAAATAGTTTTGCAAAATTTTAGATAATGCAATTTTCGTCGAGTCTGGAACCTAAAATGTTCTGAATGTTTAATGAACGGATAAAAGTAATGCCAACACTATTCAGCCTCCTAAACATAAAGTCAGATTTTCTTCTTTGTTTTTAGGAACTGTAAGCGTAGTTTCACGTGACCCTCCACAGGGGTGTATAATTACTCTCCCTTTTAACGTATTTTTGGCGCTCCGCGTAATCATATATAGTATGAACCTTCTGGGAAAAAATGATTTTAAAATGGGAGAGGGGGGGGAGAAAAGGTATTTTTTGAGAAAATATACACCCCTGCCTCCTTGCAAAGATTATTCGCCCGATTTTCAACGGTACCCTTAAAATCTTTGTTGAAGTAAGAATTAGCTTTGAATGTTTGTGTTTCTCTAAACTGTTTATTTTTATTTATTGTTTCTCAGCAAAAGTTACTTCTGCATTTCTTGCTTACAAGAAACAAATGCGAAATTTACAGAAATGAACATTTTTTGACTTATTGTCCACATTTTTGAACACATTGATGTTTCACGGTTAACGTTTTAAATCAGGAATTGTCATCTTTGCATGGAGGGTCACTTAAAATAACACTTATAGTCCCTTTAATGTTTATGGCTTTGGCTGAATTTTGGGAAATTTATGAAACAAAAACTTTATATCAAAATATTTAAACTTAAACTGATTTCCCTCCTTTTGTTTATTACCTTTCTCTATTCACAATATACATTATACAATAATTATAGTTGAAATTTGACAAATATCCAATATCCATTTACTGTGTGATATTAAATTCATAGATTAAATACAGAAAATATATTATACCATTGGTGTTAAAAAATGATTCTTTTGAAAATTAATATTAATTATAATAATTTACGTCTCAGGCGTTCATTCTCAACAAGTTCAAGGTAATTAACAAACATTTAATACAAAGATGGTAGTGTTGAAACAAAGTGTTGGTGCTTTTTTGCCATAAGAGGGAGGGAAGGCAACAAAGGCAACCTGCACCGAACAGCTTCTGAACCTCATTTTACCTATTTTATTTCTAAAAAAAGCCCTAGCCATTCCAAGATATGTTGAATAAAAATGTCTAGAAATAATAGATATTTTCTCTCTATTCTTGATTGATCTTTTGCGTTATTAAGGGAAAATATAATTTTTATTAATTTCTGACGGTCTCACAGAGTTGAATTTGAAAACTTTGTTTTAAACATTTCATTTGACGATTATAAATGGAAGAACATTCCTGGAAGACTGTTTGGGGAAAGATCAGAAGCCCTATGGTGACGCGTAGTGCCGCTAATAGGTAAAATGAGGTTGGGAGGCATTGCAAGGAGGTTGCCTTCCCTCCCCCATCATTCTCTTTTCATACTCATATTCTTTAATATTTATCCTGTTTGTTTTCTTCATTTTAGGAATATATTTTTATTTATTCTACCTGTTCTATATTCTATTCCGTTTAATCTTCCTATTCTAGTTACAGTATCCTTGTATTGAATATTGTTTATTCTTCATATTATTCTTTTTATTTATTCTATTCCTGTTCTATCTTATATTCTGCTTAATATTTCTATTCTGGTTACAGTATCCTTGTATTGTATTGAATATTAGATATTCATAATATTATTCTTTTCATTAATTCTATTCATTTTTTATATCCTTCGTTTAATCTTCCTATTCAAGTTACAGTATCCTTGTATTGAATATTGTTTAGTCTCGTATCCCTGCTCGAGCTATTGTAGAGCTGCAACCTAATCAACCAACTACAGGAATGGAGGATTATGTCAAATTTAGCTGAAGGGCCAGGGGTTGCCCGTGGAAAAAAAAATCGAAGAAAAGATAAAATTTTGAGGAAAAAATTGAAAAAAAATTCTAGTTTTTTAGCCTATATCACCCCCTGGCCACTTATGAGTGTCAAAAAAAAATTTCAGCCCAATCGGTCCAGCCGTTTGGCCTGGCTATACGCAACATATATATATATATATACGAATGTCTTGTTTTATTATATAGATAAATATTGTTGGAAATGGTTGAAATTGATTTTTTTTCTTGTCGAGGGAAAATAAAACTTTTGATTTAGATTTGTTATCTTTTTTCCGCTTTTTTTTCAATCCATGTTTTAATGTTTTAACACATTTTTACAAGTTTGATTTGAATAATGATTTTTTATATTTTTTTTGGTTACATTTTATTTATGGTATTTAAAAAAAAATTTACTTTGAATTAAAAAAAAAAAAAAATTATAATTTTTTTTTTTAAATTTTCTTTTGAACAGTTCGAATGGGTGAATGCGACTGTCCCTCCTCTGATTTAGTTCATGTTTATGATTCAAAGGAGATCTACAATCTCAGAATTACAGCTATAGGTAAACGATAGTTTTTTTTCTCTTTTGCAAATATTTTAGGTTAAAAATATAACTTGTGATTTGGAAGTGTGATAAATATATATTCACCCCTACCCTCATGTGCCCCACTTCATTAAAGGGGGTGGGGGAGAATACTAGGTATTTTAAATCACCCCCATCCCTCCCCTCCACAGCAATATTTGTCTTCGCAGTTATCAGAAATGACGTTTCGGTATTACGAAACAAGGATTTGTTCACTACTATCTGTATTTTGTGTTTGTATTGTGACTAATATACACTTGTAAGTTGTAGTATAAGGTAGAACCTAGACACTAGACAGACGATTTAACTCTAGAAATAAAAACCTTTGTTGTGTGCATCTTTGATCTTTTTTTAATTCCTTTTCGATATCCTGTGGTGGTTATACCCTGCCAAGACAACTTAAATTATGGGATAAAGCATTGTTCCTAAAATTAAAGCCCCCACATCGGATATCGAGATCAAATAAATTTCCCATTTAATAAAATTTAATCTAATTAAAAAATAAATGAAGATTAAAATTCAAGAGCATTTCAAAATTGTCTTCTTTTTCTCTCAAAATTCATGTTAATCTTACACAATAAACATTTCACACATTATTTCATTAATTATTTCTCAAGTATGTGAAGGAGTTTTAAAAGGTTGAATATTTTACGATTATAAATTGTGGAGGGCCAGGGATGGGCGAAATTAATGAAAATATTTTTCCCTGAATTAGTTTTTATATGAGGATGATCTTTTGTTTTAAATATCTTGAAAATAATGATATTTTATTTTAAATATTTTGATAAGAATGATAATTTCCAGGTGTTTGAATTTTATATTCTTTTTAACATGTGTACCTTAAGCATTCTATTTATGCGTAAATTATCTTCCAATGCGTATATAATTGGAAGTCGCGGTCAACCTCGCCGAGTGTTGTGGGCGGGAGGGGGAGAGGGGGGGGGGGAAAGATTCATTGTTCAGAATTCAGATAATAGTCAGTAAACCACTCGGTGTAACTAAGCTAAACTTATTTTGAAATTGATATATTTAATTCATGACCTTAAAAATCTATATATAGCACCATGTTTTCAAGGCGAATAATGACAAATTTAGCTTTTAGCTGTTGTTCTGAAAGGCGCCATATTTATCATTCTCATATTTTCGCGGATTTTGTGTTTAAATGGGCGCATTTCAAAATAATTAAGTGCATAAAAATTTTCCGGCAAAATTTGTCAAATTTTACGGTCTATTACGCTTCCTTGTGGTCAAATGAGTTGCCTCAAGAATGTGGGCCCGATCGGCTGAGACTGTTTGACAAATAGACAAACAAGCAAATAAAATATACTTTACTAGACTATCTTCTATTTCAATTGTTATCATTTTCTCTATGTTTAAATTGTAAAACAAAAAGAAAAAAAATTCGCGGATTTTATAAAAAAGCATGCGCGGATTTTTAAAATTTAATGAAAATCGCTATTTGTCCTGTGCCAGGTTTGGTATTTTAATGATATGTCCTGTGCCAGGTTTGGTAATAAAATGATTTGTCCTGTGCCAGGTTTGGTAATTAAATGATTTGTCCTGTGCCAGGTTTGGTATTTTAATGGTATGTCCTGTGCCAGGTTTGGTAATTAAATGATTTGTCCTATGCCAGATTATTTGTGCCAGGTTTAATATTTGATTGCTTAAATCAATTGTTAACATTCACCTTTTCCTTTTAATTTTATTTACAGCTGAAAGGGTTGATCGTTGGTAAAGCATGATAAAAAAAACAAATTAACGCAAACGCATGAATTTCCCAAAAACTGTTGAACAAATAACGTCCAACAAAATATGACGTATCAAATCTGAACTTTTCTTAGTACGTACTGTTTGTCTGTACCCGACGTATCAAATTAGTTTCACATGTAAATTCTGTACTGTATTACTTATTAAATTACTATACTGTACGACGTACGTGAATAATGATTGATTATTAATTGTACAGGAGCAAACCATTGTCCAGGATCTGTTATGTTTCTATTCGAGAGATTGGATGAAGAAGGAAATATTATTAAGAGGTAAACTGATTAACTTTCATAAGCTTGGTGTAATTTCAAGTGACCCTTCATTTATTGGGCAGCATGTCCGATTTACAACGGTATCATACAAAGTTTGTCGTTTATTTAATTTTCGGTTTCTTTACAAGAGGAACTTCCGCATCTCTTGCATCGGAATCGATCTAGGGAAATAGAAACAAGATAAACGATGCTATCTTCTAGGTTTGCAGATTTCTAGGCTACTGTTGTCAATCGGACATACCCCTTTTTTTAATGGATGTGTGTGGATAAGATATACACAGATATACATTCTGTGGCGTTATCTAAATCTACTTTGCTCTTTGGTAGAGATGATCAGTTAACCGAATTAATATAAAACCCTTAAACTACAAGTTTTGAAAAGAGAATGAACTTGACGGCATAAAATCACAAATAAGATTTTTTATATTTTATTTGCACTAATTATTAAGTTTTTCTTTCTTAAAAATTGTTATAGATGTTAATTAGTCTCTCTGCAAAACTGATTCTTTTGTAAAGATAATAGAAATATGTTAGAAATTGCATCTAAAAATTCAAAGAAGAGACATAATAATGGATGATTTTTGTAAACAAACTGCCCGGCCCCCTCATCCTGTTTCCATATTTTTCCCTTCAGTATATATCAATAATTGATTAATTAATGGATTGCCTATTAATGCTTAAAATGTATCGATTAGAACAGAGGTAGAAACTGTTCCCAGAGATATAAACTCAAAACTTAATCGCTTTCCTTTTGATCGAAAGCTTACTGGTCTAAGGATCTTACTATTATGGAATTTAAAAAACGATTTAAGGGTAATCACTGGGCACTGCTCAAATATTAGGTCTTTTTGAGGTAATGTTACATCGTCTATACGCAACATCCCCCTACTGAACTTCTGACATACCAACTTTCCGACCTACTGCAACATCGGACCTACGCCAGCTATTTATTTTTGTATTATTTGAGGGTTAGGTTAGGTTAAGACAATTTCTGGGCCGAGCGCTGCGGATAGGACAGGCTAATGGGCCGAGCGACAGGCTAGGGGGCCGGGCGCTGCGGCCACAAGTCTATATTGCAGCTGTAAAACCACGTGCCAGTAGGTCGGATGTGTAGTATAGCGGGATTTGGCGTAGGTCAAAAGTGGAGTATAGCGGATTTGCGTAGGTCGAAAAATACACCACCCTTTTTGATTTATCAAATTGTTCCAAAATCCGTTTTTTTTTGTAAAAAACTTGATCAATTACAAGTTAATTCCTATTAAGAACTAAATTAAAATTTGCATCCAAGAAAGATGTGAAATTTATGACCTTTTTAGGCTAAAAATAAGGAATTTAATTGTTATCTTTGCCTCTCATTCAAAATCCTTGAATATGATATATGCTGATCGAAATGGTGAATTTGTTTTATCATGACTTCAAGATAATTTACAAACGTTTTGAAAGTTCTAGCACTAAAGCTGAGCATTGGAGAAGCTGAAATGTCCTTTTTAAACATATTTCTCTAAGCGCTTAAAGCTAAAGAACCTACAACCCAACCCAAATTTTGCTTTTGTATTTATTTTTCTTGGATGTACTTTGTACAGTGTACACGTTAAATTTAGATCTGAATGTGAATTAACCAGTATTTGTTTAGGTAAAAACATGAAATTATCAGATTTTTTGTCCTAATAACTTGATATTTGAGTAGTGTGGGAAGGGATTTAGTAAATACAAATAATAAACCTTTTTTTATCCCAGGATTCTATATACTGGTGATTTCCGGTTTGACGATTCTGCTCTCTCTCAACTTCATTCTCTTCATGATAGATCCGGTCAACCACTACCCTTAGGTTAGTTTACATCAAGATTCAAGACAATACCCTTAGGTTAATTTATATCAAGACAATACCTTTAGATTAGTTTACATCCAGACAATACCTTTAGGTTAGTTTACATCCAGACAATACCTTTAGGTAAGTTTACATCCAGACAATACTTATAGGTTAGTTTACATCAAGACAATACCTTTAGGTTAGTTTACATCAAGACAATACTTTTAAATTAGTTTACATCCAGACAATACCTTTAGGTTAGTTTTCATCCAGACAATACCTTAAGGTTAGTTTACATCAAGACAATACTTTTAAATTAGTTTACATCCAGACAATAACTTTAGGTTAGTTTTCATCCAGACAATACCTTAAGGTTAGTTTACATCAAGACAATACCTTTAAGTTAGTTTACTTCCAGACAAGACCTTTAGATTAGTTTACATCCAGACAATACTTTTAAGTTAGTTTACATCCAGACAATACTTTTAAGTTAGTTTACATTTTACTGTGGCTGTGGCTGGCACCCACAGCCCCATCTGCTCAGAATAAAAATATTTCTTCTTACGTTTGTATTTTACTTAAAAGAGTTTTAGGAACAAATCAAAGATTTCATAAAAACATTATGGATGGACCATTTCAGTTTTTGTTTTTGTTTTTGTTAATTTAGATGAGATGTATTTGGACACAACATTCTGCTCTCCACATTATAAGTCTTTTCCCACCAGGTAAACATTCATCCTTCCATTCATCCTTTCATTCATTCATTTCATCCTTTGATGTATTCATTGATTTATCCTTTGATTCATCCTTTGATTCATCCTTTGATTCATCCTTTGATTCATGCTTTGATTCATCCTTTGATTCATTCTTTGATTCATCCTTTGATTCATTATTTGACTCATCCTTTTGTTCATTCTTTTATTCATCCTTTAATTTATCCTTTGATATATGCTTTGATTCATCCTTTGATTCATTCTTTGATTCATCCTTTGATTCATCCTTTGATTCATCATCCTTTGATTTATACTTTACTTCATCCTTTGATTCATCCTTTGATTTATTTATTGAATTATCCTTTGATTTATCCTTTGATTTATCCTTTGATTCATCCTTTGATTTATTCATTGGTTTATTCTTAGATTTATCTTTTTGTATTCTTTGATGTATTCTTTGAGGTATCTTTTGAGGTACCCTTTGATGTATCCTTTGAGGTATCCTTTGATTTATCCTTTGATTTATCCTTTGAATTATCCTTTGATTTATCCTTTGATTTATCCTTTGATTTATTCTTTGATTTATTCTTTGATTTATTCTTTGATTCATCATTTTATTCGTCCTTTTATTCATTGATTTATTTCCATTCATTGTTTCATTGATTCCTCGTTTTATTCATTTCTTCATTGATTGACTCATTGATTCATTGATTCTGTCATTGATTCATAAATATATTCAATGATTTATTAATTCATTGATTCATTAATTAAATTTGTTTATTGAATTATTCATTAATTCAATGATTCATTGATTTTTTATTTTTTGATTCATTGTTTATTCATTTATTTTTTATTCATCCTTTGATTAATTTATTCATGAATTTGTTTTTATTCATCCTTTGATTCATTAATTCATTTATTGATTCGTTCTTCCTTTCATTCACTGATGCAATGATTTGTATAAGTTAAGTTTTATCAATTTATTTATTTGAAGAAGGGAAGCCGAGTCTAAGATCTGGGACCAATGTGATAAATGGATTAGAAGGAATGTCTTTTTGTATTCTTATAATTTATATAATTTATAATTATACTTTCATATTAATATATGTACAATCTTATATCCTTTTTTATACATGAATTGATGACATATCTTACATATCAAGAAGTAATCTCTGTTGTCTGCTCTAATGCAAATCAACAGAAATTAAAAATCGCCTTCATCCTGTTAACCAAAATAATAATATTTTTAGATATTAGCACGAAACTATGAACTGAACAACGCGCATTTTAAAAGATACTAGAATTTTATAAAATTAATTTAATTAGTTATCTTCTAAACAATATTAAACACGTTTTGACCAATATTACATGATATTTTCAAAACTGTTTTATTTTGTTCAAATTTCTAGTGAACTTAATTTTTTATTTTATTCGAACTGGGATTCTTCTTTCTTGTTAACAATAGTGTAAAAACTAAATATTCGGAATAATAACTATTACTAGATTTTACACTCAAGTTTGACATTTGAATTTTATCTATGGGCTGAATTGAGATGTATTGGAAACTAAAATATTAACAGTAATATCTTCAAAACTTACTACTATCATAATATATATTTATCATTTATATTTGACTAAAGCAAAAGTACATAGAACAACATAAAAAGTTAAAAATTTACTACAAATACTCATTTCTCTGGATATTGCATTTTATAAATATTATTACTATTTGACAGAATACAATAAGAACCAAATCAAGAATGGTATTCATATATTATTATACTAGCTGAAGGAGGGGAGGAAGGCCAACCACAACAATTTCTCGTCCGAGTAACATTCTCCACATTTTCTCGTCCGAGGTACATCGAAATCCTAGTCCTTCCAATATTATGTTTTTAAGTGCCAATCCTCCCAGATAACAGGGCATCAATGAAATATTGAATATTTGTAAATCGGAAAAAAAGTTTAAATTGAATCAAAGTTTTAAGTTTAATGTCCTTCAAAATGTTTACCTTTTTTACGCGCATTTTCAGACATTCCTGTTTTAGAATGCCGCAAACGAGTCCGAGTTTATAGAACTTGAATCTTCTTGATTAATTATAGTGAAAATCATGGAATTTTTCTGGGTGGTTCCATTGGAAAAATTAAAGGCAGAGGTATGCCTAATATTTTGCTATTTATTCTTTAGCGCTAAGGTTAGCCATTACGGAGGCAGACAAGATTTAAGTTTTACCTAAATAAAGTTTGACACCATTCTCATGGGTTTGAATACTATAACATGATTTAAAGATTGCAGTATTTTAGTCTTTCCTTGTTTTTTTGCCCTAACGTGGCCAGATTAAAAAAGGATGGAAACTTTTCAATACATGATGATCAAAGGACGAGGATTCCGAGGTGGCTCGGACGAGAAATAAGGAAAATGTGACTCGGACGAGAAATTCTTATGGTTAGCTTTCCTCCCCTCGCTGAAGCGCCCAACGCCGTGAAATAAAGAAATTGAAAAGTAAAATTTGAAAGAAAAATTCCCATCTTGAAAACAAAATTCGATTTTTTAGCATAATGTTACTCCCGAAATACCCGTGGGTTTACTCAGCCAAGTTGGTGCAGCCGTTTAGCCAGCTATAGCTCACACACATATATATATATATATACTAAATATATGAGCGAAAAGCTTTATTATATAGATAACAGAATACAATAAGAACCAAATCAGGAACGGACTGCTGAGGAATACAAGAGGAAAGCATGTTATTCTACTTCATCTTCCTGCCAGGTATTATATTTATTCATTGTTCCCCTAAATCTTGTTGAATATACAATATACATATATATACAATTAATAATAGTATTTACGTTTATTTTTGACAAAGCCCCGACTTCTACGGAATGATAGTTGATTTGGATTTTTGTTTTAAAACGATAATTAGATAATAGCAAATAATTACTGAAATTGTTAATGTTTGAAAATAAGATTGTACCTTAAAAAATAAAATAGAAATAAGTTTTCTTGTTTTCTCTTTCTATCAAGTCCCATGAGTAAAATTTAAAATTTTAATTCTTTAAAATTTGACCGTTATTTTCTTACTGAGTTTTGTCCTACAGAGGATGGTGGACATGTCCTATTTGATGAGGGGAGGGGGCTTGCATTCATTTTTGGTTTAAATCTTCCAATTTTTGAGCTGCACGCCTAACTTGTGTTCGAATTCCCAAAAATGAAATAAAATTGGACACTGATGACCTCGATAAATAGAAAAGGTTTCAACTATGGCTTCATGTCTATCAAACGAAAGCTAGGAACCCAGGAAATACAGTAGCGGCAACTTATCCAGTGTTTGATCTTATAATGGCCTATAATGACCTCCAAAATGAAAATCTTTCAACTATGACTTTATGCTTATCAAACGAAGGCTAGGATAGGAAACCCAGGCAATTCAAAAGTAGCAACGAATTCAGTGTTTGACCTTCTAATGACTTTAAAGTTAAACTTTGGTCGGGCCGAACAGGGATATGTTTTACAAGTTTCTGTACTTTTGGGACTTCTTATTGAGAAACTTCTTGCCCTCTATGAATGAATCAATGATTACCAAATCTGATGATTTTTTATTTGCCTTTTTTTCTGCAACATTTAACAATATTGAAAATATTTATAGTTATTTATATCCAGTTATGTTTTTTTAAACTAATGGTATGTGTGAACTGTGTACTGTGCTGTGTGCGTGCATTATCAAATGTTTGAAATGGCAATGCAATGTTAATGTTATTTCATAATTTCTGGCGAATAGCATAAAAACATAAAAAAATATGCTAGAGTTTAGGGGTTTATTTATATTTTTAATTTTTCTACTAAATTTCCTCTTTTGTTAGTTATTTGTTGTGAATCGAAAACGCCACAAATTGTCGTGTTTTAATCAGTAATGGTATTATCTTTAACATTTATTGTTTTGCTTGTCGCATTCTTCAGAATTATGCCTACGACCATCTCTAAAAATAAAAAAATGTGTCCTGAAATTGTGGTTGACTACAAGCTACAAGCTGCAAACTTTTAAAGTTCAAATAAATAATTCTGATTTTGTATTAGATACGGATACGAGAGAATTCTCAAGTCTATTCACGAGCAATCTAGGAAGAATTGGAGAGTTCATGTTAACAAAGGTTAAGTAAATATATTTACGATAATAATAATATTGGAGGGTTCATGTTAACAAAGGTAAAGTAAATATATTTACGATAATAATAATATTGGAGGGTTCATGTTAACAAAGGTAAAGTAAATATATTTACGATGATAATAATATTGGAGGGTTCATGTTAACAAAGGTAAAGTAATTATATTTACGATAATAATAATATTAATATTATAGTCGAAATAATACAAAATATATTGAGTAATTAATTAGCTGGAAAGTTGTAAAGATCGAATTCCTAATTATTTCTCATGAACCTTTTACCAAATATATAAACACTTCTTTAATTCAAATTAACCAAGGAAACAATTATTCCTGAACTGGTACACCACAAAACTGTGATTAATGCATAGTATATTTAATATACCTTAAAGGTCAAACATTTTTCTGGAATCCTTTAAGAACTATAATACAATTCTTCTCGGTATTTGACGTGCCAGGTTTTTCAATTTCATCATTAACCACCATTTACCCAGGGCCATTTTAATTTCTGAGATAAATGCCTTTTGTAAACATGTCTTAGAATTAATTGAAAACTAGTATTAGGTTTCTTAAAAATAATTGACCCTTGGCCTTCTTTCAACTAATTGCTTGGAGAAATGTAAAGTATAAAGATTTGATTTTGTTTGTTTTAATTGAGTTGAATTAATTTTATAAAAAGTTTAAACGGTTAGAGAAATATGGAACTTGGTATTCGACCACGTGAGTACTTGCATATAACAAATACAATGAGTACATGTGTAGAGCAAAAATTATTTATGATTTTACTTGGATAGACAGGATAGACAGGATAGACAGGATAGACAGGATAGACAGGATAGACAGGATAGACAGGATAGACAGGATAGACAGGATAGACAGGATAAACAATATAGACATAATAGACAGGATAGACAGGATAGACAGGATATTGTTTTCTTGAAAAAAGAGATAAATCTGGTCAACTTGTAACTTTTATGGAAAACATGCATTTGAAAACATTAATTTACAGAAAGGAAAAGAAGAATGTCTTATTTTTAACGAGGCAATTTTATTTGAAGGATACCCATAAGAACCATACATGTTAAATTTCGTTGATAATCCCTTTCAGTTGTGTGAATTGTCCATTATCTAGGTTTGCCAGATCCGACCTTGTGCAATGTATTTCAAAACAGACAAGATGGAAAGCCTAGAGAGAGCGGGCAGTGATGCCATCATGTCAGTAACACAAGGAGGAAACAATTACAGGTTAGCGCAGTTTATTTCATTAAAGTTGGTGTAGGTTGTAATTTTAACTGACTATTCAGGGTTTGCTACAGTTGTCATTCTAGCCTAGAGGAGCTCAAAACCTTCGTTCAGTACTTTTTACCAAAGGAATTCATTCAAACTCTAGCGAGAGGAACTTGCTTTCTCATTTACCGGAAAAAAAGGGCGGCTGTTGTGGCCGTGGGCAATGTCCCGTAAAATTCCAAAACAGAGAGAGGGGGATTGAATTTTGTAGATCCAGAAAAATAATCAAATTAGTATTTATTTAGGGTTAGGTTAGGTTAAGACACTTTCTGGGCCAAGCGCTGCGGCCACGGGTTAGTTTAAGTTATCGACACTTTCTGGGCCGAGCGCTGCGGCCACATGTCTTATATTTAAGACCCCACCAGCTGCCAGTCTCTACGCAGGCATCCCACAGATATTATTTTTCTGGATCTACAAAATTCAATCCCCCTCTCTCTACTTTGGAATTTTACGGGGCATTGCGCACAACAGGAATCCCACTCCGCCGAGAAAAAGTAATTGAAATTAGAGGTGGGCGTAGGGGCAGTGCCCAACCAAATCCCCACCATAAATTATATTTTCCCTTCTAAAGCTTACAACCCTAGGAATTTATTAAATTTGCAATACTGTTTGAATGCCGAGGTTTAGAGAATAATACCATGTGCTATACCATCCAGCTCCAGTAGGGAGGAAGTAGCGAAGATCCTGTTATCCTTCCTAAACCCGGAGAAAAAGGATGAGGAGGAAGAGGAGGACCCCAACCAGTCCCAGATTATCTCAAACCAAGTTCAGCAGTTCACAGAGTTCTCTCAAGTTAATGTTCCGCCAAGGTAAGTCCCAACCTATTCTGACTAATCTAATCTAAACATGTCTCAACTTAGCATTAAAGTAATCTTCAAAAAATTTACCCTATTTATCAAAACTTACTAAACTCTAAACTCTTAACTTATCCCAATTATTCCCAACTTTTTAACCTTATTCCAACGAAACCCAACGTATCCCAACTGTTAGCATCTTACCTCACCTTTTCTAATTGATCCCAACTTACCTTAAACGATCCCAACTTTACCAATTTATCCCAACGTACCCCAACATATGCCAACGTATCCCATCATGTCCCAACTGTTTGCAACTTTTTCCAACTTATTCTAACTTATTCTAACTTATCACAACTATGTATGTTTACTATGTTACAACTGTGTAGGGACTCAGGATCAGAATTTGACTCCTTCGACTGGTTTAATGATTTATCAGAGAAAAAGAATATTGAGAATAAGAATACATCTGCCGAGAAATTCAGGATTTCATTCGATAATACTGTTACGATAAACTTGCGACGGTAAATATCACATTTTTCTTAATCTTAAATGTCCAAATATTTTTATTTTCCGTTAAGTTATTCGTTCTAACAATAATGTTGCATTTAATATAGTATTTATCACAATTTTTTAGTGTGCGGAAATATGATAACATTTATATTTGAGTTATATTAAATAGCGATTAGATTAAAATATCAAATAGCTAAAAATCGTTGGCAATTATAATTTAGTAAATGTGAAGTAGAAACTTGAAAAGTGAAGACTACATTTTCAGAGTTTCAACATATAACTGCTCGCACTCATCGACGACATTATTAAAGCGACTCATAATCTTACTACATCAATTTTTGTCGTTTTTAAAAGAAATGAAAGTTTAGAAAATGTCAAAATGAATTTTATCTTAAAAATAAAATAGAACTTAGAAAGCTTTTAAACTGGACATATTTGGTTTTATTAAAATAAAACCAGTTATTCTGTAAAAAATATTCTCTCTGCGAGATTGCTGCATAAGATTTGGTTTTATTTTAATAAAACCAAATCTTTCCAGGTAAAAAGCTCTCTAAGATCTATTTACTTTTATACAAGGACACTCACAAAAGATAACGAGCATAATCTCTTTAAATCAAATGATTTGAATGTTAAAGGGGGGGGGGGGGTCCAATGCGACACTTTGTGACAGCAAAATTTTGTACAGGCTACGTATGGTCCTAAACATTGAGATGGAAGACTGAAATTTTGCATGCAGCCTCAAATTGTGGTCATCTACATATATCACGAAGAAAATTGAGATCGGAGGTCATTGACCTCCATTTTGACCGCCATAAACTCAGAAAATACTTGAAAATGCCACTTTTAAAAAAACATATATCCGACCTCCAGTTTGACCTTCCTTTGATAACGACCTGTAAGAAGGTCAAAATATTAAATCAATGAAAATTAGTGATCTGAGGTATCAAATCATACGTTTTTTGATGTTTCGATTTCCTTTTGAACCCCCGTTTTGACTATAGATGATCCTGAAGACATTTGACCTCCAGATATGAATGGCCTCCGGAGGTCAAACTATTAAATCTATGAAATTAAGACATGTCAAGTCAAGATTTTATTTAAAAATATTTGCATCTAGTGATGGAGGGGAAAGTACTGATGACGAAATAGAGGATTTTGATGAAAGAATGGAGGAGAATGAGGAGAAGGAAGAGAAAAGGAGAAACCTAGTGGTTGGATCCTGGAGCAGTATTGAGATCATTCCAGGAATAATTCAGGTAAATCCTCTTATCCTCTATCATCTATCCTCCCTCCCCCTAACCGCTTCTTATTCATCCCGCCAAACCCCCTGGGATTTAACGATCACTTCCCTCTTCCTTTTCATCGTTCCTTCCCTCTTCCCTTCCATCTTCCCTTCCCTCTTCCCTTACCTCTTCACTTCCATTCACTTTCCTATTATCTTCCTTTACCTCTTCACTTCCCTATTCTCTTACCTCTTTCTTTCCATCTTCCCCTTTCCTCCCCTTCCTCTCCTCTCCCATCCTTTCTCCCCTTCCCCTCCCCTTCTCCTCTCTTTTCCCTGCAAGGGACCTTTTTTCCCTTTTCCCTTTGTTTTCAATTGGCGAGTAATAAAAAATAAAAAAACCACACATCTGATTATCTAGAATACTCGCAGAAGGAAAGATTTTAGAAAATTGATATTTAACAAAGTTATATTGAAAAGAGCACACATGATGTGGGGAACCTGACTATCCCTCTTAATGATGACTTTTTACATTTACATTGACGTAGGATTTATTTTTTCTTAGAAATCCAAATACAATTTTTTTTTTCAAGAATAACAAAAATTTCAATTTACGAACACTTCAATTGAGATAACTGGGAAACATGAAAAGAAGCACATTTAATTTTTTTATTTTCTTGTTTTAACTTTAGTGGTTGAAGGGCCAGAACGCAATCTTTTAACTAAAAAATGTCAAATATTTCAGAAGAAAACAATTATAAAATATAAATAGTTCAGGGGTTAATAATAATAAATATTTTAAGGATAAATAATAATTAATCTCCCATATTCTGTGGTGATTCCTTTTTTCATCTTTTTCTCTCTCATCTGTTATTTACTACGCTTGGTCGATTTTAATTTATTAATTTACTGTTTTTCTTTTATATTAAATTCAAATTCTAATTAATTGGTTTTAGGAATCCTCGGATTGTGAGGCTGAGGTTAATATTTGTACTATTACGCCAACATCATTTAAAGGTAACGTACGGCACACAACAGATACCTTTCCCAGGGTTCACCGACATAGGGTCAAACGACCTGCAGGGTTAAACGACTTGCAGGGTCAAACGACCTGCAGGATCAAACGACCTGCAGGGTCAAACGACCAACAGGGTCAAACGACCTGCAGGGTCAAACGACATAGGGTAAAACGATCTAGGGTCAAAGGACAAACGGTCAAAACGCGACAAAGTGTCAAAATGACAAAAATATTTAAACAAGAAATTGAATTATTTCATGGTCAGGTTATGTTCAAATGAATATAAAAATAGTTCAAATGAACCAATAAAAAGTCTAAATAAAAGTCAACTTTTCTGACCTTATGTCTTTTTACCCTAGGTCGTTTGACCTTTGGTCGTGTTTGTGACCCTAGTCGGCGAATCTTTACCAGGCTTTCCTCAACATTTTTTTCTGATGACGCTATAGTGTTTAAACGTTTAATCGAGATCTTGGATTTTACCAATGAAACGTTATCTTTTTTTCAAAGACAAGATGGACTCAAGTTTGACATTTACGCAGCTATATATATATATATATATGTCGGTGAATGTATATATACTTTGCTTTTCATTTTGTTTGTATCACATAAAGGTCAAAACAGCTGAACAGATCGGGCTCAATTTTTGTGTTTTACCTCTCGTCACCCCAGGGAACGTTTATGGATGCTCAAAATTTCAAAAATGAGAATCCAAAAAGAATTTATTTTCGTAAAATTTTAGAAGTCCACGAACTCGAATATTGTATGAAGAGAAAATGCTCACAGATAAAGCAACAATTAAAGTAAAAAGTCAATGCGGGAATCTTTTCTTTGAACCATTTAAATATTCTTTTTTTATGGTTTCCTCTTTTCCATCGTACGTGCATTAGAATATTTAACTCGAGATTAACATAAAATAATCGCTTTATGGAAATATTATTTCCGTAGAAACATTTTTGTAAATAAATATCAAATATTTTAGGAGAGGAAGTGTTCTCTGAAACTACGAAGGCAAACCATTCATGAGAAATAACAAACTTTTTTATTTCTGAAGAATAAATAAGTTTTAATTGCAACAGGGTTAAGCAACTACTCTGTTCCGCTTTTAAGTATGGAAAACCACCGTCATTTAATATTTCCATTTTTCTGTTTCAAGTGTTAATCAGATAGAGATATAAATGGAACAATTAGTTAATAAGATATAGATTTAAATGGAAACAAGGGCGTATACAGGGGGGGGCATGGGGGGCAGTGCCCCCCCTAGAATTCTGCAAGCCTTTCACACTTTTCAAATCTTAACTGAAGAGTGAAGAACACAAAAAAAATAAGTTTGCTTTTCATGATTATTATAAAAAATCAAAATTTTAAAATATATATAATTACAGTGCAGTGCTCATGCTGTAACCAAGTTAACCTAACCAACCTAACCTAATTTTAACTTTTAAGTTCACAGAGTACACAGAGTTTAGTTGGGTTCAGAGAGCTCGGAGCTAGGAGCTCCTAGGGGGGGCAAAAAAAATTTTGCGCTTCGCGCAAATCTTGCCCCCCCTAGATTTATTTCTGTGTACGCCCTTGAATGGAAACAATAGTTAATCAGAAATAGGCTTAAATGGAACAATTAGTTAATCACATATAGATTTACAGGGAACCAATAGTTAATCAGATATAGATTTAAATGGAACAATTAGTTAATCACATAGAGATTTAAAGGGAACCAATAGTAACCCAGATAGAGATATAAGGGAACCAATAGTGAAAGAAAAGGGAACCTCAGGATAACCAGAGCTTTTGGCCTCTTATTCTAACAACGGAGGTCCTAGATAGTAAGAATTGTGAATGAAAAAAGCTGTTCAATGGAATTAATTGTGAAATGTGAATCCTTAATGGTCAACTTCAATTTACTTGAACAATCCCTTGAATGTTGTTGGTCCAGGTTTCTTCCCTGAGCAGGAGGAAAAAGTTTGCCCGGAGTAAGACGGATAAGACCTACTACTCTATGCCGGTACACCCGGATACTGAAATGGAAGCCAATCATCCTAAGGAAAGAAGATCTTCAATGCCAAGCAATATGAAACTACCGCTTATCAAGGTATGAGGAAAATAATGCAATATTTTTTTCACCATCAAGAGTGGGACTCCGAAAAGTTGCTATTCTTATTGGGTCAAGTTTTTTTGAGACACTGCCCTTCTTGCAGTTATAATTCGAAATCTGCTGAACTTCTCTTTTTACTTTGTGTTTGGAATAGGTTTAGTTCATACAACGTTATTCACCGTTTGATTCTTCATTTATTTCAAATTATATTTTATGATTTTACGTTAGTTCAGTTTCCTTGGAAATATTTTCCTTAAAATTATTTTCAGGTTACCCCCTCCTCCCCCAGTATAGACTTCAATCATCCAGATTATCCGGAATTTTTCCAAGTAAATACTGAATAGTCAATAGAAACATTTTTTAAAAGAAAAAATTCAATTAATTTACGAAAGAAAAAAAATTCTTAAAATTTTGTTCCAGGATAAACTTTACCTGGAGCACGTTGGGAAACCATTGAGTGGCGGAAAGAAAGGAGAAGGATGTAATGATGGAAGGAGTAGAGAAGGGAGTAGGGACTCGGAGCTGAATCTGAAACTTAGTGAAGACACCGATGAAAATTCTAGCCTGGACCATCCTGCATGCTCTGCTGATGCTACTTCTTCATACCCTGCTGCTGCTACTCCTGCATACCCTGCTGCTGATACTCTTACGTCTGGTTGTATAACTTCTAGCTGTGCTTCTGCTCCTGCTTCTGTATGTCTTGCTCCCACTGTTCCTGTAAGCACTGCTGCTTCTCCACCTACGGGCCATGCTTCTGTTTCCCCTGTTTGTGAGAAAGATAATGACCTAGATTCTCCTAATGATGTTCGCAGGTATTTCTAAATCTTCGTTAAAAGAACCAGCTTTCGACCATAAAAGAAAGTTCTTAAATAGTTAATTTGTTAGTTAAATTGTTGATTTTCGTAAAGACAATGTCAAAGTAGTAAAGAAAACTATGTAAATCTTCCAAAACTTGGTAAAATTTAACCACCTTTTTGTATCATAAAAATTGTTTTAGATTTTTATACTTTAGTATCATTGATTGTATTTTATATTTTAAATTTTAGACAAATTTCTCAATATCTCAGTCAATTCTCTAGGTATTACATTTTAAAGATCCAAAAACAAGGAGCATTTGATGCTACTCATCTCTCGGAAGGAAATTTTATGTTCACAAGATATTAGCTACAGTATCTCATTTCTCCTCTTATACTAAGACTCTTCTCTGTTTTGGACCCTAAACTTCACTTTATTATTTTTTTTAAGTAAAAACGATAGACAGAATGAAAATGTGTAAGAATAAGTATAAGTCACTGCACATCATACATAGATTAAAGAAAGTTCACTAAAATCTAGGGTTCACTTAGCAATTAAAGCTGTGAAGGCCATCGGCAAAAATTCATGTCTTAAAAATGTAAGCTGGCACCAAACAGTGTAAATAGGTTGATAGGGCGTGGTTTGTTACTGGTTAGTCCAATACGACAAATGTAAAATAAGTAATAGAAATTATCTACGCAAGTTCCACGAAATCTACAACTGATTTATAAATTATTTTAGATTTTAAGATTTTAGTACAAAACTGTTTTTTTAATAAATAAGCACACATGTTTAGGTTTAAAAGACAACTGAGTGTGTTTAACCAGCCTGAGGAAGACGACTGTCTTATCTACAAAAAGCAGAAAGTCTATGACGGGGTTCAGGGCCCTAATTCAAGTCCAAATACTCGGGAGGACCAAACTGTAAATTCGAACAATCAAGGCAATTCAGCAAATATCAATCTTCTCGAGAGCCAGAACATATTTGAAACTGATGAAAGTCAAGATATGTTCCTTCAAAAGAGTCAAGATATTCTTCAAGAAAGTCAAGACATGTTTAACCCTAAAGAAAGTCAAGATATGTTTAACTCTCAAGAAAGTCAAGACATGTTTAACTCTCAAGAAAGTCAAGATATGTTTAACTCTCAAGAAAGTCAAGATATGTTTAACTCTCAAGAAAGTCAAGATATTTTGAATGACCCGATTAGTCCTGATGCCCGTTATCTAGTCAAGAGTCAAACTAAACAAATGCAGGATAGTCGTGATGTTATAATAATTGATGATAGTCAAGAAACTACCCAGGTTCAAGAAAGTCAAGTTATCCTTGATTTAAACTACAGTCATGAAAGTACCGAAAATTTACTGGATGGAAAAGAATGTTTGAAACGAAAGCCTGATGCTAACCTCAACCATGACACTTTTGAACCAAAGAAGAAACAAAAGAAAGATTCGAATGTGAAATATAACCCAGAACAGTTAGATTCCTCAACTCACCCAGTAGAAATAATTCACAACACTGTGGTAAGTATGATTTCATATAGATAAACTTCCTTTTTTTCCGTAGAACTTGAACAATGCGATAATTTATCAACTCTCTCTTTTACATGAAAAAAGTTTGTTTTCATAGTTTATATTTGTCTAGGAACTAGAATCTCTGAATGATCTGAATGATATGGAAAATAAAGAAGTAAACCAGAAGGAAGCAAAGAATATGAAGGAAGATCATGACGATAAGGATGAACATGAGGATGGCAAGGAAGATGATGAAGATGACAAGGATCCTCCTGATCTTGATTTTCTACTCCGTGAAGCAGAGGAGAAAAACTATCCCGAGCATGTCATGAGAAACTTAAGGAAAAATTTTGATCTCTGATTTGTTTTGGGTTTAAGTCAGGGTGTTTATGTTCTTGTTTAAACAACTTTTTATATTTATTTAACAATCCTTAATTTATAATCCCTGATTGATAATTCTTGAATGATATTTCTTGATTGACAATCTTTGGTTTAGAATCCTGATTTAAAATCGCTGATTAAAAATACCTGTTTTAAAATCGCTGATTTAAAATACCTCAATTAAGATCCTTTAATTAAATCCTTAATAACCATCCTTGATATTGGTAATTTTTGATTGAAGAACCTCGATAAATATTTGTTTGTTGATAATCCCTGATTAATAATACTTAATTTATATTCCTAAATCAATATCAAAAATTATTGGTTATTGTAAGTATTGATTGACTTTTAATCCTTATTTAATATTAAAAGATTGGGGGCTAGAAATGGCTTCTTAACGAATTATCAAATTTTGAACTGTAGATATATGGACGAGTGCCGTAAGAACATAATTCAGATTGACTAGAAAATCACTAATAACTAAAATATTTATTTTAGTGTTAACAATTTTGTTGTTAGATGTTTAACTTAAAGTAAATTAACTGTGATCAAAATGTAAGATAAGAACTTGTAATTAGAAACTGAGCTTATATAATTGACACGACAAAAACACTGTTCTTTGTATTTTCTGTATCTAATACTCAACAGTCAACACTATCTTTTCTGTTTTGTTATTCAAAGATACCAATTTGCAATTTGCATCATTCAATATTCAAATTGTTGCGTTTTTTATGAGAATATTGAAGTGTTTCACAGAAACTGATCTCGATATTGAACGAACCTAATCTCTGTGGTATTCAACTAAACTTTTATATTATGTTTCTTATTGATGTACGTCTGAATTCAATATTCATGTCTAATCAATGTTTTTTTTTCAGATAATTGTTGTCGATTCAACTTCACCTCACAGCTAATAAGGTCTGAATTTCATGTAGAATTAATAGGATTAGTAATCCTAGTTAGATGGGCGAGTTTGGTTTTTATCATTTCGTTTGTTTATCGTTCGTGAACGACCCATTTCGATTATTTTTTTTAATTGTTAAAAAAATGTTTTCTTTCAGTCTCAAAATTATCGTTCATTTTTTTATATATTTCATTCTTTTTCTCACTGAACGATCGTTCAGCAAAATCGTTTGTTTAATAAAAAAGTTTGTTCAGTAAAAAAACCATTGTTTTTCTGAAGTTAATTAGAAAAATCGTTATTTAAGTAAAATAAAGTATCGTTTCTTTAAAAATTTGTTCCAAAAAATCGTTCGCACGGTCACTTTTTTTAAATCTTTGTAACATTTTTTCGTTCGTTTTAAATGAATTACATTTTTTGCATTTTTCTAAACAATACAAGTCGTTCTTTCAATGTTAGTTTGTTTTTCTGAACGACACTATCCTACACAAAAAATGTTAGTCATTCTCAAATATTTAGTTCGTTCACAAAAACGCCATCTCTACTCTTAGCTTTTAATCCTATTCATGGCACTTAAGCGTATTTCATATCATGTTCAAATATTGAATTGACGTTGAACCCTTTTTTTGTTCTATTTTTGCCGTGAAAGCTATTGTAAAACAATAGCCTCCCTCCCCTGATTCCCCCTATTCGATTTATCATTACTCTCACAAACATTAATTTGAATGATGAAAATATTAAACATGAGAAAAATTAAATCATGTTTTATATGAATATTAACCAAAGTTCTTGGTAATTTTGCTCGTAGAAATTAATTCACTTTTGGAATTGTTATTTTTTCTTTTTGATAAACGGAATATTATTTTAATATTGAAAGTTTTCTTTATTTTTTTTTTTGGTNATTGTAAACTATCGTTACTTTAATATCTCGAATTTAAAAGTATCTTGAAAATGATGATTCTGCAAATAAGAACCAACAAATTATTCATCGATGAATGCAAGACATGTTTATAATTTATTTTTTCATAGAAAATTGAAATGGGGTTTCATGATAATATTAAAGTGAAAAAATCATCAATAAAAGTGAAAATTTCGAAAATTCACGGATGTAAGTATTTCTGAAATAGGCTTAAATTAAGAGTTCAAATCAATGAAACATTTTTTAATATTGACTGATTTAGGGCAAAAACAAAACATATTGTGAAGTTTCTTATTTATCGTTTTTCACCATTACTTTATTAAAATTCATCAATTTTTCAACTGGGTAAACCTACACCAATATGATTTTCAAAATAAATTTTAATAGTTTTTTTTAAATTACATCATTATAATTTTAATTATCATTAAAATCCATTTGCGACAGCCATTTTTAAATGTAGTTAGAAATACTTTTTTTTATTGTTAGAATAGTTAGCCATAATTGCGATAATAAACATAATATATGATTAAGAAGGTTGGACCACGAGGGGGGAGGGTTTAAAATAGTTTATGATTTTTTAAGATAAAAAATTTAAATATAAAAATATGAAGGAGCAGAATATGGGAACCTGGACAGCTGTCAAGAAGATCTCAAATATCAAGGGAACTGTGTCGGGAGCAGAGTTCAATCAGGTATATTAGAAGTCAAAACTTATGTATTATTCGCTCTAATCTTCAAAACTTTATCTTGATATAATTAGCAAAAGATGGAAATTAAATTTTGGCCCCAAGATTCAACAAGAATTTTAGTTCGGACCTTGGTTCAAATAATGATGAGGATAAACGATTAACCTTTATTCCTCCGTAGAAATCTAAAACACACATTACTGTGTGTGTATGTATTGAGTGGATAATTAAATGATTTTTTTAAACACAATATTTTGTTGGTAGTTACGTTATATTTTAAAGCTTTTCGTAAACATATTTTCACCTGTTGCATTTATTAAAGGATTCTGACAAGTCAAATTTTGTTATAAAACAGACGAATTATTCATTATGAGTGGAACTTAATAATCTTGATATTATCTCACAAGCTTTAAGGCCTTGTTTCATTCTTGATCTAGCAAAGTTGCTTCTTGATTAAAACGTATGATCTGAGTTTATATTTGACTACAGCTTGGGAACACAGCGTTGCCCAGTAGGGTACCCCAAAAAAGACCAAGTTGGGAAATTTGTATGATTGTATAATGCAGACCTGTGAATGAAGTGACATTTAGTCATACAAATCAGTGCTTAGGATCCGGTTCCGTTGGATCCGCAAGATTTTGGCTTCTTGGATCCGGATCCGCAAAAATATGCGGATCCACAGATCCGGATCCAAGGGGTAAAATTTCAACCAAAAGCGGCAAAAAAAACTTTTTTACTCCTAAAACCCAAATCTGAACTTTTGAATAAAAGAGAGATTATAAAAATTTTCTCATTTCTGAATGGTTTATCAAGTTTTAGAATAAAAATAAAACAAAAAATTTGAAAATTATTTTTTGTTGTAAAAATTCAGTAAATCTTAAAGAAATGACCTGGATCCGGTTCCGGATCCATTTTTTTCCAATGCGGATCCCGGATCCGGATCCGCATCAAATTTAAATGGACTCTAAGCACTGATACAAATTCAGGAATTTTTTTATTTTAAGATCGGACCACTTTTTCCGTCTAATATACTTTTCTGAAAAATACACGAAGAGACTACAGACTCTACATAGATCAAAAAATAAATATTTCTTGAATTTATCATGTCATATATCATTTTCTTTTTAATTATCTAAAAAGATTAAATCCATTGAACGTTTTGAAAAATTCATAAATTGGCCGAGTTATGCCAAAGCAAAAACCGTTAAAAATGCTTGTTTAAGGTAAATTACATTTTTTGAACATAACTCTTTCAGTTTTTTAAAATTTTCAAAAATTTCAATGGATTTAATCTTTTAAGACAATTACGAATGATATATGACATGATACATTCAAGAAATATTAATTTTTTGAGCTATTTAGTCTCTAGACTCTACGTGAATATTTCTGAAAAGTAAGTAGTAAAAAAGGTCCGATCTCAATTTTTTTTGTTTCCTGAATTTGTTAATGTCACTTCATTCCGGTCTGCAGCATGCAAATATCCCAACTTTGTCCTTAGTCATAGTTAGTCCCACACCGTTCAGCCTTGCATTGTCGTAAAATTACGATTTTAGCTATTTTTACCAATAAAAGTCGACCCACTCAACTTAGAATTGCTAAACCAAGCTAAGAACATTCCCGTGGTCTTTTCGAGGTCCTCGATAAAACTTTGAGGGAAATCAGCCTAAGGTGTATTAGATATGACAGAAAAACCAAAAAAAACAGACAGACAGAGATACAGCTATAAATATAGAATAATGTTCAGGACCTGGAGGAACACTGTCAGGGAGTTCATGGGAATATTCATCTCTCTATCCATCCAGAGCAGGGAGTTAAACTCATCTCCAGGAGTTAAACTCATCTCCGGGGGTTGAACTCTCTCCAGGAGCTGAACTCCGGGAGACGGGAGCTTAACCGACCACCATTTTGAAATTGTTCTCGTGGAGCTAGTTTAATCTTGTAATCTTGTTCCAAATTAGCAGTTCAACACACAAAATGGTTGAAATCAAATTGTTTCAATTAAAAATGGCGCTTCATTTTGTTTGTGATATTATCATCGAGCATTTCTATTTCAATCATGATTTTATTCTTGTATTTATTCGTATTTGACATTTTATTTAATCATTTAACCCTCAAGTTCTCCCAAGTGCCTTACCAATTGTGTCAATTTTTATTCTACTAACATTTTTGATTAGTTCCTAATAAATTTAACTACATCCATTTATAAAAATAATTTGCATATTTCTAACATGATTTTAATACATTTCAGAGAAAAAATGTCTGTTCGAAACTGTATCAGGTTGGGTCAAAATTTAAGGGATGCCGTTTTAAACGAATGCCATCGCAGCATTTTAGAGGATTCTAAATTTTATTTTATAAATATTGTTGGCTTATTTAGTTTCTATTGAGCAATTAACGTCGTGATGCCAAAATATTTGGATGAAACGGCTTAGTTGATCTTACCATCTAATCTATCAACTAAATTATTTGATTATTTTCTATGTTGTTCTTAAAACAGATTTGATAGACTGAGAAGCACTGTTGGAGGTTACAGATTCCTACCAGGTTTTAGCCTGACCCTCAAATCTTCTCCAGGTTTTAATCATAACCTATCTCCATCATTCCCAGTAAGATGTTTTGCTGGCGAGGCGAGGAATATCGAGGATGAGATTAAGAAGCTTGTCAGCAAGGAAAAAGTTGTTGTTTTCATGAAGGTTAGATTCTTTTTAAACTATTTTGTATAGTATGTATTCAAACATTCTTCCCTTTCCTGTTGGAAGGATTTAATCTTGATTTCTTGAACATCAAGGTAGGGAGCTGCAGGCAATCCCGAGCTTCTTCTTTTGATTTGATTTCCAATCTGGATTTTGGAATAAACTTCTTGATGATAACTATCTTCTATTTTCAACATGAATGACTGATGGAGTTAATTGCTGGCTTTCATAATTGACTGCCCTACTGATTGATTGATTTATCGATTAATTGATTGATTAATTGTTTGTTTTTACCAGGGTGTACCTGATGCTCCTAAGTGTGGATTTAGTAATGCAGTTGTACAGGTAATTATTTACTGTACTGTGTATTGCGTACATGCTTAATGATGTTCAGGTCTCACAACATTCAGAAAATGTCATAAAAATGAAATTTTCGCAGTTTTGAAATTTGAAGTTTAAAAATTCAGATTTTTTACAATCGAAAATTAATTTGGTTCGCGTTTCGGAAGAGTAGGTTATTTTACAAAGAATCGTAACATTAAAATATTTCTTGTTTGGAAAAAATGAATAACGACGGTTTCTTCCACATTTTTGATCTGATGAAGGTTCAAGGGTACCGTTGTAAATCAAGCATTGGCAACTTTGCATGGAGAGGTGAAATTACGCTTATAGTCCCTCTAACTCTATCAATATTCTTATTAAATCNGGTGTGAAAAATGTTAGATGAATGCATTTTAAAGTATATGTATATACCTATATACTTAAAGCTGAGAGCTCGATCAGCCGGTCACACTCTACACGCTCCTTCAGTCTCTATAAAAAGTGCATTGTTCATTTATGCTCATTTTATAATGTTTTTTGGGCAATTTTCCTTTAAAGCTGTGTCTGATCAAGTATGAATTATATTTAAATGTTTATCATTTTGAAAACTGATTATTTCAAATTATGGTTTCTCTACAAAAGTGACAAAACATATGATAATTAACAGAGTTATACACTTTAAAACCTAGAAACACGACAATCCTAAAAGTGCCACAGAGACTGCAAGGACGTACAGGTAGAGGTGTAGATCGTCAGTAGTTGCTATAACTTCAGATCTAGATTTACAAATTGTTAAATTTTTATAATGCAAGCTTCTTTACAATTTTTTATGTGTTTAAAAATGTACCTATGTTTACTAAGGATCAAACATTGCAGAAGGTTAACATCCTATCCGCAGTTTCTACAGTACTTAAACGCGCCATGCATAATATTTGAAACATTCAGATACTTAATATAAAAAGTTTATCATTTAAATTTCCGAGCATGGAAATTAAATTGGTTTGAAATTAAAACGTTTAAGAATTCCAAACAGTACTTGGAATGTGTTTTTTATAAAAAGAATTCTGTGTTTTTAATAATTACATAAGACAATACATAAAGCTCAATAAGGTTTTTTGGTTAAAATAGGATTATATATTTAAGTAACCTTATGTAAAAAGAATGGACATTAATAATTGTATATAGAAGGATTGTGCGTCCTCCAGGATTTATCTTGCGTCCTTCAACTTTTTCCGTGTAACCAAGTCGTCTTCCCTGAATAGTATAGATTTTACAATTGGATACAAACAGATAGACAAGCATAGTATAAATAATTATTTCAATTTGTTTAAAAGGTTTTTTCCTCCAGTTTATTTATTTCCACAAAAGCACAAATCTATTTTTTGGGGAATTTGCTTTATTTGTTCTGAAATTAAACTTAATAAAGCCGCCTACTGTTATTAAAAATTTAAATCATTAACGTTACATGAAGGCTTAGATTTCTACTGAAAAAAGGTTGATTATTTATTAATTTATCTTTTTTATTTTTTATTTAAATTTTTTTTTTGTGTGGGGGGGGTTCTGATTGCTAATTATTAGATGATTTTTGATTATATGTCAAAGGTTTGATTATTAGTCACCCTGCAATCGTAGTAGCTCTTGTGATGAAATCTTTATTCTAATTACTACGTTTGAAAGCAAACATCTTAGAAACATAAACAATTGTCTAAATATTCAATAGCTTAAACAACAGTAGGTCGGACATTTTAGCATCTTATTATAAAAATTCTAGCAGCATAGACTTAATGTCGTCGTGCTTGTACCAGTGCCGATTAGGGTTTGCAAAACTCATGCATGCATGGTTGTTACAGTTTGTGGTAGATTTTATTCATCGGTTGCTACAGGTTGATTTATTGGTTGTTGTAGGTTTTATTTATCGGTTGCTACAGGTTTATTTACTGGTTGTTGTAGGTTTTATTTATCTGTTGCTACAGGTTTATTTACTGGTTGTTGTAGGTTTTATTTATCGGTTACTACAGGTTTTGTTGTTGTAGGTTTTATTTAATTTATTGGTTGTTAGATCTCTGTTTTTTCCAGCTTTAAGTGGAATTTTTCGAGGAGAGTAGACAAATTTTAAAGAGATTTTTTGCTACACATGTTGGTTAGATGTTTTAAATATTTTTAAATGTTGTTGGTTTAAATATTTGATTATTTAATTAAGGTTTACATGGAGGGAGAATTCGTTGGAGGATGTGATATTTTGTTGCAGATGCATCAAAATGGAGAATTAGGAAAGAAAATAAATAAACTATTAAAAAAATTATGTAAGGACAATTTAAAAACAAGAATCGCTTTACTTTTACTCTCAACAAATACAAGCAGGTTACATTTATTCTAAGGATTGAACGTTTAAAACATTCTTGCTCTTAACACATTTTGGCTTAAAAAATGTGTTCGTAAACCTTGAAAAAATAAGCCTGAGGTTACAGATAAACCAGTAATTTCCGCCTCAAGATTTATAGGAATGATATTTTACCTTTTATTTTTAAATCGTTGGATGATGCTCATAGCAAACCTTTTTACAGAAACACTCAACTCAAATTTTAATTCTCATTTTTCAATTACGTGGTTCATGTAATTTTTGGGAAACGCCTCTTCAAATGGAACTATTGTTTTTACATTTTCAACCTAACAGTTATTTAATATGGTCACTTCGGATTTGAAGTCCCTAAAAAGTCGATCGTTCGGGATTGATAATTTATTTTCTGCAGTGGAAGAATTAAAGAAGATAGGTATTACCTCTGCCCTGTTAGCTGAAGAGGAGAAAAAATAGTAAACTAGAATCTTGAAATTTGGAATTTTGTCGATATTGTTTTTTTTTTTTAATATCTTAAATTACTCACAGTTATATACGTATGTATTATATGTATGTAATTGTGCAAATGTACATGAAATATGAAATATAAATGAGAATTGCGGATTTAAAGTTGTGAGATATTGATCGCATGCACAACATTATATTAACATCGTAATATACGTGCGTCGTGCATCACAAACAAAACAACCGTGTGTAAATGTTTTCCTATATTTCAGAAGTAGAATTAGTTCTAATGCAAGATGCACGAGGCGTACACTGTCCGTCCTCTTCTAAAGCTCCCTCTACATATAGAGAGTGTTGCCAGCCATGGCGATCATCTGTTTCTTGGAACCAGGTATCCGTTCCTATATTCCCCTTTTTAAATTTTATTTACCAAAAACTCTTTAATTACTTGGCAAAACAAATCTAACATTGTTTTCGCTCTACAGACACATTCATAATATACAGAAGAAATATGGTTTTTATGTTAAGAACCTGGGCAACGATTAATGATTATTTTTTAACATAAAAAGTCTAAAAATTTTCCAATTCACGTGATCTGTCGGCTTAGTCTGGTGAAAGTTAAGAATATTTTTTTCCGGATTTGACCCGATTTCTAACAAGCCTGGCGTTTTACTGGGGTATTCAATATTCATAGACATTAAAGATGCATATATATATCCAAATATGTTTTAGAAATTTCATTGTTAGATTTAATCACATTTATAAAAAGTATTAATATGTATTTAAGTATTGCTTAAACTGTGTTAATTGAACTATTTCTCATCTAATTGTTTTTAGGCAGGGACATCTTCTCATGTATCATATCAGCTTCGGTCCAGTTGACCAGCCATCTGTTCAGCTGCTCAGGTCAAGAATGGGAAAGGGTGGGTTCTAAAAAGAGCTGTGAAATGTTAACATTAACACAAAAACATATTTTCTACAATGTAATAGCATTTAAATCTAGATTTTAAATCCATTATTTCCCTTTAACTTGTGCAATACTTGTTCATTTAAAATCCGACGATAAAAACTTATAATTCGATTGGACGATGGGAGATATAATAATATAACCTTGATTTTTTTACCAAAACCTGAAGTAGTTAATATTGTTTAGATCAAACAAGTACTTCAGTAAGAAGCCTATAGTTCAGCTAGCTGTGGTCCCTGAGTACTCTATCCTGGTAGCGCTTACAGATAATATTATCTCAGTTCATGATATTGATCTTGCAGTCATGAACTTTCCTCTCATCAGTCAGGTTAGAATATTCATAATCATAGATATCGGATGTATAACGACTCAAGAGGTAAAACATGGGTTTTAAATGTGTGTTCTGTGTCAGGGTTGTCAGTGTGTACAAATGCGTACAAATGCGTAAAATTATATATACAAATGCATAACGTACATCTTGGAAAAATACATTGTTACAGTTAACAAATTTTTGTTTTTATCAGTTTATTCATATTCTAAGAACCACTTCGTTTTTTTGGTTGTCTTATGTCATAAAAATCTACAATGAGACAAAAATGGAACTTGAATTTAGACGCCTTTTATCATTTCGGCGATCGTTTAGATAGTCGTCAGTGCACTGCAGCGATCGTTTTTATAATCCTCCGCACAGTCTAGGGGTTCCTCTTTGAATATTAAACAAATGATAAACAACATTACAATTTGCAAGACATAAATTCATTTTTATTGTATTTATTCCAGGTTTCACGAACAAAGGGAACCAACCTTTTTTCGCTTGACGTTGTGCGCACTAAAACTTTAACAGGGGAATCTGCCGCGGCAGTGCGCATGGTAGTTTCTGTCAGGTAATCAATCAATACTTTCCTTAAGAAATATGTTTGAGAAATTTTTTTCTGGACTTTGTTCTTATAAAAAATTATAATTTGCAATTTAAAAAAAGACATTTATATTATTTTAAAATGTAAACAAGTTCAGGCGAAAATTGCAGTTTTATTACTGGAAGAATAGAAAGTTCCACGAGCTCAGGTATTATCAGAAAAATGTATTTTTATTTTAACAGATACAACTTGTGTGTGTGTTTGTGAACGTTTATTTCCAGATGATTAATACTTTTCTGAGTTTCGGGGTTAAAAATTAAGTAATTGGCTTCCCTTAGACAGTATTTTATTTCATACTTTTTTGGCTTCCAGGATTATGTAACGATTTATTTGGAGTTAAAAGAAGAAAAACTAAAAAAGTAAAATGTAAAATTATTAAATATTAGTATGGTATTCAAATTTTCATCTTATCGGGGGGATTCTTTTTGAATTTACATTGAGAAAGGTTATGTTTGAACCTGAACCTTCAATCAGTTGAGTCAGACATTCCAAGCAAACTGAAAACTGCAGATCAGCTAAAAAAGTAAAGTCTAAGAAAAATTCACTGCTCTTTTAATTTTTTTAAAGATTTTTAATTTAAAAATAAATTGCCAAAAAAACATAGCGAAAGGTTGGGACAGATTTTAACGCCATTTATAGCTCAAAATAGATTTTGTCAAATATTTTAAGGAACAAACTTAGATCTGAAGCAGGTTAAGTAAAAAAAGGAAACTTGTCGGTTTATCTCCCATATTACAAAGCATTTTAAGCAACAAATATTTTAAGGAACATATCTCCCATATTACAAAGCATTTTAAGCAACAAATATTTTCAAACGTAATACATGATGTAAGTAAATGGTTTTTGACTCACACTTAACATATGTCATATATATTATACTCTCTGAAATGCCTTGGCGTTGCCCGTGGATTAAAAAAGGAATTTTGAAAAATCTTATTTATTTAGCCCATGTTAACTCCAGTGTACCTATGGGTTTCCTAAAAAATTCAGACAGTTTGGGGCTAGCTATATCGAACATATATAATCTATTATATATTTAAGCGAAGAGCTTTTTTATATATATAGATTATATTTCTCCTATTTTTAAAATTAATGAATAAATGTTAAGAGAAGATATTTCTGTTCCTGATGTAGCAAAATCCATTGCCTGGAGCAAAGAAAGTGTCTGTGTGGGATTCAGGTAATCAATCAATCAATCAATTTTAATCTAGAGAAATATTGAAATGTATTAGATTTCATACCAATTTATGTAAGATTATCTAAACACGGGTTTTAGGCATCTGCCTAATATCCACGTTGGCAGTCTTGGAATTCTACAATGGGGATCTTTAACAATCATTATATGATAATAATGATAATAATAATAATAACAGAGTGACAGTTGGCAGACATTTATTTTCTATTGTAAATGATTGTGCTTTAAATTTGTCTGATTTGAGTAAAATGTTAGTAGAAAAACAATAGAAAGTTCTAATTTTACAAGAAATTTTAAATTATATTTACAAACATATGACATTTATTTTTATTTTATGTTTTTAGGATTTATTCACACAGAAAGATATGAATACATATTTCTATGAATTGAAGGTTGATTGAAATTATTATTGTTATTAATAATGGTATTATTGTTATTGTTATTTTAAAATGTAAAGAGTAAGTATACTCAATACATATGTTACGACCTTATGTCAAACTAATTAAGGGGTGAATATTATATGCAGAGATTAAACTAATTGAGGGGTGAATATTTTATGCTGAGAGTAAACTAATTAAGGGGTGAATATTGTATGCAGAGATTAAACTAATTGAGGGGTGAATATTGTATGCTGAGAGTAAACTAATTGAGGGGTGAATATTGTATGCTGAGATTAAACTAATTAAGGGGTGAATATTGTATGCTGAGATTAAACTAATTAAGGGATGAATATTGTATGCAGAGATTAAACTAATTAAGGGGTGAATATTGTATGCTGAGATTAAACTAATTAAGGGGTGAATATTGTATGCAGAGATTAAACTAACTAAGGGGTGAATATTGTATGCTGAGATTAAACTAATTAAGGGGTGAATATTGTATGCTAAGATTAAACTATTTAAGGGATGAATATTGTATGCAGAGATTAAACTAATTGAGGGGTGAATATTTTATGCTGAGAGTAAACTAATTAAGGGGTGAATATTGTATGCAGAGATTTATGAATATTTTATGCTGAGAGTAAACTAATTAAGGGGTGAATATTGTATGCTGAGATTAAACTTATTAAGGGGTGAATATTGTATGCTGAGAGTAAACTAATTAAGGGGTGAATAATGTATGCTGAGATTAAACTAATTAAGGGGTGAATATTGTATGATGAGATTAAACTAATTAAGGGATGAATATTGTATGCTGAGAGTAAACTAATTAAGGGGTGAATAATGTATGCTGAGATTAAACTAATTAAGGGGTGAATATTGTATGCTGAGGTTAAAAGATCAAGAATTTGATGAATTGTTCCCCACCGGTAAATCTCAAGAGCCTAGGGTCACTCTCATGCACGATGACAGGTATTAAAAGTTTATCAGGGCTTATTAACTTTATTTAAGTTGGGTTTTAATTGAAAGAGTGAATTAAATTTGATGCATATTTCATAATCTTGCTATTCCATGTTTTATAATTATGGAAAAGGGGAAAATAAAATTGGTTTTATATAATGGTTTTCGTCCTACAGTTTACAGTGAGCTGAATTTGACATTCACATAATTACTGAAATCTAAACCTGTATTACTTTTATTTCTGAGAATATTCTAATATGAATTATGTGTATTGTTGTTTCTATTTCTATTATTGTCATCTCTTAGATTTGCTCTGAGTAAGGAAGAACAGACGACATTTATCAATGAAGAAGGGAAAATGAACCTACAGGTAAACCTAAAAATCGTTTTTATTTTTAAAGATTCGACCCCCCTCCCCCCCCTGGCCTTAGGAAGGAAAATATATAACTATACTGAAGTTTTTCTATTTCTCTCTATTTGTCTGTTTGTCTGTCCGATCATAACCCAGGAACCCCTGGACCGATTTGCTCAAATTTTGATTGGGGAACTCAGGAGAGGACCGGGAATGTTTTTAGCTTGAGTTGAGTGAGTCCACTTTTATGGGAGAAAATAGCTAAAATCGAAATTTACGTTAAAGCTCGGGTAAACGGTGAGAATACGCTAGGTTATCAAGTTATTAAGGCATATATAGTGTCCCAATTAGTTATTTTACATTTTCATTTTTCAAGATGCTATTTTTTTTTGGTTTCAAAGGTGTATTGTCCAAAGCTATTGAAATAAGAACTGAAGAACCAAGGTAGGATTTAAAGAGACAAATTTGTTAAAACTGAAAGTGAGAAAAAATGGAATGAAATGATAATTTGTTAACTTTATATTTAGATTACTTATACAAAGCATGGAGTTGATAAAGCCTCGTCTAGTTACCAGGGGACAGGCAGGTCGTCTTTACGCTGCCAGTCAATCCCAGGTAGGTCGTCTTTGTACTGTCAGTCATACCTGGTAGGTCTTCTTAATACTGTCAATCTCAGCTAGGTAGGTCGTCTTTATATTTTAAGTCAATCCCAGGTAGGTCGTCTATATAATGTCAGTCAATCCTAGGTTGGTCGTCTGTATGCGTCAGTCAATCCTAGGTAGGTCGTCTTTGTACTGTCAGTTAATCCTAGGTAGGTGGTCTTTATGCTGTCAGCCAATCCCAGATAGGTCGTCTTTATATTGTCAGTCAATCCCAGCTAGGTCGTCTTTATATTGTCAGTCAATCCTAGGTAGGTCGTCTTTATATTGTCAGTCAATCCTAGGTAGGTCGTCTTTATAGGTAGGTCGTCTTTATATTGTCAGTCAATCCCAGCTAGGTCGTCTTTATATTGTCAGTCAATCCTAGGTAGGTCGTCTTTATATTGTCAGTCAATCCTAGGTAGGTCTTCTTTATATTGCCAGTCAATCCCAGGTAGGTCGTCTTTATATTGTCAGTCAATCCCAGCTAGGTCGTCTTTATATTGTCAGTCAATCCTAGGTAGGTCGTCTTAATATTGTCAGTCAATCCTAGGTAGGTCGTCTTTATATTGTCAGTCAATCCTAGGTAGGTCGTCTCTATGCTGTCAGTCAATCTCAGCTAGGTAGGTTGTCTTTATATTGTCAGTCAATCCCAGGTAGGTCTTCTTTTTACTCTCAGTTAATCCAAGGTAGATCGTCTTTATACTGTTAGTCAATCCCAGGTAGCTCGTCATTATGCTGCCAACATGTTTTGAAGTTCTTGCCAATTTATAGCTATATCAGTTAACTCATAATCCATTCTCATATATACATTTAAACGTACAAATACATTTTCAGGTTTGGAGCATAAACATGGTTTCAGTTTCTGAACAGGTTCCACAGCTTCTTAGGTATGGGGGTCAATAGCTATTTAATCATTAATCTATCTTTCTTTCTATCTATCTATGTGCAGGGGTAATTGCTTAAATTATATTATATGTTTTTTATGCTCATCTAATTTTCCATATTTAAAACTTAAAATCAACCATCTGTCAGAAAAATCATAAATATCATCGTAGAGATAAATCTTTAAGAAGTTGCTGATATTTCTTCATCTTTTTATCTTTTTATGTATCTAGGGATAAACAGTTTGAGTTGGCAGTGATGGTAGCTAACACAGTGTCTGACGGATCTGATGAAGAAAAGAAGAAAAGGATTACCAAGATTAAAACTCTCTTTGCCTTTGACCTTTTCTGTCAAGGGAATAAGTTTAAGGTAAATCAGCTTGCATGCGTATTTAACCTGAGCTGGAAACTTTAGAATGGATAACCTTTAATCCCAACTACTTAATCCGAATATCCACTGTGGAAACTTTTAGATTTAGTCCTTAATCCACTCTTTTTCTCTCTCTTTGGATATCCAAAGTCCATACATTGTTTTCTCCAATGAGAGTGCAGGAATATAGTTCGTAAATTGTATTGACCAATGACAGCCTTAAATATAAATTCTATCCCTAGAGAGAAATCCGCAATTTCTAACAAATAAAAAATTTGTTGTCGGCCATTTTGTAAATTAATTAGTGAAGAAAAATATTTAATAATACGTTTGAGATTCTTTTTTAACCAATTTTAACTAATGTTTAAAAAATAAATGGGTGAGAAATTAAATGAAGGCCCTTCCCGTCAAGAAAATGAAGAAATATGGCGTTCCTAGAATCCAATTTGTTGATCTAAATATTTAATCTCGAGATTATGTTAGTCTCGAGATTAGCACAAAGAGAGGATTAAGCATTAATCCTGATATCCACCATTCTAAAAACTGTTTTCGAAAAAAAACGAACTTATTCAGGAGTTTTATGGAGTTTTTATTGAGGGGGTTGGCAGAAAGTATATTTAGGACAAAAATCATACTCTCTCTCTCATGTTTTTCTTCTGCAAACTTGTTGTGTACGACTAGATGTATTACAATAAACGTATTTAGGATAGTATGGATATTTTCTATGAGCTAGAGATAGATCCCTCACACGTCATAGGTAATTTTTTAATCCTTAATGCTTTTATCTTTGTCTTTTTTTACGCCCAATTTACTTCTTTTAAACTCTTCTCTGTTATGCATATTGCTGAGCATGGTGCCAATTCGTAATTTACATAAGAGAAACTTTTTTCTTTCTTACCGTTGGACCATCATTGATTGCTTACCGTTGGACTATCATTGATTGCTTACCGTTGGACTATCATTGCTTGCTTACCGTTGGACCATCACTGATTGCTTACCGTTGGACTATCATTGCTTGCTTACCGTTGGACCATCACTGATTGCTTATAGTTGGACAATCATTGCTTGCTTACCGTTGGACCATCATTGATTGCTTACCGTTGGACTATCATTGATTGCTTACCGTTAGACTATCATTGCTTGCTTACCGTTGGACTATCATTGATTGCTTACCGTTGGACTATCATTGCTTGCTTACCTTGGACTATCATTGCTTGCTTACCGTTGGACTATCATTGCCTGATCTACCGTTGGACAATCATTGCTTGTTTTTACTGTTGGACTATCATTGCTTGTTTTACGGTACGTATCATTGCTAAATTTCCTTAATGGTGGTTATTTTTAAATTTGTTGACTTATGATTTTTCTGTTAAAGGATTGTTTGAAGCTCTGCTACCTGTTGAATACCAGACTAAACTACACTATCCTGACACTCTTCCTACTCTACAAGGTATCTTTAACCCCTTTTTATTTCCCCTCCCCCATTCCCCCTTCATTTCCCTCCTCCTCTTCCCCCCTTTCCTCCTCCCTTCCCCCTTCATTTCCCTCCTACCATTCATCCCTTGAAAAAAATGATGTCCATGTTTCAGGTCGTCAGCTGGAGAATGGATTACTTGCTCTCATAGAATATCTGACCCAAGTCAGGCATAAACTTAACAGCAATAAAACACTAAGGTAACCAGTAAATAAGTATTAAAGAAGTTGTAAAAAGTTCTTAAGAAGTTGTAAAAAGGTTGTAAAGATGATGTGAAGAAGTAGTAAAAAAGTTTCAAAGAACATTTTAAGAAGTTGTTAAAAAGTTGTTAAGAATTAGTTAAGCAGTTTTAAAGGAGTTGTAAAGAAGTTGTAAAGAAGTTGTAAAGAAGTTTTAAAGAAGTTTTAAAGAAGTTGTAAAGAAGTTGTAAAGAAGTTGTAAAGAAGTTTTAAAGAAGTTTTAAAGAAGTTTTAAAGAAGTTTTAAAGAAGTTGTAAAGAAGTTGTAAAGAAGTTGTGAAGAAGTTGTGAAGAAGTTGTGAAGAAGTTGTAAAGAAGTTGTGAAGAAGATGTAAAGAAGTTGTAAAGAAGTTGTAAATAAGTTGTAAAGAAGTTGTGCAGTTGGGCAGTGACTTTAGTCATTGGTCTGTACTTCGACAGTTGGCCACACTAGACAGTGTGTCACCAATTGGTACATTAATAGCCAATGTGGCTATTTTTGATGAGGTCTCAGCCCTGACTTCTACGGAATGATGGTTGATTGTTTGTTTGTTTGTTTGTTTATGGGGCCACGCGAGTTCCCACTAAAGATTTGGGCCCGATCGGTTCAGCTGTTTTGAGGTTTATTGGATACAAACATAAAGACAGACAAGCAAAGTATATAAAATATATATAGATATGTAAACTATTTTGATGAATGATAATAATGTATCTAGTGAGTTGGCTTGTGTTCCAATGGTTGACGGAGTTCCAACAATAAAGGTGAAGAAGCAGGTTCTCCAGATACTAGACACAACCCTGCTTAAGTGCTATATTAAGACTAACGATGCACTTGTCGCATCCTTGCTCAGGCTCAAGGATAATCACTGTCATCTAGGTAATATTCTAGTCAAATATTATCTCATTACTTTCGGGTCAAAATAAAACTATAAGATGAAGAGAAACTCTTAAATGTATATCAGAGAGAGGATTCTAATTTAGTTTATTTGTAAGGGGGGAGGGGGATTACTTGTTGCTAGTATATTTTACACTAAAACTATTGTAGAGGAGGCAGAGAGAGTTCTTCAATATAAGGTACAGATACAGTCAATATATTATAAAGTATACAGTCAACAAGATAATGCCTAATTTCTCTTCAATATAAGGTACAGATACAGTCTATATATTATAAGGGTGGATTTTAGTTTATTTTATCTGTATGGAATATGGGGGGGGGGGTGATTCTAGTATATTTTACACTAAAACTATTGTAGAGGAGGCAGAGAGAGTTCTTCTGAAGAATAAGAAGCTGACAGAACTAGTTATATTGTATAATACGAGGAATCTACATAGGTACAGTACACGCTGTACACGCGGTACATTCTGTATTTTCTGTGAACTCTGTACACTATGTACACTGAGGCCAAAACCTAAGACAGGATATCGTTAAGAAAACCAGAGCCCGAAATTTAAAAGAGTATCGTTGAAATAAACTCCCGAGTTTCCTTTATGGGGTATTAACAATTGTGTAGATTTTGATTTTTGAAAAAAATGGAGAATATAAACAAACTGATAAAAATAGTATTACATTACAAAAATATTGATAATCACAAAACTGCCTAACCCCAATCATGAAACCCGGGTTTTAAAACTGGTTTTCAGAACGATCACTCTGTCTTAAGTTTTGGGCTCAGAGCCCAAAACTTAAGACAGGGTATCGTTATGAAAACAAGTTTTAGAACCCGAGTTTCACGAATGAGTTTAGGCAGTTTTGTGGATATCATTATTTTTATTATGAAATATTTTCATATTATTATTTCTAGAATCTTCATACTTTCCATTTTTTTTGAATCTCTTAAATAAAAATCTCTAAAATATATGTTAAGGAAAGCACTGACCCTACTGCAGAAGCATGCCATGGACAAACAATCTGAACTTGTTGGATTTCAGAGAATAATTTCCTATCTCCAGGTTATTTTACAATCGCTTAGCGCACACTGCATCTGCATACGTCTATCTCAGGGTTAAACATTATATTTTCTAATTTTAGAACCTTGGCAGTGAACATATAGATCTGATTCTTGAATTTTCTCTGGATATTCTCAAACATGATGAAGAGGGATTTCTTATTTTTACAGANTTGAGCGTCGAGAAAAAAATATTTTAGATTATTTTAAGAAAAATCGGAAATAATGAATTAAAACTGGGAATTTATTGCAAATTCTGCAAAGTCATGAAAAGCTTGGTTTTTGAAATGTTCCTTATTTAAAGTAAGGTTCTAGGTTTATTTGCTTTTGTGTAAAAATTATCTAAAAGTTGGAGTGTTTTATAATCAAACAAACAATGTCCACCCCTATTTAATTGAATGAATGGTTGTCTTATAAAGTTACTAGCTTGGGAACCCAGGGTAGTCATAGTTAGTCCCACCGTTTACCCGCGCTTTGTCGCAAATTACGATTTTAGCTATTTTCCCTTTAAAAGTGAGCCCACTCAAAACCAAACTAAGAACATTCCCGTGGTTCTACCGAATTCCTCGATATAAATCTGAGGCAAATCGGTCCAGGGGTTTAGAAGTTATGATCGGACAGCCAAACAAAGATTACAGAGATTAAAACTTAATAAATAAAAATAAAAAGATGATAATCTTAAACTTTTTTCTCTGAATGAATCCTATTTTTTGGATGAATTCTAGTTAATGGATGAATTCTAGTTTATGAATGAATTCTAGTTTATGGATGAATTCTAGTTAATGGATGAATTCTAGTTAATGGATGAATTCTAGGATATCGATACAGTAGAAACATTACCTAGAGCCAGGGTTCTAGAGTTCCTCATGCAAAACAAACAGGTTTTTAGAAAACATTTAATTTTTAAACAATATCAATTATTCGTCTGAACAAATAAGATAATTTATGTGATTTTTTTAAACAATCTCAATTACTCGTCGGAAGAAATGAAATAATTTATGTGATTTTTTTAGGATCTTGTCGTTCCTTACTTGGAACACGTCATATTAGGTAAGATTAAAAGCTATTATTTTTCGCCGTAAGCCTATACACCTTTTATTTTTCGCGAACCTTCCCTGTAAGGAGAAAAATTAAATCTGAAGTTAAAACTTTTGTTTTATCAATACCGGGATTAAGAAGTATCTGTATCTCTTGCAGTCCTACGATTATATTCATATCTCCTAGATATCCCCTGTTGGTTGTATCAGAGGAGGAATTAAACTAAAATTGATCAATCACTTATCCCTCTAATTGATAAGTTATATCATTAATATAAAAATTTTAACAAATTTTGTTTAGTTTGGGAAGAGAAGAGAACTTTGTTTCATAATTCTTTAATCCTTCAATATAAGGTACAGATACAGTCAATATATTATAAAGTATACAGTCAACAAGATAATGCCTAATTTCTCTTCAATATAAGGTACAGATACAGTCTATATATTATAAAGTATACAGTCAACAAGATAATGCCTAATTTCTCTGCATATTGTAATTTTGTGTACTGAATTGAAATGGTACTGTACTGTACTGTGAATGTACTTTGTGTACCGCGCGTTGGTTTTACAGAAAGCACCGCAAATATCGCATTTATATTTATTTCGGTGAAACCTTAAAGACTAAATTATAACGAAATATGAACTACTAAAAATTATTTTGCTAAAGATTATCAATTTTTTCAGGATTTGATAATGTCACGAATAGGAGAGGGTGAAAGTATAGATATTAAGGACAAGACGAGAAGTAAACTAAGAAAGCTTTTAGGTAAACATATATAATATACAATACATTAACATCTTCCTCACGTTTAGGTAAACATATACATTATACAATACATTAACATCTCCCTCACGTTTAATTAGTTTTAGGTAAACATGTACATTATACAATACATTAACATCTTCCTCGCGTTTAATTAGTTTTAGGTAAACATATACATTATACAATACATTAACATCTCCCTCACGTTTAATTAGTTTTAGGTAAACATATACATTATACAATACATTAACATCTTCCTCACGTTTAATTAGTTTTAGGTAAACATAACATATACAATACATTAACATCTTCCTCACGTTTAATTAGTTTTAGGTAAACATAACAATATACAATATATTAACATCTTCCTTCGTACGTTTAATTAGTTTAGGTAAACATATACATCATACAATACATTAACATCTTCCTCGCGTTTAATTAGTTTTGCCAGTTCAAAAGTTCTGGTTTCATATTTATTAAAATAAAACATATCCGACGAAAAAAGTTTATTTTTTATTTTTGTTGAAAAATAAAGATGTTTTTGAATAATTTTTAAGGGTTCTCAGCAGCAAATTTAATACAGGTTTACTCAAGAAAGTAAAAACTTACATAACACGTGACGATCTAAAATTCTCAAACCATGCCGATCTGAATTGTAGAGTAATAGTTCAAAGGTTTGATTTGGCAAGAAAAGAAACAAGTTTACAACTGCAACGAACTATCAATGTAAGAATAAAGTTCTGTGCAGTCGCCTTAGAATGATTTTGTACTGCCGTGTCTATTCGTCAGCTGTTATATCTATTGTACTGTCTAGGACAGGATCCGTGCCTGTACGACCCCTCTGCTGTGTTGGCCAAGTTTCCATTTACTCACCTTTACGAAGAAAGGGCAGTTCTTCTAGGTTATTATTATTTTTAAATTCTAAATCAGTTTTAGGAAAAATGAGGTATATTCCGTAATTCAATCATGACTCTGCAAAAAGCTTACATTTGGCAACTAAAACCTCTATTAAAAGAAATTCATTTCAGTCTGCTTATAATAAGTCTCATCAATTTTTAAGACAGGGTCGACTTTGAAGTGTCGCAACGTCTTGGGCTTTGATTTACCGCCCTTACTCTTTTATGCTTTTCTGTAGCCCTTTACATGTACATTTTAGCATTATAAAGCTATTGTTGTGAGATTTAGTTTTTTTCGAATTTTTTTTTACGAATTTTGTGGTTTACTTTTCCATTATTTGTAGGTGGTGCTGGAAGGTTTAGAGAAGCACTGATTATCTATATCCATGTTCTTCATGATCTTCAATCTGCTCTCAAATATTGCACTTCTGTTAAACCAGAAAAACACGGGTTAGTATACTCTTGGGAAACCTTAGGATACAGGTTTTATCATTTTTATTTAGGTTAAAGACATGTTTTTTTATATATTTTAATATTTATTGTTGGTTTGCACATAACCTTGTTTATTCATTTTACCTTGATTTTATTCAAATTATTTGTACTTGATATTTTTGAGTAACTTTCTGTTCTTTTCTTTTTTATTTGCTCTTTTTCATTATCTTCTGCTTAATGAAATAAGTTTAATTTTCTTGCTTTTTAAAAAAATTTGCACTAAATACATTTTTCTAAATGTTAAACATTTTTTAACTAAAACATAATCTGTGCAGTCAGGTTTATCAGCATCTAGTATCTTTGCTGGTTCAGCCTCCACTTCAATCCGAGGTTCCAGGTTTAGACCTAGCTGGGCCGGGTAGACCACCTGATCTTGATTCAGCAATCAGTATTCTAGAACAGGTATATTCGAAACTAAAGTTTATTTTGTTTGTTTTTAAATGATCGTTCACCTATTTCCAAAGTTGGTCTGTTTGACCGCTAAAAACTGTTTCAAGATAAATACGTGTTGTCTGTAAATTAGGACGTAAAGCACATGGAAACAGTAATGCAATATATTTTTTAAACTTTTATTATTTAAGAATTATTTATGCAATTTTTTCATATTTGACGGTGAAGGGTTTATTACTTCGTATCGAAAAAGTTACGCGAAATTCAGTTTAAAACCAGTTTTCGAACAGCATTTGACAGAATGAAAATATTTTAAACCCTTTGATATTTAAAATTTTGTTTAGTTTGGGTCTGAGATGGATTTGGTTGAGATACTGGGGTGTTTGCCCTCTAATGCTAAACTCAATAAACTTGCTAAGTTTCTCTCTCTAGCAATCAGTTCTAAGGTATAGGAAGTTTAAGAATATATTCTGTTGTAGAATAGGCTAAGAAACAAATATGTTTTCCTGTGTAAATATGTATAAATCTGATCTTAACTTATTACTTAATAAATGGAATTGATCTGATGATTGTTTCTTGTGCCAGAAAAGGTTCAATGGAACATAAGATAAATTATTAAAATGGGTGTTCAGGTTACATAAGAATCATACATGGTTCTCAACTAAGAGGAAATATTGTATTCCAGGTTTCTGCGCGGAATGAAGTGAGTGTTATTAAAGGTCTGCTTCACTCAGAACATCTAAGAGTCCAGGTATTGCTTTCTCATTTAATCAAGTAATTAATAATTCAATCATTCAATTAATCATTCACATCATCATTCACTTCATCAGTCAGTCGTCTGAAGTTATAATGTAACAAAAACAACTAAGGTTAAGAGAGAACAAAAAATAATCTGGATACGGATCTGGATACTGATCTGGATACTGATCTGGAGCTGGGAACTATTGTGTTGTATACTCATTATTTCAATACTTTGATTTTGATATTCACTGTGGACACTTTTAATTTAAGAATCAATACTTAATCTTTTCATTTAAGTTCTTTCTGCAGGGTACGATTACCACGCTGCATATCGAATAAAACTTTAATTAGTCTGTTGATTAACCATAGATCGAGATTAAGCATTGATCTCTATATTCACAATACAAGATCTTTTGTTTACAAGTCTGCGGCGACAAATTAAAAAAAAGTGATTTGTCAATACTTTTTATTCAGGAGGAACGGATAGATCTTCAATCCACTAAACTGATTATTTCTGAGTTCACATTTTGCAGTGTTTGTGGGAAGAGGTAGGCCAATTTTTATATTCAAGAATTTTTTTGACTTAACTTGAGTTTGAATTTATAGGACAATGTGACAGGTTCTAGATTTGATTGTTAATGTTAAATTCACCGAAATACGACGAGACTTTTTTAGTGCAAGAGTTATCAATATGTAAAATGATATTCCATATGAAATCAAAAGTGCTGGAAACCTGAACATTTTCAAAAACAAGCTCGATAAATGGCTGAATTCCTAAACAGCCAATGAAGTCGGAAAAGAGATGTTTTAAATTATCACACCCGTGATATATAAACATAAACACACCAATTAAACCAATTAAATTAAAATTAAATTAAAAGAAGGAAATCTAATTTTATATTTAGTTTGAATTCAGGGTCCGAATTGTAAATCAAAATATAGTTTCGAGTTTTGTGCTAATATATTTTTAGAGTTTTTTTTTAAACATAAAACCTTTTAACAGGTTCCACTAAATGCAAATATAACATTTGGATGATATGTTTCATGATAAAAGAATGAGAGGATTTTACAGAAAAATGAAGACCTCTTAATATGCAAAAAGAATACGTATTTTAATTAAGAAAATTATCAAAATAAATTTATTAGTTTTAAAATTTATTATTTTTTAGGTTTTCGTCCCTGACTGCTTTGGTTCGTCAGCCCAGTGGGTCTGTGTCTCATTATTCTTGTGCCTTGGAGAAATCCTAATTTTTTTTATTTATTTCGGGGCTTTTCTTGTTTTCTTTTCTTTTTCATATTTATTATTATTATTTTTGATTTATATCATTTGTTTGATTGTTTTTCTATGCATTTTGATAGATTCTAATTAGGCAAGTGAACGAGAACTTCAATAAACAAAAAGCTTGAATTATTTGACTTTGATTCACTCACACATATCATGCCATTTAGCTGAAAAGAATGTTTTAGCTAGGAATGGGATTCAAGTAATAATTTTAAAAGGAATTTCAAATTTTCTTAATCTTAGAATCCTAGATACAGTGCACACACATCTCAATTCGAAATTGTTTTTGTGTTTAAGTCAAGCCTAAAAAATAAACAATTATCTAAATTCTCATCATTCTAATTGCCTATATATTAAAATTATATAAAGATTCTTAAACCTGTTTTGTAATTTGGATCTTGTATGGAAGAACCCTATTTTTCTTTATTTTTTTATCCAACGATGGAAAAATGTGATGTCTAAAATTTACACCGATTTGCTGTGATTAAGATATTTATTAATAAGATATATCTACATATTTTTGTAATAGTTCCATGTTTTCTTATATTTCCTAAAATATAAATAGTTTAGGGATATTTGATGCCTTAGTTATTCTTGTTATAAAAAAATAATGTAAATGCAAATTAAGATTTAAAAATTTGACACTTCTAACCTTTAAATATGTTATTTAAGAACTTATCATACTTAATTTTATACTTGAAAATGTACTCCTTGCAGCCACGTCTTGCCACAGGGGTGTACTGTATATAAAAATCATTTTTTTCTCCTTTAAAAATCATTATTTTACTAGAAAATGAATATGCCTGTGCATAAGGTTTTATTCACTGAATAAATAAATTATGTTTAGGGGACAATCCATGAAGTTTGTGGTAAAAAGTGTCAATCAAAAATAATTTTTGTTCGNACAATAAACACCCCTGTCTTGCCTAGAATCCTACACTCTGATGTTAATATTAAAGGGCATAAAGGGAACTTAAAGTACTTAATTATAGCTTAGTTTACATAAACAATCCTTTTCAGATAAAGTGTTTAAATGAGTTTTCTTTTAATTTCTTTTACACAAAAGTTCTGTCACAAAAATTAAAATTTTACCTGATGTAAAATCAAAAATAATTTTTTGTTTGCTTAAAAAAAATTTACTTCTTAAAACAATTAAGTTTTTTCATTTGAGGATGATATCCTGATCTGTGACAATAAGAAAACTCTCTATAAAGTTTAATTTCATTTACTTGAGGTTCTTATAAGTATAATTTGATATGATTAAGTTTATTGATATATATTTCTAATTAATATCCGAAATTAAGATGTTTATTGTTTCAGAAGAAATGGGTGGAACTAATGAGAATACGCCTGCTGCTGAAGCTGGAGGTGTAGAAGTTACCAGTGTAGAGACTGCTCAGCTGGTTACTGATTCTCTTGAACTTACAGTTTCTGTAACTCAAATATCAAACGTAAGCAGTCATAACTCATTACTTCACTAGTACTCTGGGAAAAATGCAAGTTAGAAAGAAGCGGGATATATGTTTATTCTAAATTCAGCACATTGAAAATAGCAACCGACAGGCAATGCAAATTCCCATTACCTTAAGACACCTATCACAAAGCTTTAAGTTCATATCTCTCCTGATTTAGTAAGTTTATCTTGGGCATTATATCCCTGAAGCTCTGATTGATTAATTGATTGTTTTGAATGAAATTATCATTATTAAATAAACTGTGATTGTAGATTTAAGTGACAAAACAGGTGTACCCGATTCATGAATTCTGATAATTTTATGCATTTTCTCTGCAGCAGAAACTCAGATTCGCTAATTAATTGAAAAAATGAATTTTTCAGGAGATAAAACTGGATAATTCTTGATTTTAAATTAAGACTCGCCTAAAATTACAACCACAGCCCCTCTAAAGATTTACTGAAAAATTAAGCAACTTAAATAATATTTTATTTATTTGATTTAGATATCCCCCTCCCCCCTGGAGAACATAAGAGAGCTGCTGGATGAGGTGGAGGAGCAGGTATCTAGTTTGTAAATTAGTTTTAGATCATTTTAGACATTATTTAGTATTTAATGGAAGGTAACATTTATATATAAAGGTTTAGATTGTTTTAGACATTATTTAGTATTTAATGTCTATAGTGTGTAAAGATCAATACATATTAAGATTTAAAACTTGGTGTTGATGAAGATTGAAGAATCTGAACCTCATAGAGTTAATAAATTATGTATTAGTTCCACATTTTATTGAAAAGAAACTTCGATCTGGATTGACCCTCGTCAGTTCTAACGATATAATAACCATCAAAATCAATAACAAAAAAGGTTTAAGTAAAAATCACAAGAAAATAAACAAACAAAAAAAGCATTTTGAAAAAAAGAAGTCAGATGGAAAAATGTAATCGAGCTTAGATAATAATATGTATAAAAGATAATTTTAAAATATTCAGGTCAGATCAATAAAGGTCAGAATAAAGGTCAATAATAAGTCAACATAAAGGTCAGTATAAAGGTCAACATAAAGTTCAGTATAAAGGTGTGTATAAAGGGGAGCATAAAGTTCAGTATAAAGTTATGTGTAAAATTCATGTAAATGTCAGTATAAAGGTCAGTGTTAAGGTCAGTATTAACGTGAACATAAAGGTCAGTATAAAGGTCAGTAAAAAGATTATAAGATCATTATATAGGGGTCAGAATAAATGTCAGTATAAAGGTCAGTACAAAGGTCAGTATAAAGGTCAGTTAAAAGTTCAGTATAAAGGTGAATGTGAAGGTCAGTATAATGGTCGGTATAAAGATCAGTATAAAGGTCAGTAAAGTTAAATATAAAGTTTTGTGAACAGGTTGAGAAGGTTCGTGTAGATGCCTGCCAGCTGCAGGAGGAGAAGGAGGATATACAGACAACCTTAGAGATGCTCATGGATCCACAGATACTGGGACAACTTAAGGAGATAGATAGGTTAGTGGGAACACTGTTTACTGTACACTGTACACTAAACTCACACTGTACTTGTACCTGTACACTGTACACGGAACTCACACTGTACATTTACACTGAACTCAAATTGTACATTTACATTGAACTCAAGTTGTACACTGTACACTGAACTCACACTGTACAATTTACACTGAACTCACACTGTACAGTGTACACTGATCTCATACTTTACACTTTAAACTGAACTCACACTGTTCGCACTACACTGAACTCATACTGTACGCAATACACTGAACTCACACTGTACAATGTACACTGAACTCGTACAGTACATTTTACACTGAACTCACACTGAACATAAAGGTGGGTCAAATTATGAGGCTTCACTTTGAAACTTCAATGCATACGCCATACAGATTTACAGAAAAAGTAAACAATTTATTTAGATAATTGGATAATAAAAACCAAATAAAAAACATAAAGGGACTTAACAGTTCTATTCTAGATATTTTTGTTAACAAGGATTTTTAAACGTTAAATATTTTCTTTAATTGATAAAAATTGGTTGACTCAGTAACTTTTAAAAAGTTTCAATGGATTTGAATTCACCTCCCCCCCCCATAAAAATATTTCCCCCCGCTTTCATATTGTTGTTAATGTTAATTTTTGTATCACTGTTAATTTATTCAGGGAAGAGATGGAAGCGGTTATTAATAGGTTGTCCCTTAGATTGAACTCCGTCAATGTAAACGTACAGACCCCCAGGTATATAATAGGTTTGTAAAATCTAGTCTTGACTAAAAAACCGGGCGATTTGAAAAACCCTTTTTAAGCGAGATTTTGGACAGAAAGTTAGACGCAGATTTCATAGAATATTTATTGACTTTAGGTCAGATCTGGTTCAAATCTAAATATTATACATATATATATAACAGTAAATATTAATTAAAAATAGATGACTAAGGAAGAAAATACACAATTAAACTTCAGTATCTCGATGTTCTAAAGCCAAGTCTCTCCCCTAGTACATAGATAATATCCTGCGGACTTCGCTCCTCTCCTGGGACCATATCCTTGTAGACTTCGCTCCTCTCCTGGGACCATATCCTTGTAGACTTCGCTCCTCTCCTGGGACGATATCTAGGACTTCTTAATCTCCTTCATTTTACCATGGTTACTTGGAGACTGAGGAATGGCTGAGAGTGCAGTTGTTTGGAGGTGTGACAGGCTCCGACTGTACACAGTGTGCTCCTCTCCTGGGACCATATCCTTGTAGACTTCGCTCCTCTCCTGGGACGATATCTAGGACTTGGAGACTGAGGAATGGCTGAGAGTGCAGTTGTTTGGAGGTGTGACAGGCTCCGACTGTACACAGTGTACAAGTTCCATTTTCCGTGGAAGGGGGGAGGGTGTGTCGATTTCTGTTGATTTTATTTACCCCTATCATTTGAGTATATATTTTTTTTAAAATAAAAATATGAAATTGACAAAAAAGGAAAAATTCGTCAAAATTATTACGCAACCTCGTACGCGTAACTGCAAAAACTTCAAGTTCAAGGGCTAGGATAAGAAGTGAAATATTATCGGATTTTTTTGAAATTTTGTTTACAGCCTCCTGGAACCCTAAGGAACTTCGCTCCGTTCAGTGCCTTTTGAATTTCAAGATTTTGATATTTTGAAGTACCCTAGGCAGCATGGCTTAAATTTTTTTTTTAGTGCTGGACCTGTTTTTTTAAAGATATCGCAATGAAAACAGTGTTTATTTTTTGACTTGAGACTTCATTCTAAAACTTGGAAGATGTTGACAAATCCCCGCACTGTTGATTGTATTTGATTTAACTGCGCAGTGTACAGTGTACAGTGTACAGTGTACACATTTATTTAGTATAATAATCGTTTAGATCTCACACGCAGCAGGAGAGCTTACATCAGGTCAACTCAGGTAATACCAACTAATCAATCAATAAACCAACCAATCAATCAATCAAACCATTACTTAACCAAAAAATCAATAGATTAATCATTCTTACAAATCTATCAACTAATTAACCAATTAATCAATCAATTTATCAGTTAATCGTCATTTAAGCAAGCATTCTATTTCTAATTTACAAAAGTATGATTTGAAGATCAAATCACACTTCCAAGAAAATGCTTTATGTATATTTGTTTAGCTATTGACACTCTGATTATCCAAATCCAGACAGACACTATGCAGGCCAGCATGAAGTGTAGGTAAGGAGAGGTTTTGATCAATAACACTGCAAACTTAACAGGAGGAGAACGCCAACTTTTTGCGACATCGCTGGTACAACTTTGTGACCTCGTAGCTCCTCTAGTTTTGATTTCACGCACAATTATGAGAAAATTATATTTATCCCGTTCACTATTAGAGATACAAAACATTTTTATTCTTACCAGTAGCTCTTGAATAAAATTATTTATGATTCAAACCCTGTAAAATTTCCATCTTTAGTGTAATTTACTTTAGTTTGGTTTGGAAATCATTGTTGTTTAATTAAAGACTTGATAGTCGTATTGTATCTTGAATAAATTGTTTTCATAATTAGGTTTTTAGACAATGATTAAAATTTGACAACTTGTGATCACGGTTTCTGATAACTGCCAAATTTTCTTTTACAAAACTAACATTAACCGGTGACCATTTTTGTATCATATTAAAAACTTAGTTTTGCATAAAGTTGCTGTTTTTTTTTATCTGGATATGTTTAATAAAGATATATTCTATCCTTACTAGATATATCCTAACTTTAATAAGCAAACAACAAATACCTTTATCTGGATATGCTTAATAAAGATATATCCTATCCTTACTAGATATATCCTAACTTTATTAGGCAAACAACAAATACCTTTATTTTTGATCCATGATTACACTTAATTGAAATTATAGTTAACTACAATAGGATATAGATAGAAATATTGAGAAATAAAATAGAAATATATTTGAATTGTGTTTTGAAATCTTTGGAAAGGAGACTGAGCATATTTTCGAATATTAGGCATTCTTCTGAATCTTAACGGGTATTTTAGATCAACATCTTTCATGCCCATTTATGGGCATTGTACCACATCATAGCATTGGTAGAGATCGGACTGAAAACCCCGAATGCGGACAAGACTTGTAACTCAAACCATCATTCAGGAGCCTTAAGAAACAATTAGAAACAATTTTTAGTACTAACCGACGTTTAGGACCCGATAAAGCTTTTCATAGACACCTTGTTACTTTTATATATATTATGTATATATTTATATATTTATATATATTCTAGGCAGTATCTCTCTGCTGCAGGAACGGATATATCTGCACCCTCCGATGTCAGGTGGAATTAATGTTTGGTTCTTGTGATCTTACAAATATTTCCAGGACAGTTTCAAGCAGTGCTTAGGATCCGGATCCGTTGGATCCGCAAGATTTTGGCTTCCTGGGTCCGGATCCGGATCCGCAAAAATATGCAGATCCACGGATCCGGATCCAAGGGGTAAAATATCAACCAGAAACTGCAAAAAAAAAACTTTTACTCCTAAACTCAAATTTGAACTTTTGGAAAAAGAGAGATTATAAAAGTTTCATCATTTCTGAATGGTTCATCAAATTTTAGGATAAAAATAAGCGAAAAAAATAAAAATTTTAAAATTATTTTTTGTTAAAAAAATTCAGTAAATCTAAGAGAAATGATCCGGATCCGGATCCACTTTTTTCCAGTGCGGATCCTAAGCACTGGTTTCAAGTTTAATCGTTAAAACGTATCCCTGGCAGTTTGATTTGAAATTTTTTCCAAGACAGCTTGATCTGACAGATATTTTCATGGCATTTTATCTTACAAATATTTACAGGAAAGTTTGATCATAAAATTATTTCCAAAATAGTTTATCGTACAAATGTGAGCTGAAAACTTTAGAATGATGGATATCAAGATTACATCTTAAACTCCTGGTTTTACTAGACCCGAGATTATTTTAATACGCATTCGATATCCAAGAAAGAATTGTATAAAATTCAACCAATCAGCGTATTATTTTAAGATGTAAAGCGTGTGCTCTTTACCTTTTGAAAAACCGGTTTTTTTCTGGTGTTAATTGTGTCATATCAATTGACCTAAACATCGTTTAAATAAATGCAAGTTTTGGATTAATGTTTATTAAGACTCGTTTAAAATGATGATAGTCCTAAAATGTGATAAAATATATTTTTAATTGGTTCATATTAACATGATTAAATTTATTTTTGTTTAAATGCCCTTAAAGCCGGCTTGTGCATCGGATATTAGTTCAATCGATATAGCATTGTATCTGTAATTGTTATCATAAATACGTAACTTTTATAGAGTAGAAATATCCAAAAGAAGGATTAAGAATAAAATCAAAAGTGTGTACAGATTAAGCGATCAGGATTAAGGATATCTCATTTTAAAGTTTTCAGCTCAGGACATTTTGATTTTACAGCTGTTTCCAGGACATTTTGGTCCTACAACTAAAAAATGTTTACAGAACAGTTTGGCCTAACACACGTGTCTAAGATATAAAAAGACAGTGTTTAAGTTGGAAGCTTCAAGATTGAGCATAAAACTGGAAACACCAATGGTTTACACCTTACCTAGATCAATTCTTATTTCCATGCTTTAGATTATTCTTCTATAATTTATTTCTCCAGATTTGAGGCTCACCTGCTAGGATGTGCTGTAGAGGATCAAAAGAACGTGAAAAAACGTTTGTTGGGTCTGTTCGATCATATCAAGGAAATATATTCAACATATTACTATCCTGATTAAATAAGAATCATTTCACATTCTATGTTGACCAATTATTTAGAACACTTAATAAAATTAATTGCTGTCTAATGCATTCATCAAATCAATTCAGTTAATATCTATTTTAATTATAATTAAGATCATATGCAATGGTAATTAAAAGTGACGCTTAAGAAGATAACTGATCACAAGCTACATTCTTGTTTTTAGTAGATTCACTACGGGGGAAGGGCTTATCTTTAACTCTGTTTTAAATTGATTTTATTTGATTTGCTAATTTTTATTGGAATTATAACAGGTCTTTGATTTTTATGCAATCCATTTGATAGGAATCGATACAGATTGTTTCTGTGTTGGATTGCTTGGCCTAATTATTTTATTTTAGCATTGATTTATTGACAAATTTCTTTTGAGAAATATGTTCCTCACCATCAAATTAGATTACTGTATAATTTTCACTTTATATTTCGTTGTCGTTATTTAATAATTTTAAAAAAACTGATTCTGAAAGCGTATCCACCCCCAAAGTAGGAGTTTTGAACGTCGAATTTGCGCTCAAACTCAGGATGTACAGATCTTTAAAAAGTTTCATATGTCTCAAATGAATCCGAAAGAAGTTTTTAACAACACTGCATACTCAGTTCAACTACCTTACATAGCTGGTGACTCCCTTTAAATAGGGTGATTTTTCTAGAAAATATATACTACCTCTGGACTATTTGGTCCTTTGATCAATAGTTATTTTTTAGATAAATTTCAAAAATTTAGATGTTATTAACATCTTTATTATGAATAATGTTGAAATGTTTTAATCCAGGCCATTGCTAGTGAGTGTATACAAGAAGATGATCAATAATATTTGATCAATTATCACACGCGCAGTCAAAGTTGATGCTTGTTGATAGATCTATTCTCTTTTTATCAGCTACCTATATTTCCTGTTGAAATATTATTTTTCTACACATTAATTCATATATTATATATTGATGAATTTCTGATATGATGTTGCAATCAATCTACGCACTGTCACCTACCTTTCAATCTAGTATTTACAACTCTACTTCATTAGACTTATTTAAAGGAAAATTGAAATGGATGTTTGTTTTAACATTTATTTTAAATCTATTAATAAGTCTGGTGTCACAATTTGCAGTCAGCTGGTAACATCACAATGATCGTTAATCAAATATCTGCATACATTTGTCTTGTGATCTCAAATTTTCCAGAGCTGATATTATCATGTATTTGGATTTTATAATTTTATTTTTTATTTTTTGTAAGATGTTTGAGTGGTTTAGTCACATCCGTCCAAATTTATTTGTTGCTCTGTTGTAAATTTTTAATGCAAACCCCGTCTCCTCGTTGTGGAGAACAGGTGTACTGTGAATTTTTTGTACTATTTGTCATTTAAATAAATTTTTTTATTCATTTTTGTAATATGAAATAACTTTCTTATATTTCAGAAGAGTATAATGTTGGATTCAGAACTTGTGTTGTGGGGGCACTATTAGGAATCGTTCAAACCTTAAAAATAAACATGGTTGGGGTCGGAAATAATTTTTTTTTATTTTGAAACTAATTGTCAATTTGTATGGAAACAACTTTTCATAAATTAGATATTGAATAGACAAATGAGCAAATAAACCAGTGCTTGGATCCGGATCCAAGTCTTGAACATTTATTTAGAATTTACTGAGTTTTTTATCAGAATAATAATTTTCAATTTTTTCTTCTTTGTTTATCGTTTATTTTATGCTAAAACTTGATTAACTATTCAGAGATGAAGAGCAAAAGATTTATTTTTGTGGTTTTTGCTCATATTTTGCCCCTTGGTTCCAGGTTTGTGGATCTGCTTATCTTTAGTGGATCAGGATCCAGGAAGCTAAAATGTTGCGGATCCGGATCCAGAAAGCTAAAGTGTTGCGGATCCAATGTATACGCATCTTAAGCACTAAAATAAACCCTATGATTTCGACTTGTCACCAAGGTCTAGTCTAAAGATACGAAGACTTCAATTTGATGTTGGATCACATTCACATGTCTTCATTACAAATTAAACAACTGACGAGGATCAACCCGTATCGAAATATATTTTTAATAATATTTGGAATTTTCATATACTTTTTTAATCTACGGAGGTTTGGTCAATCACATTCACCGATTTTTAAATAAATGATCATCAAACCCTTCAAATATATTGGTTGATAAAACAAGTTTCTGAATAGAACATCATTAAATAAACTCGGCTGAACAGCTCTGTTATGAATTATAATATCCCAGAACCTGCTGCAGTACATTTTTATTTGTAAACAACTACTTAGCAGAGAACTTGAATTACTTTTAACTCATAATGAGTCCTATCTTTTTTTACAACCGAACGAAAGACGGGAAACATATTCATTACTAATCCTTGAAGGATTTTACTGCCATTTGAGATTTGAGGGATTTCCGAAAGCTAGGAAACGCCTCATAAAATTTCAGTATTGACGTTTCCGTTTTTTGTTGATTCGTTTCCGTGTTGAGGCGTTTCCATACCATCTTGCATTGTGTACTATTTAATGCTTTGTTTGAATGTAAAGAGATTAGGGATTTAAGATGGAATAACATGGATGTGACACAGAAAGCACGACAGGACTCCCCAAATATTGAGTCCTTGGAAATAATGTAATTATTATCCACCCTTCAAGGGAACAGAGACTATGAGTGGACAGGGGATCCAGGGGAGCAATGACAGAGTTTCAAATGAATTTATGAGCTCTGACAGACCAACACAGAATCTTAATTCTTCAGAGGTAGTCAACAAAGGGAAATATTTGAACTGATCATAATTAATATTTAATTTTTTTGTGTTCTTACAGATTCATATCCACTTTTTGTTGATATACGTAATATTCTAGGTCTCTGGTGTCGTTTTGAATAATTATCATGGTGGGAAAATTCTCTCAAATCTAACCATACTTCAACCCATGGATCTTCCGCATTCGATTCCTCTTCAAATTCCTTTTCAATCCAATTCTTCTAATCTTCAACTGCCTCAGGACTGTAGAGTTCAGCCTCAAGTATTCTCTAGTCATCCGACACAGCCTCAACCTCAACCTGAGGTTGATGAAAGCGAGGATGAGGATATTCATGTTTGTGGATCCTGTAAAACCGAGTTTAAGATCTACAGTGAATTTCGTGCACACAAAACCACATGCAACAAACGGAAAAAAGTAAGCAATGCTGCGCAACATTCTCAATCTCCAAATCTAAATAGCTCGGCTGCAGTTGATCAGGAAATAAGGATTCCATCAGCGCCCCTGTATCTGCAGAATCAGGAGGAGGTAAATCAACAGGTATGATGTTAGTCGGGTTTCATGAAAAATGTAATGCTTTCAATCAATCAGAATTTTAGGGATGTTCTACTATCCACCTCTCAATTAGATGAAGTTACTTAATGTAAGAAAGAGATATGGTCTTACAGTTCATGTTTAGGCGTTAAAAATCAAAAAAAAAAGGGAATTTTGAGCTTTTGTTTTGCTTTTACTTATGCTGGTGCATGGACTATATATAGGCATTGGATTATACAAGATAAAATTGTTATCTTTGAACCATGCAAATTAAGGATCATGCATGTTGCTAGATCATATAGGTTGGAACTATGGAATGAACTTAGATGAACACTATCAGGACTTAGCTTTGATTGAAATTGACGTAGAACGGCGGGTTCAATTTTGTTCAATTTTGTTCAATTTATATTGGCTGATTGATTAATTGAAAGATACGATTTCATCCATGAACACTTCTTTTAACAAATTCATAACTAACATATACTTCTTTATCAATTTGGAAAATAATCTTGAATTGTTTCCATAAAATGCTTTTTTACAAAGCTTCGAAAGTTACAAAATGCCGTTTCATTTTTATTTCTATTCAAATTAAGGAAACATGACTTAATTTTCTCTCTTAAGGTTTTCCGACCTTTAGATGTATGCTATCTTATCTATATCCGTAGTTATTTAATAAATCATGTTAAGATTGATTGGTTTTTGTAAAAGTGAAGGATTTCCAGCAATCACATTTTGCTGCAAGTTATCCCTCTTTGATGTTTAAAAACTACAATACCATTTTCTTATCAGATTTACTACGTAGCCAAATCTGCAATAATATATTAATATTATGAGCAACTTACTTTGTTTTATCTAGTCTGTGGATGTTTATGAGACTGTGGAGCAGGATGATATTCCAGTGTACGCAGAAAATGCGTACAGCGAGGGATGTATAGTAACGCATGAGCAACTGGTTTCAGTACAGCCAGCTGTGCTTCAGCAGCCTAGTATTAGTATTCTGAGTCAAGGTTAGAGATACAAACCCTTTAGATTTTCTGTTCATGCAAATTTAGGATTACAAGGGGGGAGGAGGGAAGGTGGGTTGATTTTTGATGCGGGGGGGGGGGGTGTAATAATAAATCGGAAATCAAAAGGCAAGTTTTTCATCCTTTTTTAACCCAATTTAGTAAGAACGGAAAAGTACCAATCATTTGTGAGGAAAAACTTATTTTCACAATAGGGAGTAGGAATGATTTTTCAAGAAAATATACACCCCCATGTGTTAATGTTTATTCAATGTCATTATCATTGTCTAATCTGTAGCTTTTTTAGCTGTTTTAAATACAAATAGTTAGTTTGGTGTATGTATAGTTATACTGTATAGTGAATAGAGACAAGAGACAAAGTAAGATTTTTTAGTGCCGTCTCCTGCCTCTGCTACTGAACCTCAATCTGACCTACCTTCCCCTCAATCTAAGGTACAAGTTTACAAATGAATTGTCTTTTTGTTTGTCAATTTGTGACTAGTCGCAGCTGTGCTCAAGGACAGTTTCAGGATTTAAGGTAGGAGGAGGGGGGCGTAAAAAATATATATTCGCTCTTTGGGTGCATCGCCATTCTTTCTAGCTTGACCAACCTGTCGGTGGTCATTGATGACTTGTTTCAGTTCAAAAGTCTTCCAAAAATCCCCTAAATTCACTCGGGGTAACGGACTGCCCCCCCCCCTGGAACCGCCTATGGGTGTTCTACTTTAGCAAGTGCTTAATTTAGGACATTCTTTTTAATCGATGTTGATATCTGTCTTTTGAATATGAATTGATTTTTTGTACAGTTTGAAACATTTTATCCCATATTTTACTTGTTTTAAAATTTAGGTAGCACTGTTCCATGTTTGTAGTTTTGTTGGTTGTTTGTTTAGTTCTAGATATAGGAAAGATCTTGATAGACATCTTCGTACACACACAGGTTAAACAAATTTTAACTAGACTTTTATTTTCATTGTTGGATAAACTGTGCTTTTTTTCATAGGTGAGAAACCCCATTCCTGTGATCAATGTGGAAAATCTTTTGCCAGACAAGATAAATTAAAAAGACACATGAATATTCATACAGGTAATAAGATCTACACTTGACAGTATGCACACTCAAAGGTGAAAATTGAACACTGCAGCCTTACAATTTTAAATAATTATTATTTTTAAAATGTGAAATTATTTTCAGGTTTAAAGAAATATTCTTGTCCTCTCTGTTTTTACAAAACCTACGAGAAGTCTCATTTCACCAAACATACAAGAGTTCATACTGATGAGAGACCATATGATTGCCAGGTTATTATTATTATTCCAAGGTTCCGAGCTAGCTAAATCCCGCAAAAAAAGTATTCATTATGTAGACAGAGCATCTATTTTTACGCTGTCAAAGCATAACAAAAGAGTAAATTCGCACCATTTTTTATCCAAAGTTGTTTGCGCTCATGTTGCTGCGCAAGTAAAATGGTTAGCTGGGTCTGTAAAATTAGAATTGAAATATCAAAGTTAAATATTTCTAAATGTGTGCTCTATATTTTAAAACATTCAGAAATAAACCTGAAATTAATTATTTTTGTAGATCAGATATAAGTTTTAAGTCTTTTTTAGATGTGTCCTTACCGTTGTAAAAGCAGTTCTCAGCTGACAGTCCATTTAAGAACTCACACAGGTATGGAATACTTAGTTTGTTGATTAGCATGGTTACATCTAAAGTTTTTAACCTTCAAATTGAATGCAACATAATTATATAAGAGTTTTTCAGTAATATTTGCCCATGCATTAACTTGATTAGGATTCATCTATGATCCATTTCTATATTTATGAACGATTTACGATCCCATTAAGGTGACTCACCTTTCATCTGCTCCCACTTCTCCTGCTCTGCATCCTTCAAATCTAACTCTGATCTGAAAAGACATGAAAAGACCCACACCGGTGTCAAGCCATACAAATGTGATTACTGTGATCATAGGAACGTCCAGATACTTCAACACAGATAAAAATCTAAAATTAGTTAGACTTGTTAGACCACTTCAAATACATTTTTTGTCACAACAACTTCTCAAACGCAAGTTAAGAGTAAAACTTCCCTCTGCTATTCGAGAAGCATAGCTGAACTTTGAATACCAAAAAGCTGAAATTTTTTTTATTTATTTACGACAATTTTATTCCTACTTCTAAAAGTTATAGAAGATGCATGTTTTTAAAGAAATGTACTTGAAACTTGTAAAGATCTAAGATGATGTATCTGAATAAACCAGGGTTGCAATCAAATCTAACCTTAAAGCTCATGTGAGAGCAAACCACAGGATGAACGAGGTGTTCAGCTGTAATGCAGAATCATGTAACTTTGTAACTTGTGATAAGGTAAATTTTAAATGGGGATAAAGAACTGCACCGTCTTCATCTCTTTACTTCACATGATTTGGTCGAGGAAGATCAATCGTTTACCATAAATTCTTATATTTAAAAAATTAAAATTTAATGAATTTTGACGTGTTGTAAAATTGTTATAATATCTTGAACCTAATTTCATTAAAAAAAATTTAAGATGATACTCATGGCTTGTAAATAAAGGTTTGCAAAATAGATTGTCTCCAGGTTGAATTGCGTGAGCACCAGCGGAAGCACGCTGATCTATTCCACTGTAACATCTGCAGCTTTACATCACAACAACGATCCTGCTTTACCAGACATCTGGCTAAACATAGGTCTGTACCAGACAGCCGGCACTGTGTAGTGTGTATATCTTTTTCAAACTTGTTTTGTTGTTGCAATTATATGGGAACTAGTCTATTGAGTTATTTCAGTTTTGTGTTAATGTATTTTATTATTTAAACCTAATATTTTCTTTTTGTAAAATGATGTTTTAAGTCCATCAATGTCTCCCAGATAAATATGTTCTATTGTGTGTTCACCTCTTTATTTTAGTTAACAATTATCAACATTTTAGGAATTTGTCAGAGTTCAAGTGCGAGTACTGTTCTTACACCTGTAAATCAAGCAATGTGCTTTCTAATCATAAGAACAGGAGGCATGCGCACAATACGCCGGGGTCGTCTTTCTCTAAGTCAGAAAGAAAACAGAATAGCGACAAGATGGAGGATAAAAGTCCAAAGAAGAAAGTTTTAATGAAAACAATCTGCAAACCAAACTTTAAATGTGCAATATGTAATGGAGAATTTGTAAGGAGGGATTCATTACGAAGTCATCTCAATCAACACAAGAGTTTAGGTTAGTGACATAAACATAAACATATATAAATTATTTTTAAACTCAAATTTCGGGAATTTTTACTCTTCAAAATTTGGGGATTTAATAAAATATTAGACACTGTCCAGGGAAAATAATTCAATTTTGACGATCCACAAATCTTCCTTGATGTCATGTGAGTGCCACAAATAAATATTCAAACTATTTGATCTGTTTAGGAACACCAGTTCCTCATATTGGATGCATCAAGGAGACCTATGTGAGTGGAACATCTTCAAGAGAACCTGCTGTCAAGGTTGGTCATTTTTTTTGACCCATTGATTGATAAGATGATTGATTAATTGAATGATTTCCTCTTAATTAATGACTGTTTGTTGATGTTTTAAATTAATAATTAATTAATTGAAAACACTTAAAGTTAACTTAGAAATCTTAAAATTAGTTTACAGAAATAGTTAACATAAAAATTAAATTAGAAAAATTGGAATATTTGTTTCAGGTTCTAAAATTAGTGTCGGCTGAAGGTATTATTTTCAATCCCCAGGACAATAAAACCGACTCGAACATATTCTTCTAAATATGTAATCTTTCACTCACTTCATCTCATCATTTACACTTCTAACTAAGATCTGGTATTACTATTTCTAGCTAAGATCTGATATTACCCTTTCTAGCTAAGATCTGTTATTCACAATTCTAACTAAGATCTGGTATTCACATTTCTTACTAAGATCTGATATTACCATTTCTAGCTAAGATCTGTTATTCAGAATTCTAACTAAGATCTGGTATTCACAATTCTAGCTAAGATCTGGTATTCACAATTCTAGCTAAGAACTGATATTCACATTTCTAGCTAGGATCTGGTATTCACAATTCTAGCTAAGATCTGATATTCACATTTCTAGCTAAGATCTGGTATTCACATTTATAGCTAGGATCTGATATTCACAATTCTAACTAAGATCTGGTATTATTATTTCTAGCTAAGATCTGGTATTACCATTTCTAGCTAAGATCTGGTAATCACATTTCTAATTAAGATCTGATATTACCATTTCTAGTTAAGATCTGGTATTACCATTTCTAGCTAAGATCTGGTATTCACAATTCAAGCTAAGATCTGGTATTCACATTTCTAGCTAAGATCTGGTATTCACAATTCTAGCTAAGATCTGGTATTCACAATTCTAGCTAAGATCTGGTATTCACAATTCTAGCTAAGATCTGGTATACAGATTTCTAGCTAAGATGCTGTACTTAAATTTCAAACTCAAGATATTCCGAAAGGATTTAACATTTAATTTGTAAATGTTAATGTAACTTAACATTTTTTGTTATTGTATTACTGTATTGTTTGTTTTAATAATAATGCTCGTAATACTATTTAAAAAGATAAATGAAATGTAACTGATTTTTAACATAAAAATAATTTTAGAAATAAAATGCTTTAAGTTCTACCTAATAACTCAAAAAAAACTAAGTCATACCAGTTAAAAAATGAAAGAAGAAAAAACAATTTACACTGAGATAAATAATATCATTTGTTAATTTATTTATTACAAAGGTAAATGATATCATTTGTTAATTTATTTATTACAAAGGTAAATGATATCATTTGTTAATTTATTTATTACAAAGGTGGAATGAAAAACATTTAACCTGAAGAATTTATTTAATGTTCTTTCAGGTTCAAATTTTTTTTATCCCAACATCATAAAAAACAAAACAAACGATATTTTTCCTTTTCCGTTGGTTTTGACCATATTCAATTTTGTAATTAAAAATATTGTTTTCAGAAATGTATAAGAAAAAATTTTGTATTTCACATATTTTCTGTATCTTTATTTTATGTAATCAAATCCAGGGAAAACATTCTCAAAACTTTTGGATTTTTAAGCTTTATATTTAAAGTTAGTGTAAAAAGTTGTAATTCTTGTAATTAATTTTGATACAGATAAATTACCTACTATTTAGTCAACATAGGGATGTTGAATTTATATTTTTAAATGTAATTTCAGATCTCTACAATGCTGCGAGTTCTAAGGCGAAAATGTTTTTACTGCTTGAAATTTCACGAGAAGCCTGTTCAAATGAAAACATACTTTTCTACAAGAGCAACGGAAAAGGTAGAAAGGGTTTAAACAAAAAAATTGTTGGTCGTCTGACATGTTTTCCCTGAATTTGTTACATCAAAAATTAAAATATCACAATTTAAATCTATTTGCTAAATATGAATTTTGAAATTTTATAAAATAAGCTTTTTAAAATAAAATTAGAAATTTTTAATTAAGGTTGAAATCGAGTGTGGTGGAAACAGCAAGCTTGAGATCAGCACCGGTCAACTTGCTAGACTAGCAGATGGTACAGCAGTTGCCAGGTATAGATTAGTACTATTCTGCTAGACTAGCAGATGGTACAGCAGTTGCCAGGTATAGATTAGTACTATTCTGCTAGACTAGCAGATGGTACAGCAGTTGCCAGGTATAGATTAGCTATTCTGCTAGACTAGAAGATGGTATAGCAGTTGCCAGGTATAGATTAGTACTATTCTTCTTGATTAGCAGATGGTACAGCAGTTGCCAGGTATAGATTAGTACTAGTCTGCTAAACTAGCAGATGGTATAGCAGTTGCCAGGTATAGATTAGCTATTCTGCTAGACTAGCAGATGGTACAGCAGTTGCCAGGTATAGATTAGTACTAGTCTGCTAAACTAGCAGATAGTTACAGCAGCAGCTAGGTATAGATTGCTAAATAATAATAGATTAGTACTAGTCTGCAAAACTTTGGAGACATCGAAAGAATTTATAAAATGTGTCGTCTTGACAAGTTTTCAATTTGTTTTATGGTATGATACCTATTATTATTATTATTGTCATTATTAACAATCAACCAACAGACAAAGTGCAACGACCTGTAGGCTGAAATACAATGAAGATAGGGTTGAGCTCTGCCACTTGCCCTGGTCTATATGGGATCTAGTGGTTCAGATCTCAGTAATTGTAAAAAAATAAATGGCCATGAAATATGGGGTAGTAGTTTTTAAGAGCTTCATAATAAATATTCAATTAGAAAACTAAATATCTGCAGCATTCCATTATCAGTAAGTTTAGAAAACGCATTTTATAAATCTTTTGATGTCTCCGATGTTCTGGGTTAAATAGAAGTAAGTCTAGGCTCGAAAAAAATGTTCTGACAAATCCATTTACTTAAAAGATCTGTAAATAAAATGTTTCATATTTAATAAAGGGGCATGTACAATTCAAAACAGTACCTTTAAAAGCTTTTCTGAATTGGATTTCCATGATTTTATCTTCGAAAACTGAGAATTTTAGTTATGGGTTCTCTACTGAAGTGACACTTTCTCACTTTCTGCTTAAGAAATAATTAAGAAATTATCAGAATTAAACACTGTTTAAGGGGGGGGGGGGTACAAGAAATTACGACTCAAGAATTTTTCGAAATTATTAATTTTGTTCCTTATTGTTTAGGTTAGGGAACACCTCTGTAATGACAACTGTTGTCTCCAAGGGAAAACCTTCTGCTCAAGGTTTCCTTCCTCTTACAGTAGATTACAGGTTGGAAGGGAAAACGAAGATTTGAAAAATGGATTGTTGCTAAATCCAAAGAGATATTTTATCAGTTATAACATGAAAATAAATTTTTTACCCAAAAAAAAGAGGCACAGTGTGCAGGGGGTTTGGACTCATCACTGAAGTTTTTTTTAATTAAACTGACTTAAGTTCGGTTTTTAAATGTTTAAGAAATAAGATAAAGTTACTTTTTATGATTCATTTCTAGAAAACCATTAAATTTTTATCGTGTAGAAAATCAGTCTCCGAAAATTCTTTGGTTTGAATTTTTGGATACTTTAATCCATTGACCCTTTAATCCTCAAATCATCTGATCTCAAATACTTTAATCCTTAAAACCTTAAATCATTTAACCATTTTAATCATTTAATCCTTCAATTAATCCTTAATTCAGTAATCCTTTAATCAATTATTCCTTTCATTAAAAATCCTTTAATCTGTTAATCTTTAATTTGTTAATCCGTTAATATTTCTGGTTCTGGTGCTGAATCTCTAGATGAATAAATGTTTAGACAGAAAGCAGCTGCTGCTGGTCGTATTCCAACCAACTATCTACGGCGGGAGCTGGGAGCTTCTGAGAGAGAAATATTGGTTGGACGGATGATAGATCGGAGTATACGACCTCTGTTCTCTCAAGGATATCAAGTAGAAACAGGTTTATACTCTTGTATACTTTAAAGGGATTGTTCCTGTTATCTCAAGGAACCTTCGATTTAAAGAGACACAACATGGCCCCTTTAAACATTTGTCTCAGCTACAATGAGAAACATAACATTCTTTTTTCTAGCCTGAAACTTGTTTAATTCTGTTCATTTCCTTTGTATTCTCATATCAGCAAAAAACACAAGTAACTTCTACAGAGAAGAGTATTAGATAATAATGATTTTTAAGAATGAAAAAGGGGGAAAAATATCACCATGGCAAATGTACCGTTGTGAATCGGATTTGTTTTCTATTACTTAAGAGTTCCTTGATATTAAAGAAGTCCATGGATCAAAATCCATTTTATTTTCCTCGTACTTATTTTCATTTTCCCATATTTTTCCTATTTTGATAATACCAACACCAACATTTTTTCTTATCATTGAAAACTTTTAATATGTAGTTACTTATCTATACCTAAATACATAACACTAAAGCTATGTTAATGAATAGGTGAATAGGTGAATGAATGAATGAATGATCTAATGAATGATCTAGGATTGAACTGTAATCTCCTGTCTGTGGATGGAATACATGATCCTGAAGTTCTGAGTATAAATGGTGCTAGCGCAGCACTCAGGGATATTTTCATTATTATTATTATTATCAATTTTCAATATCAATATTAGGGCTTAGACTCCTTTCTAGTTTTAATCGGATTTGTCTTGGGGAAAAATTTAGGATTTAACTTTAAACAAGTCCAGATCTTGCACTGTTAATCTTCATGCACTCACTGAATTCAATTCTAATTTTATCAGACAATGAACTTCTATAATCAGTTAATTCATTAATATTCACCTCTACAGTGGTCTACAAAGTGAGTGAGTGAATGATGAGAATACGGTGTACCTAGTATATCTGATGTACCCTGGGGTCCAGCTGTTGGAGCGGTCAGGTTAGGTTACTGTAGTGGTCAGATATTGGTAAACCCGACCAGAAAAGAATTGACCCACAGCGAGCTGAACCTAGTGGTTGCTGGAACTAGGGATGTACAGACAAATTACTCACAATTCTTCACAAATACATATTATCATGTTAAAAATATATCTTTTACTGTATATAAAGCAGACATATTTGTATTAAAAGATAGTATTGCATGTGATTAAAGAACATAAGAATTTAAAAAAAGTTAAAACAGGTTTAAAGAAAAATCTCAACCAAACTTTGAAACAATTCAGACTGTCAGTTCAGGATTTATATTTTGATAAAAATATTATCATCATGTGTCCTGAAACAATTAAAAGATGAACAAAAACCTTAAGTAGGGAAATTTAATACAAATGATCTTCAAAATGACAATTAAAAAAAAAATTAGATGTATTTACCAAGGATTTGTGGGGTTGGTGATGTCTTGATTTTAACTGAAGTTGAGGACTGTTTACGTTGGTGGGGNGGGGAGGGTTCTTGGTTGCTGACTATTCGGCTCAAAAAATCCCAAATTTCGCAACAATTGAATAGAACGTTTCTCCGCACATGAAATTATGCAATTACTATTTTCTGATTGATTGATTGATTTGTGAACTGTACTCCTGGTGTATAGAGATGGGTTGGCAACTATGCTGGAAGGTGAAGCTAAATGTTTAGACCATAAAACTTTCATCGAGGCAATTCAGGTAAACTGTTTAGTCTTAAAGGGGCTGTAAGCGTAATTTTAAGTGACCCTCTATGCAAAGATGTCGATTCCCAGTTTACAATGGTACCCTGATCAGAAATGTGGAATACATTGTCGTTTTTCTAGGTTTAAAACTATTTTATTCAGGTATGTAGAAATACTAAGGTTAATTTCGTAGAGAAGCCGCAATTAAAAATAATCAGTTTTAAAAATTATAAACATTGATTTCTAATTCAAACTTGATCAGAAAAAGCTTTTAAAGGTACTGTTGTGAATCGGACGTTGCCAAATTTGCATGGAGGGTCACTTTAAATTACATTTACAGTTCCTTTAGCATGGTAAAATTATTTTTTCTTAAAGGGACTGTCAACTTTATTACCTAGGTGACCCTGCATGCTCGATTAACAAAGTCCGGTAGCCTAAAAACCTTAGGCTGTGCGTTATTCTTTTTTTTGTCTGAAAATAGAAAATTTTCATTTATGTTAATAGTGACTTGTATGTTTGTGAATACGGAATGAAATTAACAGAAAATCTGTTTCGAAATTTATGATTGCTACCTATATAGTAAATATCAGAATAATAATGATAAATGATATATTTAGGTTGGATTAGAGCACTGTGCTCGTATAGCGCTAAGTATAGAGAGCCTGGGAGAGAAGGTAGGAAGGAAGAAGAGAGAAGTTGGTGGAGAAACTACTGTACAACAAGATCAGGATTTATTGTATCTTGTGGATACTTTGTGTACTGCAAAACTTAGGTACATTGTTTACTTACTCAGTGTTTATTTTACTCTTTTAAGCTTGAGACCGGAAAATTAATTATATTTTATATTTCTTTTAATTTTACTATTTTTTAAATTAAAATTTTATTTTCTCTTGCGATCTTCCAATATAAAAAAATTAAAGTTGTTTTATTTTTGTTGAATGTTACTTATGAACACCGTATTTGTTTAGAGCTATTTATACAGATTACAGCTTGGATAAACAGTCTAGAGATGGCAAAATGTTTAAAGTTCGTGACGAAATGATAACTCAGGTATAGTTCAAGAGCTTGTGAGATCTAGTGGGCGCCGGGCAATCATGTCTAGAAGGATTTTGTCTAGTTACTATTTGACTAAAAGTAATTCCAGACCAGCTAGGACACTGGACACTGGACAGTCTTTAGAAATGACCCATCAGATCGGATTAGTTGAAATTTGAATACTTTTCAGATCTGTGAAAGGTTATTAATGCTTAAAGCAACCACCGTGAATCTCGTACAGGTCGTTGTACTTTGTCTGTAGGTTGATTGTTAACAATAACAGGCATTTTTTTCGTATATGGCCACTTAAAATATTAGTTGTATATCCCTGTTAATTTATGAGGCCCAAGGGTGTGTACAGTGGGGACTGGACCAATTCTTGGAGCACATACAAAAAACATATCATCACTAAACATATTCCAACGAAACATATCGATACAAAACCTATAGTATAGAACCCTGATCAAACTCTTGGCGTCTGTAAGTGTTTTTATCCATGTTGTTCAATTTCTGTGTTTGTTTAAAACTGTTTGTATTGTCTAAGTAAAGAGTATTAAACCTGTTTGTTTTGTCTAGGTGAAGAGTGTTAAACCTGTATGTTTGTCTCGATGAAGAGTGTTAAACCTGTTTGTTTGTCTCTATGAAGAGTGTTAAACCTGTCTGTTTGTCTCGATGAAGAGTTTTAAACCTGTTTGTTTGTCTCTATGAAGAGTGATAAACCTGTCTGTTTGTCTCGATGAAGAGCGTTAAACCTGTTTGATTTGTCTCGATGAAGAGTGTTAAACCTGTTTGTTTGTCTCTATGAAGAGTGTTAAACCTGTCTGTTTGTCTCGATGAAGAGTTTTAAACCTGTTTGATTTGTCTCGATGAAGATTTGTCTCGATGAAGAGTTTTAAACCTGTTTGTTTGTTTTTTTTCTAGGTGAAGAGAATTAAACCTATTTGTTTTGTCTAAGTGAAGAGTAATAAACCTGTTTGTTTTGTCTATGTGAAGAGTATTAAACCTGTTGTTTTGTCTCGGTGAAGAGTATTAAACCTATTAGTTTTGTCTAGGTGAAGAGAATTAAACCTTTTGTTTTGTCTAGGTGAAGAGTATTAAACCTGTTTGTTTGTTTTTTTTCTAGGTGAAGAGTGGTAAACCTGTTGTTTTGTATAGGTGAAGAGTATTAAACCTATTAGTTTTGTCTAGGTGAAGAGTATTAAACCTGTTTGTTTTGTCTAGGTGAAGAGTATTAAACCTATTGGTTTTGTCTAGGTGAAGAGTTTTAAACCTTTTTGTTTTGTCTAGGTGAAGAGTTTTAAACCTTTTTGTTTTTTCTAGGTGAAGAGTATTAAACCTTATTAATTTGTCTAGGTGAAGAGTGTTAAACCTTTTTGTTTTGTCTAGGTGAAGAGTATTAAACCTATTAGTTTTGTCTAGGTGAAGAGAATTAAACCTATTTGTTTTGTCAAGGTGATGAGTATTAAACCTGTTTAATTTGTCCAGGTGTAGAGTGTTAAACCTGTTTGTTTTGTCTAGGTGAAGAGTATTAAACCTATTAGTTTTGTCTAGGTGAAGAGTATTAAACCTGTCTGTTTTGTCTAGGTGAAGAGTATTAAACCTATTAGTTTTGTCTAGGTGTAGAGTTTTAAACCTGTTTGTTTTGTCTAGGTGAAGAGTATTAAACCTGTTTGTTTTGTCTAGGTGAAGAGTATTAAACCTATTTGTTTTGTCTAGGTGAAGAGTATTAAACCTGTTTGTTATGTCTAGGTGAAGAGTATTAAACCTATTAGTTTTGTCTAGGTGAAAAGTATTAAACCTATTAGTTCTGTTTAGGTGAAGAGTATTAAACCTGTCTGTTTTGTCTAGGTAAAGAGTATTAAACCTGAAGCTGAGAGTTCCATTCTCTCTGATATATTCAGCAGTGTCAGTAAAACAATCATTAGAAATCTCATCTTCCAGGTAAAGATATTTTCAAGGAAATGGTTGTCTATACTCTGCATGCATTATACAGGGTGTCCCAATAAACATGGGAATTAAGAGACGAATTAGAATTAACGTTGTGCCACCTAATTTCAATGGTTAAAATAAAGTTACGTCTGCTAGGCTAGATTATTTTTTATGTAAACGGTAAAAGACTGATCTGTTATTCAGCAAAACGTTCTTGTTCTGTAGCATTTCTGCAAGATAATCGGTGTAGAGAAACAACTGTACTGTGTTATGTATACAAGAATTTCTTATATTATGAAGTACAATACAGTATGCAATAAAAACATTAACAAACAAATTCTGAACTACGGCAGATAGATTATGGCTTTCCTTTTAGGCATTGCAATGCTAAATCAAAAATCTATTACAAAATCGTCACTGAATTCCCATGTTTATTGGGACACCCTGTACAATACATATTGGTTTGTTTGCTTGTTTCTTTAACTCAAGAAAGCGAGTTGAGAACCGCCCATATATATTTGTAGATAACATTGTTTATTTATCTTTTTGCCTGAAACAGAACTGAACACTTCCCTCAAACATAGATATTCTAATTATATTCTTCTTCAGGGTGCAAAGATATATCAATTAGAAAATTAGAGTTTGAGTGGAGTGTTCGTTCCTTTTTATGCTAAATAAAAAACAAGTGTTTTAAAAGGGTCAAAACAACTTACTTTTATAAGTATATGAAATTTTAATAAATATCGTTACTAATTGATCAATGATGAATAAATTATATTCTTATATAAATATAGATATATACTAGGTGGCGTGAAGGAGAAGAACTTTATGCTCCACTATGAGTTCCCTGGATATGCTACTGGAGAACTAGGTCGAGGAGGCTCAAGAAGAGAACTAGGACATGGAGCACTAGCAGAGAAAGCTCTTAGACAAGTTCTTCCTTCAGGAACACCTTTCACCATCAGGTGACCAGGAGCACCATCAACTATTATAACACCCTTCAAATCTTTAAAATATATTAATTGCAAAAGGGATTGTTCCCTGATTTAACACATAATGACCCTATCTGTAAAGGTTTAAATTACGCTTTTCCTGACGCTTCAAGAAGTTTCTGAGGACCAGAATATCCTTATGTCTATATAACAAGTGTTCCCCCAAATCATGTAAATATACGTGATAAAGCTTTCAAGGGTACCTTTGGGAAACGAACATGTCCCTTTAAAATAATGGAGTCACTTGAAATAAAATCTTATTTAGTTCCTTTAAGGACATAATCTAAACGTAAACTAAACTGTTTAGATTAACTTCTGAGGTTCTTGAATCCAATGGTTCTTCAAGTATGGCCAGTATATGTGGAGGCTCTATGGCACTTTTAGGTAAATAGTTTTACCATTTATTTACTATTAGCGACTAGGAGGAATTATCAGGGAGAACTGCCAACTTTACCAGAAATTTACATTTCAGATTTTTTTTTATAAAATATCAAAAAAGTCGAAAAACACGAGGAAACGTCAATTTCTGGTGAAGTGCAGTTCTCCCGAATGAAATTCTCGTTTAAAGTAAAGGGGGGGGGCATAGCACTTATTACTCTCCGGGAAATTTACACAGTGTATAAACATAACTTAGCATTGTCGTAGGAGGCTGATTTTTTGCATGCAAACTTAAAATTTGCAGTTATATCCCCTTCTTTAAGCAACATTATTAATCGATGAAACTTTTCAACTTTCAACATTAATTAATAAGAATATTCAATTATTTTGTTGATAATATTAATATGTCTAAATACTAAAAAAGTTATATATTTTTGTTAAAACCATGTCCATGTAAAAGCTACATTCATCTTGTAAATGCGCGAATTTTTCTCATGAAAAGAGCAGAGATGAAGAAGGTTAATAATGTTGCTCAGAATCAGAGAAATCAGATAATCAATTTGTTAAGAATAAACTGTCTAAGAAAACCCATTTACATGAATGATTTACAAATTCAGATTTTCTATTGCGCATTCGAATTTAATATTATTTGTTTGATGCGATGAACTTTTCAATTTCTATAATTTATTTTCATTTTTATAAGAGTAGAACAAAAGAGAATTTGTATAATGTATATTCAGTTCAATATGAGTAGAACTAAGGAGAATTTGCATAATGTATTTTTATTTCAATAAGAGTAGAACTAAGGAGAAGAGAAAGGGTTTGTTTACATTTTACTCCTATTAGAAACAAAATTGTAAATAAATCTCGCAAAATCTTAGCAAAGTTGGAGGACTGGCCGAAGCAGTCATGTTGACTAAATGTTTGCTTACAAAACACCAAACTAGAGGGGGGGGGGGTCCACTCCCCCCTCCCTAGTTCTATGCCACCTTGATTGTATTTTACACATTACAATTTGTGTTTGTTTAAGTTCCTAGTTTTACTACTCAAGCATGATCTTTGCTTTTTAGCTTAATATCAATTTGCATAATTTCACTTTTACAAGATTATTTGGGTTTAGTTAAGAGATTTTACATTCATTTTAATTTCCTAAATCATGGAAGGCCGGGGTTACAGATGGAGCGGGAGGTGCATTGAGGGACTAACAAATTGGGAAGATGCATTGGGGGGACAAAGAAAGCTGGTGCATTTGGGACTAACAAATGGGAATGGTGCATTCGGGGACTAGGAAGGGTGGTGGGTACTGGGAAAAGGATAAGGTGCAAAATAGGACTAAGAAAGGGCAAAGGCCGTGGGTGAGTTTCAGTGGGGATTACAATTTGAATAGTCGTTAGTCTGAAGTTCCATTGTACCAAAAGTTTTGAATTCCTAAATTGCAATCGATATTAAAAATCAACGAACAAGATTTGTCGTAGCACCAAACCAAGTTCACCTTGGTCGCATTAAGTTAAACAAATTTTAAGCACACAACGTTAGGCCGCTCAACTCCATCTTAAAGAAAATATTTTTGTCCTGACCTATATTTGCTCTGGATCTATCTATATTATATTTAGATGCTGGTTTACCTCTATCTGAGCTGGCTAGTGGGGTAGCTATGGGTCTAGTATCTAGGGAGGGGGAGGAGAAGGTTCTAACAGATATCATGGGGATGGAGGACTATCTTGGGGATATGGATTTCAAGCTAGCTGCTACAAGGTTAAAATATTATATAGAACATGACATTGATAGTTACAGATTTCTCATATAGAAATAGTCTGGGCGTAAACTCTAAACTGACCCATTGCATCCAAATGTAACTATATTATTCTGACACATCATCTTCCATAATATTTATGTTCTGTATTTTTCATGTTATGTGTAGGGCGAGTCAAAAAAAGAGATCAATGTTTTTTTCGAATTTTAGTTTCCTTCAGATTTTAGGTGTAAAAAAATAAAATGTGATGAAAAATTCTAAAATATTTTTGGAAACAAATCCTTATGACCAAATTTTTTTGAAAAAATGAAATATTTTGAGAAAATGCAGAGAAAATGTTAACTCTATTGTTCTCCAAAATTTCATAAAAATTCATTAAAAATTGAATGAGATGTAACAAAAAAAATCCGAAAATATTAAAATGGACATCTGCGGTAAATGCTATCAAATAATGCCTTTTAAGAGCTATTATGACTTCAAAAATGCAATTGGTTTAAATTTTGTTATATCTCATTAAATTTTTGAAACATTTTTATGCAATTTTGGCAAACAATAGAATAAATATTTGTTATATATAAAAAGACAACATCTTCAATATCATTATGTTTATAATTGATATTTTTGCCATCTTTTTAAGGGAGTGAAAACCCAGTTTCAAATGTCCTCCATTTGGTAAAAATAGGGAAGATATCATCTATATATATGTTTGATATATTTAATATATTTATATATATATTTATATTTTATAGATCTGGAGTATGTGCCTTGCAAGCTGATGTTAAACTCCCCGGCATTAGTTTAGATGTTATTAAAGAAGCTGTTGAGGGGGGTATACAAGCTAATCATAAGATACTGGATATAATGTCAGCTTGTATACAAGAACCAAGGTAGGATACCCGGATACTGGATACAAGCTAACCATAGGATACTGGATATAATGTCAGCTTGTATACAAGAACCAAGGTAGGATACCCGGATACTGGATACAAGCTAACCATAGGATACTGGATATAATGTCAGCTTGTATACAAGAACCAAGGTAGGATACCCGGATACTGGATACAAGCTAACCATAGGATACTGGATATAATGTCAGCTTGTATACAAGAACCAAGGTAGGATACCCGGATACTGGATACAAGCTAACCATAGGATACTGGATATAATGTCAGCTTGTATACAAGAACCAAGGTAGGATACTCGGATACTGGATACAAGCTAACCATAGGATACTGGATATAATGTCAGTTTGTATACAAGAACCAAGGTAGGATACCCGGATACTGGATACAAGCTAATCATAAGATACTGGATATAATGTCAGCTTGTATACAAGAACCAAGGTAGGATACCTGGATACTGGATACAAGCTAATCATAGAATACTGGATATAATGTCAGCTTGTATACAAGAACCAAGGTAGGATACTCGGATACTGGATACAAGCTAACCATAGTTTACTGGATATAATGTCAGCTTGTATACAAGAACCAAGGTATGATACCCTGATACTGAATACAAGCTAACCATAGTTTACTTGATATAATTTCATATTGTATACAAGAATCAAGGTAGGATACAAGGATACTGGATATAATGTCAGCTTGTATACAAGAACCAAGGTAGGATACTCGGATACTGGATACAAGCTAACCATAGAATACTGGATATAATGTCAGCTTATATACAAGAACCAAGGTAGGGAATACAAGAACTGCTTCATGTTCATATTCCTGAAATTATGTGTGTTTCACGGAATACAAGGACTGCATCATGTCTATATTCCTGAAATTATGTATGTTGAAGGGAATACAAGGACTGCATCATGTCTATTTTCCTTAAATTATGTATGTTGAAGAGAATACAAGGACTGCATCATGTCTATATTCCTTTAATTATGTATGTTGAAGAGAATACAAGTACTGCATCATGTCTATATTCCTGAAATTGTGTATGTTGAAGGGAATACAAGGACTGCATCATGTCTATATTTCTGAAATTATGTATGTTGAAGGGGATTCAAGGACTGCATCATGTCTATATTTCTGAAATTATGTATGATGAAGGGAATACAAGGACTGCATTATGTCTATATTTCTAAAATTATGTATGTTGAAGGGAATACAAGGACTGCATCATGTCTATATTCCAGAAATTATGTATGTTGAAGGGAATACAAGGACAGCATCATGTCTATATTCCAGAAATTATGTTGAAGGGAATACAAGGACTGCATCATGTCTATATTCCTGAAATTATGTATGTTGAAGGGAATACAAGGACTGCATCATGTCTATATTTCTAAAATTATGTATGTTTAAGGGAATACAAGGACTGCTGGCCTGTATCTCGAAAGCTTGAAGTGCCTTCACACAAACGAGGAAAATTTCTTGGTCAGGCTGGTCTTAATGTACGAAGAATTACGCAGGTGAACATATCTTATTAGTTATTATTTGTAATACCTCGAACTTTAAAATTAAAAAATATATATATGTTAAAAATACCTTGAACTTCACAAGTTATTACTTCTTTGTAAGTTTTGTTTATTCAAACCAAAATTAGAATATATATTAAAAACTTGACAATTTTTTAAACAAAATTTATATGTCGCGAGGGGGTTGGGTAAAAGTTGGACAAGAACGCCATACCTGACTATTTAGTTCTTAAGTCTTGTATGTTTTCATTTATATTTACTAGAATAACAATTAATTGTGACGTGTTAGGACTGCTTGGAACTAGTTTTATCACAACAAAAACAAAGATTGTAAACAAAGGTCAAAATAAGTCCCATGCTTGTTTACTGAATGTTGGTTATTTTCTTTAAAACAGGCTCATAAGTGGTTTTAATTATGTACGTTTAATTTACCCATTTTGAGCTATATTATGTTACAGGAGACTGGCGTTCAAATATTCGCCGAGGCGGAAGGAACATGGCAATTGTTTGCCCCTAACCCAGACTCTATGGCGGAGGCAGAAACAATTATTGAAAATATTTTGGCGGAAGAAAAAGTTCCAGAACTTGAATTCGGAGGTAAAGGAATATCAATAGCCCGCCCCTCCTCTGGTTTAGTTTAGAGATGAAAGAAGACATTTTTTGTCGACATTTATTTATCAATTCCTTTCTATCTTTTAGCGGGGTTGGATCTGTATAAAGCAGTATAAACGTCTTTTCTATTATACAGCGTGTCCCTATAAACATGGGATTTAAGAGACAACTTGAATATCGTCTTTGATATCAGATATTTGATAAATGACAAAGATTGTATACAAAATGAAGATTGTTCGCCTTCTTTGTACGCGAGATATTAAACATTTGAAAATTATTGTTGTTATTTAATAAATTTTAATCCGGATGAATTTCTGAATATCTTCGTCAATTATGGTCAAACACACTTTGGAATTGCCAAGAATAGTAGTTTTAATGTTTTAATTATTAACTGGTTTAACTGAGATTCTATTGTGTACACTTTATAATTACTCGAGGAACAAAGACGATATAAAAGTCGTCACTTGATTCCCATGTTTTTTGGGGCACCCTGTACAGTGTACATATATACATAAAGTTATTTATCTAATTATTATTTGATCACAAAAGTGCTCAAAGGTACTCCGAACAATCCTCTATATATTGAGTAATAGATGTTTTTTATCAATACTGCTTACCTTGCATTGAGGTTTCTTAAGCTTATATATATATATATATATATATATATATAAATATATATCAATAAAATATCAATAAAAGGGAAAAATAATCAGTGTTTTACTTATCAAATATATCTACCTATGTATCTATATATATATTTATATATAATTTTATATTTATATTCATTATATATTTGTATCCAATATACGTCCAACTCCAAACGGCTGAACCGATCGGGCCCAAATTCTGTGATGGTCCTCACATGACCCAAGGGAAGGTTTATGTATGATCAAAATTTCAAAAATTAGCATACAATAAAATTCGATTTTCAGTAAATTTTGAAATTCCACGAATTTTTTTTTTTTAAATCTGCGATTTTTTTATTGTTATACAAAGTATCCAAAGAGAAAATGTACATAATTGAAATAGAAGAAAGTCTAGTATATATAGATATATATATAATACATCTGTAGGTTTAATATTGTTCAAAGTTTAGAGATTTTCAAGAAAGATATAAATTATCCCACAAGTTGTAAAAAGTGTGGCAATCTTATAGGAAAGTACAAAAAGGAAATTCATGTCTTAAGTCCTAATTAAGATAACATTGCGTTTTGTTGAAAAAAAATGTACTCCAGTTTTATATTTACCTAATGTACTCCAGTTTTATATTTACCTAATGTACTCCAGTTTTATATTTACCTAATGTACTCCAGGTGTATATTTAGCTAATGTACTCAAGGTGTATATCTAACTAATGTACTCTAGGTGTATATCTACCTAATGTACTCCAGGTGTATATCTACCTAATGTACTCCAGGTGTATATCTACCTAATGTACTCCAGGTGTATATCTACCTAATGTACTCTAGGTGTATATCTACCTAATGTACTCCAGGTATCTACTCTGGACGTATAACTGAGATCCTGGATCGAGGTGTGATGCTTGAGCTTCATGAAGGGATTAGTCCTGTTCTTCTTCATAACTCTCAACTCAGGTGAGAGATAACTAATTCTAGTCAGGGTTCACTATTTCTTTACTTGTTTTGAAATAGTCTTGTTTAGCCAATAAAATAGACCAACAACAGCGGTACTATTTGAACTTTTATCTGATTGACTGGCCGGAATTTTGTTGGGTTTTTCTTTCTTGAATCATTCTTTATATATTCTTTCAAAATTAAACAGTTTTATATATAGGTTTTCCGAGTGTCGTTTAAATCGTTGCTGGCAAGAAGGCCCAATCAGAATTGCGTTCTAAAGTTTAATGATTCATAATTAATTTAGTTACTTGGAAAGGAGTTTGTTTGGAACTTATATTGTAATTATTTAGTGCTCAGAAGATCCAGCATCCTAGTGTATTGGGTCTCAAGGTTGGAGAGAATCTCCAGGTAATGATTTTAACAAAAGGGGGAAAGGGGTGTCTGCAGAGGCATAGTCAGGCGGGGGGGCTATGGGGCTAAGCCCCCCCCCCCGTGGACAAGTGAAAGAAAAGAAAAAAAATAAACCCCCCCAGGACGAATTCCCGACTACGCCCCTGGCCGTGTCTGGGGTAATTAAAAAGAAACTATGACTTGTGTAGCCTGTATGGGGGGGGAGGATTCTTATAGAATATAAAAATTGAAAAGAACTACTTCAGAGATCAATTTATATCTATTTTATTTCTTTTATATCGATTTTATGTATTTCGTGTAGATTTGAATTTCTATTTTTATGTACTTTTATGTTTTATTTTGTAGGTTAAATACTATGGAAGAGATCCTGCTACTGGACAGGGAAGGCTAAGAACATAAAAAATAATTTTGAAGCAATTTATCTTGAATCTTTATCTTGAATCTTTATCTTGAATCTTTATCTTGAATCTAATTTAGATTTCGAAAGAAAAGAAATATATACTTACAGTTTTATACATACTTCCTTAAAACTTTGGCTCGACTTGGTTTGACTTGGCTTGGTTTGACTTGGCTTGGTTTGACTTGGCTTGGTTTGATTTGATTTGATTTTATTTGATCTGATTTGATTTGATTTGATTTGATATGATTTGATCTGATCTGATCTGATCTGATCTGATCTGATCTGATCTGATCTGATCTGATCTGATCTGATCTGATCTGATCTGATCTGATCTGATCTGATCTGATTTGATCTGATCTGATCTGATCTGATCTGATCTGATCTGATTTCATCTGATCTGATCTCATCTGATCTCATTTCATTTCATTTCATTTGCCTGATTTGATTTCCCTGATGTCATAATTTTTTGATAAAATAATTAGAATTTCATATTTTGACATATTTTCTAATCAATGTTCTGCTTCTGTTAACAGATGAGATTAAGCAGAAAAGTACTCGCTGTGAGCTCAGCAGCAGCTGTGAAAAACCTGCAGAAATCCACTAAACCCCTCCAAAGCTCCGCCAAAAGGTAGATGAGTCTCCGCCATCCATGTGCCATATTTTTTTTATAAAATTTCTACCTTGTATGTTCTCATGAATTGATTTTGATCCAACTTCAGATCTCCAGATTTTTACTATTTCAGAGAAGATGTACCTGACAATTCAGCAATTAATCCACCATTACGCCCCCGCCTGCAAATCAATGAGAACAGAGCAGATTTCTTCTCCCCACAAGAACCTGACCCTCGACATGACCAGCCTAGAAGGGAACCGGTTTTAACCAGGAAAGACTTGTTCCTGAGACCTAAGAATGTTCAGAAGGAAGCGTTCAAGGTTAGCAGCAAAGTTCCTGAAACATCTGTGGAGGAGAATCCGGAAGGCAACAGCAATGAAGTAAACCTTCAGGAAAATAGCAATGAAGTAAACCTTGAGGCAAAGAGCAATGAAGTATACTGCGAGGAAAAGAGCAATGAAGTAAACCTTAAGGCAAAGAGCAATAAGATATACTGCGAGGAAAAGAGCAATGAAGTAAACCTTGAGGCAAAGAACAATAAAGTAAACCTTGAGGAAAAGAGCAATGAAGTAAACCTTGAGGCAAAGAACAATAAAGTAAACCTTGAGGAAAAGAGCAATGAAGTAAACCTTGAGGCAAAGAGCAATGAAGTATACTGCGAGGAAAAGAGCAATGAAGTATACTGCGAGGAAGAGGACAGCAATGAAGTCTATTATGAGGTTGACAGGTTGCTCAATAAACTCATGGCAATCAGCATGGAGATCAAGGATGCTTCTCAAAGGTAATAAGGAATTGATTACACGCCTCAGATTCTAAATTTCTAATCCTTATTTATACCTTATGTTATAGATATTTCGAATTCGAACTAAGAATTCTGCGAAAACTAACAGTCTATGTTGTAAATATCTAAGGTTTACACCATCCAGTTGCAAAGATATAGGGATTAAGAAAATTAGAGTTTGAGTCTCTCAGAGGCGAGAGTTCAGTTTCTAAATACTCTCCAAAAATCATGATTCATAACCAAATAGATTCTAGTACAATATTTGGCAACCAAGAATTTGTACAGTGTACACTCTCAGTACAGCTGTATTCTTACGTCACAAGTGTCAACTCAGTTTGTGTGTCCGACAAAATTTTTAATAATAGCGATAATTTTTGAATAAAGTGCTTATCTTATAGTGAAATAAATGCAATTTTATGCGTTCTTTATATTCTGTTTTCAAGCTTTTTATTTAATCTTGGAAAACATGTCAACTAATGGGAGAAAATTTCGTTCCCTTGTTATATTTGACACTTGTGACTTCGTGTATAATTGGTCCATTTCTCTGTTGCCACCTATTGTACTTAATAATCTTTATGTTCATATCTTTCCAAAATTGAAACTCTTGGGGTTTTCATCAACGAGACATCAACAAGAAAATTGCTTAAACTCGTTTTTAAATTGTTGTTGTTTTAGTTATGGTTATTGTTTTTGTTTTTTGTATTTCTTTTTGCTATTGTTATTGTTTTTGTTATTATTATTTTTATAAACAATACTTAAAAATGGTTTTAAATGTTTGTATAGAAAGGAGAATGTGGACCGTGAATGGGGTTTTGTAAAGGAAGCTCTATCGAGTATAGAACAGTCCAGTAATACTTCAAGAATACTCAGTCAAGCTTTTAACTCTGATAAAATAGAACTTTGTAAAAAGTTTTCTACACAATCCAAGGAAACGTCATTGCTTAGTTCATAGTAGATCTTCCTTGCATCCTAGTAAATAGTATACTAGTTTAATTGTATAAATAGTAATGTTATTATGCTGTCACACTTTTGTCATCTTAATCGTGCCTACTCACAGTAGGTCTTCATTATCAGTATATCTTTAAATCCTTGGTAAAGCTTCATTACTAGTGCCTTCGTATGAATTCTAATTTGTCAAAGAAAACGTTAATACATTTGCCCAGCCATTTGAAGGGACTCGTAGACTGTAGACTATAGATTGTAGATTGTAGAATGTAGACTGTAGACTGTAGACTGTAGACTGTAGACTGTAGACTGTAGACTGTAGACTGTAGACTGTAGACTGTAAATTGTAGAATGTAGACTGAACTGTAGAATGCAGACTGTAGACTAAACCGTTGACTGTAGACTGTAGACTCTAGACTGTAGACTGTAAATTGTAGAATGTTGACTGAACTGTAAACTGTTGACTGTAGAATGTAGACTGTAAATTGTAGAATGTAGACTGAACTGTAGACTGTAGACTGTAAATTGTAGAAGTAGACTGAACTGTAGACTGTGGACTGAACTGTAAACTGTAGACTGTAGACTGTAAATTGTAGAACGTAGACTGAACTGTAAACTGTAGACTGTAAATTGTAGAATGTAGACTGAAATGTAAACTGTAGACTGTAGACTGTAAATTGTAGAATGTAGGCTACACTTCAAACTGTAGACTGTAAACTGTAAATTGTAGAATGTAGACTGAACTGTAAACTGTAGACTGTAAATTGTAGAATGTAAATTGTAGAATGTAGACTGAACTGTAAAATGTGGACTACCCTGTATCTAAGAGCAGATAGTTCACGGTAAACAGACATTTTTCAAAGTCCACAGTAGGTTATGGGTTTTATTTTTACTATATTGAATCTGTATAAAGTAGTATTGACGTGATCGAGCAGGCGATTAACGAGACCCTTCTCCTGCTCACCAGACAGTACAGAGATATTAAGGAGGAACTGGAGACAGCTAAACGTATATTTATCAAGGAAAATACGCAAACTGTTAGAATTGTCAAATACAATTTTTTTTATTACAACTTATCCGAAAGTGAAATTTGACATTATTTTTCATTTTATTTTGCGATTTGTCAGCACAAGATCCCTGAGAAATCTGCAAGTGACTTGGTTAAAGATGATGAAGTCTGTATTATATCTGAACCTGAATCAGGGTTAGATCTTGAATCTAAATTAGGATCTGAACATGTGTCATCAGGAACAGAGAGATATAACAGAGAAGTGATTTCTGATCTAGTCAAGGAAACCCTAAGTCCACCATATTATGAACGTATGCGGAGAAATAATAGTTATGAACCTGGAGTATCTTCTTGGTAAGCAAAATCTTCACTAAAATTCAGTCAATTCAGTAATTTTAAAACACAAAGCTCATTTCTTTGTCAAGCTATTACTTAAACTTGTTTAATGAAAAATAAAAACAATTAAGTTCATAAGGCGAGACGTGAATCAAAAAAAACAGAAAGTTTATTAAGGGAAACATATATCAAAACAAACTAGTGACTGGAAACAGTATCACATAATATAATATCCGGCTACATGGAGGAAGCTAGGTTAGAGCCTGACAAAGTTGATTTTTCAATTATGATTTCTCAAAAAGTAATAATACATAGATTTTTGCAGCAAAGAGAAAAAAAGGAAATTGACAGAATTCACCACTTTTTAGATTAAGGTTTAAGGGGTACAGTTTTTAACTCTTGAAAATTAAATGTGATGTCACTTCAAGTTATAGAAACACTCCCTTTAACTGATTTAAGAAATTATTTATAAACAATATAAATATTTTAGGGAGGACCCGGCCAGACATTTTAATGCCGATGATCTGCTTACCAGAGATATCTGGACCAAACCCATCCCGTTCCTGTCCAATCCAGACCTGGAGCTAACCCAACCACAACCTCACTCAACACAATACTCTCAAAGTAAAGACTCCAAGGTTGATTCTGAACTGAAACCAGACTTGAAACCAGATTTAAAAAGTTCGTCCAAAAACTTGAGTTCTAAAGAAACGCTGACACTGTATTTAAGTAACATGCAGATTGAGAAGAAATCTTCTAAAACGTCAAACCTTGCTAAGAAGGTAAATTTTTTTTCATTTAATATTGGGCTCAGTTCTATCCTAATGCACTAAATCAATTCTCCCCCCCCCCCCGCTCTGAGGTTAATCTTAATCGTTTGTTAACCTTTTCTTTGATTCGTTTTTTATCCATTTTAAGAAGTAAACCAAATTATTTATGTCTGAATTCTTAGAATAAATAAAATAAATAATAAATTGAAGCATTTTAGTTTAGCGCTATGTCATCCAAAAGTTCAGATCTATGTCTGTCTATTATTTAACTATCTTGTATTACAAATGAAGCAATTAAAGCAATGCCCGATTCACAACGGTACCCTTTAAGATATAACGTCGTATAAAGTGTTATTGTGTCTTACAAGCAAAAATTGCGCAGCAGAGAAACCACAAATGAAAAAGAACAGTTTTTGTCAAAAAAAGGGTTTAAACTTGATCAGAATAAGCTTTGCATGGAGGATTACTTGAAATTAGTTTTTATGTATTTATAATTATAATAATTAATAATCAGTTTATTAATTAATCTAGAACAATTTTTCATATTATCAGAAAGTGAATGTTCTTCACGCGCAGAAAACAAGAATGAAGTTGATCGAAGAAATTAGTAAAGAAATGGATAATATTCATGAGAGGTACAGAGCAATTGTTTCGCCGTCTTAAACTGTCCGTGCCCTTAAAAGGCTCGTACTGCGAAATATTGTGTCTAGATACTAGACTAGAGAGCCAGGTGACTGTCTGTAGAATCCTGGTCCAGTGTAAACCCCTAGACTGTCTGTATAACTATAGATATACTGCAGTTCTCCCAAGCTCCAGCTATGTTACAAACTCCTGGCAGATTTGGATACAAAACGTACTATTGGAGTACTAATATCCGTACTATGACTATCCTTGTGTAACAATGTGCATGAAGTATGCTGGTAGTATGATCCAGGGTTCCTATTGTGTTCTGATGTCCTAGTGGCTGGGAATATTTTGGTAGAAGTAGTACCCATAGTACTCTAAAAGTCACAGAAAACATATTTTTCAAACTTGAGAATTCTCTCTTTCTCTCTTCTCGTTAACTCAGGGAAAGATTTGATATTTTAACATTGAAAATAATCACTAATAAGTAAAATCACGAAATGTTAACTTTTAAAGTATAATCGATAACATGCAAAATATTTTTGTTAATGAATTATAGCATAGGGGCGGACACAGGATTTAAGAGGGGGGGGGGGACTTTTTAGGTTCGTAAATTTCTTAAAACAGGAACAAAAAATCTAAAAACTGAATGATTTAGGATCTATATGGACACAGTGTTACTGTTAGGATTAGGTACATTAAGCATTTTACGAGTAAGTAAAGTAACAAAAAAGAAACAAACAAATGCGAAAAAACGTCATACATTACATGCTGTACAAGGAGTTACAAGGTACAATGAACATGAATTAGGAACAATAGTCAATAATGGAGACATAAAGCAAGTTAACAAAAAGAAATTGCTAGGAAAGTTATATGCATGTAAAAGGAACAAAATTACAACTTTAATTAATGAGTATATTTAAGGCACATTATTAAGTATATATGCAAGTTAGTTAAGAACAATATATAATAGGAATATAAAATAATTATAAACATATTTGATATCAAAATTCCTTCTCATAATTTGAGAAAGGGGTATACACGATTAATCAAATTAAAAACATAATCCAATTGGGCCCCCACCCCCCTGGCTGTTCTCATGACCCTGCCGCTTTAACCAAAGACTATAAATTATAATTATTCACTTGATGCGCCCGGAGTCTTCAAGTCTTCTAGTAGTTTGCTGAAAAAAATTATAAATAAATTCATATATTAGTTTACTTGCACCACATATTAATCTGTCTTTAGAACGTGAAATAAATAATTATGATAAATTCTGATATATTGGCTCAGTTCTCTTTTTATTGCTTTTCTTATTTATTTTTGTTATTAATATCCAAGGCCATAACTGGAGGAGGGGTATTAACCGGCGCACGGTGGCCCCTCCCGTAAGACCAAATTCAAGGTGAAATAAATACTCTTACACTGAACAGAGCTTTCGTGGTGTCCCTTCCGGGCCTGTTAATATCAAACATGTTTGAGATTATTTGATTTTTAAGAATCTAGCGCTAACCATGACAATATTAATATTATTTCAGGTTTAGCTGTGGCACTGATATCCCCTCTACTCTGAAAAATGACAAAGTTTCAAATATTGTTCGTAAAAATTGTCAAGATTTTAATACCTTGGTTCGCTGGCTTTCTCAGCTTGACAATTTCAATGCAGCCAGACTGAAGGAAAGCTGACAACTTATGAATCCTAAGGCCGAATTTAAAGAATTTGAGCCGCGGCTAAAATATGATTGCTTTCACTTAGTATTGTATTTAATGGTTCAAGATTTAAGCCGGCGCTCAATTGAAACCGTATATTGGTGGATTTGAGACGCGGCTCAAATTCATTAAATTCGGCCCTTTTTTTAATATTTTATCAATTTTGGTTGCTTTAGTGGTCTCCAAAATAAAGTGGAATGCAACTATGATTTCAAATTTAAATGAGCAGTTTTTCATTTTACATCCTACTTGTTTAGCACAAATACTCTGAATTAATTGGAAATAGATATCAATTTGATAATTATAATTGATATGATCACTCAAATAATAATTAGATATCAATTTAACATCTTGATACTAAATTTCCAATCGTATTCCAGGTAATACAGAATTTATGCATAAAAATTAGAACGTGTTTTTTTAAATATCTTTAATTAGTTTTTAAAATATTTTTCAAGAGTCAGCTGTTTCCAGGATGTAACAGAAGGCGCTAAATCAATTCACAGGATTGTTAGACTTGAATTTACGGATACTTCAAGGGCGTTTGCAGGGTGGGGGTGGGGAGGGGGGTATCAGGCATTGAATACTCCTTCTCCTAACAAACCTTTTTGTTTCCCAATAAAACTGACAAAATTTTGTTTCTTTACTTTTTTGCCTCCCATTAACCAGTGCATGTTTATTTCTCATGAGTTTATCCCACTGGAAATAAAATTAAAGATGAACCACCATCACGAACTTTATTCTACAATTAAACTGAAAAGTTCTCCCATCCTCCTATATCTTTAACTTTTCACTCAGATCTCTGAAAAAGAATCTTGAAAATTTGGACGTGAACAAGAAATTCCTCAACTACAACAGGAAACAAATTTATTGCATTTGCTTTCTTTTTCAAAATTAAAATAATACATTTTGCACATTTGTATAAAATCTAAATGAGTACTATGAGTATTAGCAATAAACGGGTATTATAGTTCGGCCATTAAATTTATTGGTCGCCATCTTGGTAAACCAGATCATCCTCTGGTTGGGCTAGCGCAGAAGAACACGCAGAAACTTGCGGCATTGTATGAGCAGGTGATAAAGCAAATTCTACAAATTCTAGTCACATATTGTTAAGGTTTTCAATTTTGAACGCGATTTTTACGTTTCTTGAATGTTTGTAAAAAATATTTAGAACCTCGAATTTCTGGCGAGGGACTGTTCACTTCATTCAAGACAAGATCAGAATCCTAACATTGTTTGGGAAGAGTACTGTCGACTTAGTCATCAGCTTAAGCAGGTAAATGTTGGCAAACTATGAATTTCTCGACAAAATATTTAGGAAACTATCTAAAATAATGAAGAGCCCACTAAAATCTAATTGATCGCCTGAAGGATGTTTATCATTGATTTCCAAGTATCTGTGAAATCTACAGGTTGCCCCAGAAGAAAAAAAAATTGAAGGGGTTTCAGAGCCTCTTTTTTTGCATTTAAAAGTCGCTTTGGGTCCAGTGCTCACTCCACAACCTTTAATTCTGAAGGTGGTCAGGGGTCTTATGAGGGTCAAATTACCAGAAGTCACAAAATAGTAAGAATCCAGGGTCTCTTAAAACTTCGCGGGCAGTTCCTTTCAACCCCAGGATTTACTTAAAATTATCTGAAGTTAGAACTTTTTTCTCGGGATAAGACATTGATCTCCATCTTATGCAGATATACGGATTAAAATCACCCTTTGATATACCGTGATTTTCCTACTTTAGTGTTGAGATAAAACATTGATATTCAAATTTAAAAGTGCTCACATTGATTATCAAGATTAATTGTTCAACATTAACAAAATTAAAAATTCTGATCTCTGATTGATTTTCTAGATAACAGATCGGTTGTGGGATATAGAGCTGAGTGAGGAGAGGGTAGCCGACCTTGACGACTGGAGGGAGGAGAGTAGGGACATGATGTCCTCTAGCCTCCAGTACAAACTGGAGATGATAGATGAGGTGCAAGAGAGGATAGACGGGTTCACCAAGTTTGAGATGGAGAAGAACTGGAGCAATGTAGAGAAGAATATTCATGTACTACAGGTATTACAGTGGTCGTCAATATAAATGATTGTATGAGCATCTAAATTGTTATATTGCATAATCTCGGTCAAATTTTTTCTCCTTTCCCCCCAGTCCCTCACAAATATAAAAAAAAAAAAATTTTAAGTTGTAAACATTGATTCTAAAAATACTTTTCTATAATCAATTCACATTTTGTGTTTACAAATACTCTTTTAGGGATTAAAAGTAGAAGGTCTTCAAGAATGGCTGTCCTCTACACAATCCCTTCCAGACTGGATCAGTCAAGAACTGAAGGTAGAGATCCAAGTATATTCAATTCTGAATTCAAGGCAGGGATATTGTGCTGAGCTCAATCAAGATTGGATAGCTCTGAAACTATTCAATTCTCATTTGTCTTTTAAACTTTAAAGGGAGTGACCGGCAATGTATGTTAGTTGAACTGAGATTGCAGTAATGTGGAGAATTTTTTAGGATTCATTTGAGACCTAAATCAGATGTTTTTACGTTGCAGCCTTCGTTTAAGAATACATCAAGATCATTTCATCTCGTTTAAGAATTTCCATTATTACATTTTTTCCTCATAAGATTATTATAATCTTAGTTCAACTACCACACATTGCTCTTTAAACAAATATTGACAGCTTGATTTTTGCGTCGCAATTTAAATGTTCCGTCAAAAATACACACTAACAAACTTGAAGATTAATAATGACAGAAATTTCTTTGTTTTGTTTTCTTGCAATGATTATTAAAGACCTTAAACTATTTTTTTAGTAAAACTTTTAATTTTTAATGTTCATTCCAGGATCATTTACTGGAGAGATGTGACAAATATTTAGAATTGGAGACAAACAGAAAACAGATTCAGGTATTTTACAATTGATTATTTTATCGAGGAAAAACTATTCAAAGTATGCAGCGCAAGCTTAATGTCAAAAAGTTTGAAATTTGAAAAGGAATTATTATCTTGGTTTGTAGAAACCTGATTTTCTGAAATTTGTTGTGGGTTTTCTAAATTGCTCTCCGCAGACAAATTGGATCCATGAGAACCTTGAACCAAGGGTTTTAAAGATATAGCAATGTTGGTTTGAAGATGTATAATGTATATTTTGTACCAAGTATAGACAACGCTAAAACTTGGGACTGGGTAATCAAGATACTGCAGTAGTTTCATGCTCTAACTACAACTCAGTAGAAAGTAGAATGCGCAATGTGGCGTAATTGGCACCGTTTTAGATTTTTTCTTCTTAAGTAGGGGCGTGGCCGTGGGGGCCGGATAAAATAGACTAACACATTTTCAAATTGTTCTAGCCCAAAACAAAAAAATTCAAAATTTGCATAATTAATATGCAAATTTAAAATTTGGGTTTGCTAAGATTTCGGTTCAATCGTTTTCCCGGGCGGAGTAGGGGTAAACCCCCCCCCCCCCTAACTCTTCAATCCAACCATAAGGTCACATGAACAGTTCCATCAGAGTAAAATAGAAGTTTTTTCACATTTTTTTGTTGAAAATATATTTTGTTTTGGGTCAACTATTTTTTAGCTATAATTATTTACTCATAATGTCCAAAAAAATCATTATAATAACATTTTTTGAAATAGCAAAATGGGAAAACGTTTTTAAATTGGTGTTGTTAAATGGAAAATAATTAAGGTTTCTTATAATTATTTGCAAATACTCTCCATTCAAGAATGTTTGAAGACAAATATAATTCATGAATATTTGTTTCTGCCAAACAAAATGTTTGAATTTAATGTAAAATTCAAACACTAGGTTTTTATACAATAATTTAAGCTTGTGAATGTTTCATTTCAAGCTCCCATTTTTTCTTCGTAATTGTAAATCTCAATATTTTGCGAATTTTTCTTCATTGATAGACTTCTAAATTTAAACAAAAAATCAACATTTTTTTACAAAATATCTCATTTAAGCCCAATCGGTTCAGCCTTTATGACGTTTTTTAGGTACATACAGACAAACAAGCTAAATGTATTGATTAAATGGCTGGCAAGAAGGGGTAGATACAGTAAAAGCACAGAATAAAAAAATTTAATTGAGGAGAACATGTAAGATACCGGCAGATTAAAGAAATAAGTTATTCAGCTTTAACACACTAGATATTTGTTATTCAATAGTATTGAAGATTTTATATATGGTGTTTTTAATTAGTTAAACTAATCAGGATCTGCATATTTTCAAACTTTTACACCTCAAACTTTAATAGTAAGGGTGCCGTTGGAGTATATTGGGGAAAAAAGTATACAAAAAATATTGGCATAGAATATGTCATAGCAATTTCAGGACTTTTAAGAAATCCCTCCTCCTCCTCCTCCTTCTCCTCCTCCACATTCCGCAGTATCATTTATATATTGCACTACTGGGATTCATCCTTTTGGTTAAATCTTGAATAATGAAAAGAAGACTGGGTTTTATATTCTACATTGGTATACAGTTGTTAGAGATAAACACGCTCTACTTTTTTCAAAATAGCCCTATTCCTTCCATTTCCAAAATGGGGTCTGTCTTTTTTGTGCATTTAAAATTGCTTGAGATGTTTATGCAAAATTGCCTGATAAACTCTCGATCAATTCCGGGTCTTTCTAATGACGACTAGATTAAATTAGTTGAGTTCCTAAAAGTAAAAGAGAAAGTAATTTTTAAAAGACTAGACTTTGCATCTTTTATTTAGATGTCATTAACCCTAAAACATCTGAGGATTTTAATGCCACGCCATTGTATCATAAATAGAATTAAAACACAAATAATGACTGAACAAGAATAACAGGCTTTTTCTTCTTTGTTTCGCTGCAAGAAATAACAGGAAGGTGATGCATCAAAAAGAAAACAAACAATAGAGAGAAATATTGTAGAATATTCATATTGTATTTACTATACATCAAGCTTAACTGTGATTTTTTATTTTAAATCATGAAATATGTCTAACAATAAAGTAAAATTTGACACTTGAGACAACAATAGATTATAAAAAAGATGGTTTACCTTTGGTCTTATATTCTTTTTATATGATTAGGAGATGATATAGAGAGAATTCTTATCTAATATGTTATTTGCGCTAGTAGAAAATATTTCTAGAAGCATTTAATTGAATTTCAATTTTTTATTATGTCAGAAATATTATTTTTAAAACTTTATAAAATGCCATTTACCTAATTCTTGAAGTTGCAAAGAAAAGTTGTTAGTTTAACATAAAATAAGTATTGTTATTTTTAAAACTTATTTTAACAACCCAGATTTGAATTGACTAAACATTTGATAATCATTAAATAAAATAAATCTCAAATTTTGAAGAAAATTTTCTCACCTTTCTCAAGTTTAGATTATGTTTAGGTGACTTTTGGTTGCATATTTGGGAGAAATTGCGGAAGAAAATGTTTTTATTTAAAAATCTTAAATTTTTCAAATTGTGATAGGAAAATGTGGCCTTCAGTAAACTTAATGGGACAAAATGAAAATATATTTAAAATTTTTTTTTGGTCCAATATTGGTTTTGCAACCAGGACATAATATCCAATGTAAAGAAGAGTGGAATGTTGTTATCCGATATATAACACATCTGTGCTTCCTTCAAGATATAGAATGCATTTGAAATATATTTTTCTCGTACATAATACTGGGTGTGACTTAATAAACAAGCTTAACTTTTTTTTGTTTAAGTTTTACTTTGTTAGAATTAGAAACTTTGCTGGGTGTATATTAGGTAATCTTCAAATCAAGAGATGGAATTAAAATCTAATTTCAGAGATACACAAGTCACACTGCTGAAATTGGACCATCAGGTTTCAAATGCACTTGATTTCTGAGATATTTTAAAAATGGATTTGCGGAAAATTCCCTAGGGGGCATTTTTTATAAATTAAGAAAAAAATTCAGAAGACTGCAAATTAACATATTCTGAACAAAAAGTTTAGGTGTTTTAACTTGAAACCTGATGGTCCAATTTCAGCAGTGTGTATTACTGGTTGGCTCAAGAGTTTATTAATATCTTTATTCCTTGATGATTTACATTGAAAATATACAATAATTTAAACATAAGCAGCTTACAGAATACAAATATATCATTTTTAAATTATAATTTATTATAAAAGCTCAGGTGATTTACGAGTTTGGTTTAATCTGATCAAGCTGAGACTTACCATTATATTTCTCCTTTTCCCTTTACAGTTTTGTGTTGTTGCTAGTGTTTTAAATAAAAAAATATAATAAACAAAAAGTTTAGAGGTTGTTGAATTATTCACCAAAAAGCAAAAGAATATAAGTTAAAGAAACAGAACACATTGTAACCTAGTTAGTCCAGGGTGCTTGCTTATCTCTAGGGTTTCCAACAAACGAAATGTTTCCCAAAAAATGAGTAAATTTTCGGTCGCATTTAGTAAACTTTTTCTCGAAATTTCGCTTTTTTTCGCAATAATAAATGAAGCCAAAACGAAACGAAATTTTGCGAAAATGCGAAATGCAAACAGTTTGCAAAATGCAAAAATTTCCTGAAAATTCTAAAATATTTTCACGAAATGCAAAAAATTTTTTGAAAACCTTGAGTTTTATAGCTGCATTAATTAATCGCTCAAAAGATAATTCTCTGCTATGATGGTTCAATATTTGAAATTATCATAGTTTTAATTGAACTAAACATGTTTAAAAATGTTTAACAAAACAGATTAAAGCAAAATTTTGCATAAAAAGCGAAAATTTTCGCATTTTTTGCAAGAGAACGAATTGCATAATGATGCAAAATGGTCGCGAAAAAATGATTTTCCTTCATTTTTCCTTTTTGTTGGAACCCCTACTTATGTCAGAATGGATATGAGTAGTTGTATTCTTCTTGTTGACAAAGCACAGAGGCAAACTAGATTTTTAAATATGATGTACAAACAAATAATAATTATGTCTGTTTCCATTTATGTGTTTGCAAGGAAAACAAGACTTAAAATTTATATTTTTATGAATACTATATTTTCTTTTTTATCTTATATGTTATATCTTTTATTTTAACAAAATTAGTGCATATATTATTACATAAATTCATATAGCAGAAAAACAGGATAAGCCAGTGCTTAGGATCCATTTAATTTTGATGCGGATCTGGATCCTGGATCCGCACTGGAAAAAAATGGATCTGAATCCATATCCGGATCCAGGTCATTTCTTTGATTTACTGAATATTTTTAACAAAAAAAATATTTTCAAATTTTTTGTTTTATTTTTTTTCGCTTATTTTTATATTAAAACTTGATGAACCATTCAGAAATGGGGAAATTTTTATAATCTCTCTTTTTTTAAAGTTCAAATTTGGGTTTTAGGAGTAAAAAAATTTTGTTTTCAGTTTTTGGTTGAGTTTTACCCCTGGGATCCTGATCCGTGGATATTTTTGCGGATCCAATGTTTCCGGATCCGGATTCTAAGCACTGTGATATGTTTTGCTGAACTCCCAGCACATATATTAAATGACAGTTGTCTTTATATTGTTATGGGAAAGAAAGTTGTACATTTTATAAAGTTCAACTTCTTGCAGTAAAAACTTTTTATAGTCAATCCAAAAGTTGCACAAACTTTCACGGTGAATCCAGATGCCAAGAAATAAATATTTTCTTAAATATTAATGTTTTTAAAATTTTTTACCTACTTTCAATTGAATGCTTTTGCAAAAATCATCCCAAGGTATGTAAAAATAGAATAGGTTTGGTTGAATTGGGGGAAATAATGAATTTTTGGATAAATAGTATTAAAAAGAATGAAAAATCTTGCCTAGCCTCTGATATCAATTTTTAAAATTTTATTTCAAATCATCAAACTGCTGTTTAAAAAAAAAAAATAACACCCTGAATATTTAATTCTTTAGACTTTTTTGACAAAATTTATATTAAAGGTTTTAACATGGGTTAGTATTCAATTTGCAAACCCTATTGAATGTCTCTTTCATGAGACAAGTGCAGAATTACAATGTAAAGAGTAGAATAAAGATGGAAGTTGGCTCCAGTTTGTTTAACTATCTCATCAACACATAGAATTGTTCTATTCCAGGTTTAATCCTCTTTATTGTAATTTATGAGAAAAAGACCTAATAGAATTCGTTAAACTTTTTTAAAAACATTGTTATCCAATATCTTTTCATTCAGATAAAAAATTCCAACAAAACCTATTAAAACAAATAAAAAGGGAAATATGAAAACCTAATCAGAGGATACTCTTAATTTTCTATTAGCACTTAACTCAGGTAACACCTAGGCAAAAAGAATAATTAAGTGAATAAAGGATAAACTCCCCCTCATTTTTAGACAGGATATGAATATTGTAGATATAGTATGGAAGTTGCATCAGAAAATTATTCTGCTGCTGAAATAAACTTTAATTAATGGAAAATAAATTTCCATGTTCCTTAATAGCCATCTTATGAAAAATGAAAAAAATTTCTCAATAATAATATGATGGTCATTACTTAATTATGATTTATGATTGATCTCACAAATAGGTAATGGATTGTGTAGCCTATTGAGCATGTTAGAAATGATTTTCAACTATACATATAAGGATTAGATATAATGATATGTAGAACTAGATGAAGTGTCAGGTTTGGCCCTTAGAAATTTTTTTTTAATTTGGAAAAAAATGATTTTTGAAGAAAAAAATGATTATTGAAAGAAAAATTCTATATGATATCAGATGGAAACATTTTGAGACTTCTATATTTCTTGTTTTATTCTTATTTTTGATAGTCCAAGCCTCGTCCATCCTTCAATCATACTTAGGCTAATTTTGAAAAAATTTAAATAAATGAATTGTTTGGATTATCCTGCAGTTAGCCAAATTGCAAGAGAAAGAACTATTTTTTTTCAAACCCTGTATATCGGGGCCTATACTGAGTGGAGCAATGTCACTACCCTTTCCCCTTGTTTTGTTTTCTATATTGCTTGTTTCAGCTGTAACACATGTAGCTTGTGTTTTTCCAGTTTTTTTTATTTCGAGTAGGACATAGGGGGGGGGGATGGGACCTCTGCCATCTTGTGTATTGGTCTTCATTCGCTATCGGTGAAAAAAAATTAGATAGTGTAAAGCTCAAATCTCCTTCTAATTTTCCTGTTCATAGTTTTTTTTTTCTTGTTGATCTTGTTTTAAGCCCCCATCTCTACTGTCAAGAGATTTCCCTTCCACTTTTTTTCTGTTCCATTTCTTTTTTCTTCTTGCTTCTTGTTTCTTGTTTTTACACTTTAAGGCCTTTCTGAATAGTTCTTTTGACATCGAGTTGTGGAGCAGGTAGGAGAGAGGAGGTTTGTAGGAAGAAGGGTGTAGGGGATTGCTCCCTGTGTTCCTTCATGTTATACTGTAACCCAGTTAAGGGGGATTAAGGAATTTACCCATAACTGCACCCCTTATGCAAAATGGGGAGTTTTGAGCCCTGAAAGCTCTCTTGAGTGCAATCTTCCATAGCAGTCCAGTCTTCACATCTGGTCGAGTAAAAAACCGGTATCGTTGTGCATGGCTTTTATACCCACGAGGGGTTAAACTCCTTCTTTCAGTGCACTAAGCTGAATATGAAGTTTTGTTTTAATCTATGTAGAATTCTTGCTTCCCTTGTAGGATACAAGATGCGTAACTAAACTCAGGAAATATGTGCTAAGGGTTTCATGTTTTTCTTTAAATTTGGTAAACTTAATTCAATATACAGATGAAAAAATATTTGTGAGATATAGTATAAGGATGAAATGTATTTGTGTAGATTAGTATTCTGGTGGTTGTGAGCGCCTCTTCTTGAATTATAATCCAGTTATTTCAAGTCTTTGTGTTCTTGTACTGCAGTGGAGGCATAATAAACATTTTTACAAGATCTAATAGAATTCGTTAAGAGTTAACAACCAACTTTTCCTACAGTACTTATTGACAAAACAAACTATTTTTTATGCTTTTTGTTAATTCTTAAGAACCTTTATGGATGTATAATCTAAAACTTGCTAACATTTTTAAAACCCAACACTACACACTCAATTAAAGTTTTAAACCATACTAATCCCTCTCCCTTTAATGAAGGTCCGAGCTGGAAACTCTTGTTCTGTGGATATTGAGATTAATGCTTGATACCGGTCTTTTGTTAATCTGCAGATTAATTTAATTTTTTTATCCTGTATGGTAATTGTTTCCATTCAAGGGTTGAAGGGAGCTTTGATCAGGAGAGGAATAACTGTAATGAAGCGATCAAACATTGATCTTCAAATTAAATGTGCCCACAGTGATTATCGAGCTCAAACGATCGGAATTATGAATATCCCAGACAAAAGTTGCCAACTGAGATTCTTCCACCCAATAAACAATGTTTGAATCTGAAAAATGTTTTATTTTAGAACTCCTGGTTGAATTTACGAGGTAAAGACGACTCATTAAACCTCTCCCTTGACGTACTTTACTCCCAGATGAGAACCTGCTTTGCGAAGGTAATACTCCAGATTAAGTAATCCATGTTTGTACCATGTACCATGTTAGTTTGACTATATAAAATCATAAATTAAGTCGAACAGTCGTCTTCATAAACCAAAGTTGTTATAGTCCATCACATGACCTTGGGAATATTTTTTGGACTGTCAGAATTTTTGAAAAAAAATCTTATGATAATTTCGATTTTTTTAAAATCCATAGAAAAAGTTAATTCAGCAACTTTTTTTGCTTTATTTTAAAATGAATCAGGGCCCAGGGGTTTTGGAAAAATGAAAGGGGGTATAGGCTGAAAGCTAATCACTTCAGCTCTCGATCTCGACTCATGAAAGTCATATCTGATGTTCCTGTCTCGAGAAATTGATATAAAACTGTGTCAAATCTATACGAAAATGAATATATATACAATTTTATATAAAAGTAGTAGGTTTAAACAGATCATATTCAGCAAATAAGCAACCAATCTGAAAACGATGATATCCCAGTCCCAGAGAAAGCTAATTGTAATTTAGGTTTACTTTTATATTTGTTGTATCTATTTTCAATAGATTTCATTCATAATATTATTTTTACGTCCGTATTACCGACCAGAAATTCCACCAATGGCAGTGCAGTAAAGTGGTCACTTGATACAGGTGGAGACACGTGACCAGTATACTGCTCTGCCATTGGTGATAGTTCTGGTCACGTGATTTAAGTTTCAGATTTTCAAAATTTTACATATATGAATTTTCGTATAATTTTGACACAGTTTTATATCAGTTTCTCGAGACAGGAAGATCAGATAAAACTTTCATGGGTCGCGATCAAGAGCTAAAGTGATTAGCTGTCAGCCTGTACCCCCTTTCATTTTTCCTTTACTGTCTCTTTAACTAAAAGTTGAACTAGATGATGAGCACGTTAAGTGCCTTGAAAGCCTTGTATAATATATATATGTGGATATGGTTAGATAATTTATATAACTATTCCTCAGTCAGAAGATATTGATATTTCAATGCAGCTTTTTATTAAAAGAAATTGGATAAAGTGTACACTGTACAAACTTAGTCTAACTTTAACAAGAATGATTTTCAATTTTTCAATTGAATTCAACATTCTGGAAATCCTAAAATTTTCTTTATCTTACTCTATTCTTTACTATTTTAGTTAAATTCTGCTAAACCCCTATCTCTGTTGATGCACGCATATGTTTTTACAAGAAAACGTAGGAAAAGTTCAAAAATTTCCCAGAAAATTGGATGGAGTAGTATTTTATCTTGGAGCTTGTTGTGAACTTGTAAACAGTTCTTAGAATTCGGGTCCTCAAGATCTAGATCAAAATCAACAACATTTTAGTTCTAGATCTAGATCTAGATCCAGATCCGTAAATTTTAGCTCTGGATCAAGACCTTTATTCGTAACATTTTAGCTCTTCGGATCTAGATCGAAATCAACAACATTTTAGTTCTAGCTCTAGATCCAGACCCGTAGCATTCTAGCTCTGGAAATAGATCCTTATCATTTAACAATATGAAGGATTCTTCTATGGACAGCTACGAAAGTAGAACCTTAACATTTCATAACAATATGACTAATCGCTCTAACAAATTATTTTTGAAACAGTACTTTTTGGATTGATTCTTTATTGATCCAATTGCATTTTTAAATACTTAATGATTTTCTAATTTAGGTTAAATACTCATACTTGGAGAATAGGAGACATAGAAGTGAAATAAGCACTTATTTTATAAAATGGAGTACCGTCTGCAAAGCATGTATAATCATATGGTAGGGCGAACCGCGTCAGTTGTCTCTCCCTTCTATTCCTTACTCCCTGGTCCCGGTGTATATATTTAACTCAGGTAGACACTAGACAAGTTCGGTCTCATGTATTTCTGTTTATTTTGATTTGAAAATTTAACTGAAATGAATAAAATTTTATTAACGATGTGACTTTTATGATTCCGATTTAATTTTAGAATTGATTTTTTAAATTTTTGAATTGATTAATTTTTAAATCGATAATTTGATTTTAGAATTGATTTATTTAATTTTAGAATTGATTTATTTAATTTTAGAATTGATTTATTTAACTTAAGAATTGATAAATTTGATTTTAGAATTAAATGTTAACTTAATTTTGATTGAGAATTGATCAAATTGATTTAAAAATTTATTATATTTGAGTTTATATTGATTAAATTTGGTTTAGAATTGATAAAGTTTAGTTTAGAATTGATCAAATTGATTTTAGATTAAGATTGCAGAGTAGAGGACAGCTGCAGGAAATGATACAGTTAGGTGAGAATATTCTTTGCTTCGTTACTTTTTCTTTTATCAGTATTTTATATTAACTAGCCTTATAGGGCGCTTCGCGCCCATTTTCTAAATTAATTGTGAACATGTTCTCTTTGTGTACATCGTAAAACAAAACAAAAATAATTCGCGGATTTTCACAAAAAATNTGCAGCTGACAAAGGGAAGTTCTCATTACAACAATGTCAGCAATAAACCTGCATAGATGGCCGATATCAAAAACAACTGAAATAAATAAAGAAACTCAAGAGCTGATATTAAAATACTACAAATTGCCTGATCAGCATCTCAAAACTGCATATTAACCCTCCTGGGGGGGCGGGGGTATGCAGCTAATTGAACGAGCATTACAGGACAGCCAGGAAACAAGAAGATTGGAAACATGATTATCTGCATTCTGCATTAAATACATGTATCAAATAATTTGTTTCATAAAAAAATTTAAAAAATAAATAAATTGATAAAGTTAAAAATATATAGATGTTGTTTTTTGAGAGGGCTCTCCAGGATTCACAACGGTATCGTTTATACCTTGGGTTGATAGATCATGGCAATTTCCTTCCTCGTCTATTTTTAGATAACCACGAGTCCAATTTAGAAAAAAACTAATTTGCAAAGTAGATTAATATTGTGTTGTATTGATAAAAGTCTTTTTTATGTATTAAGGAAATCTTAAAAGAAAAACATCTTGTCATTTCCTTTTACTTCCTTGCAACGAGTAATATTGATTTTTATACGAATACGATACGATTATTGATTATCTTTGGTAATATGACTAGAATATTCTGTGATGCCGGCACAGTTTAAACAAATATTCTTAGATTTGTCTCATCCCACACAGAACTAAGATAAATTGCACGATATCTTGTATGTTTTCAATCATTACTCTGTTAACTGAAGAGCTATTCAAAAGATAGAAAATGTTTAGAATTGATAATATGTCACCAAATAAATTTGCTTTTCACAAACTTGTGTGCTTAAAATCCAAGCTAAATAAGCTACTAGATCACAAAGTTGTTCCAGTGATATCCTTTAGTTTGCACTGATCCATAGGAATACATTTACTCCATATCCTCCTTCATAAATGACACTGTACTGTCTGCACAGTGTACACTGTGGTGTAAACGGAAATTATGTGAATATAATTTTTAGGGCAACTAAACGGTACATTAGCAAGGCCCTTCAAGAACAAATAATTTTGTAATTATATTTTGTTTTCTAGCTGAGCTGAAGGTATCAGAGGTTGAAGAGGCGGTTAACCTTTATATTAAAGTTGTCAGTTCAACAAAGGTAAGGGGGTCAAAACTTTTGTATTTTAAATTATTTTGTTCAAAATGCGCTGATCCGCGCTCGCCCTCAATTTAGTTGTGCAAAGACAAACTTATCTTTAAATCACTTCTTAATTATTTCTAGGTGGATTTTCCGTATAATTGGAACAAAAGTAATTTTCTTAATTTTTGTTCATAATATTAGTTCATAATTTTGAACAATATAATATTTACTCATTTGAACTATTAAATATGTAGTTTAAATTTTTATTTTTCATTTTATAGATACTTCTTGTTTTTGAATAATCCAATATCATTCGAAATTTGCTTTCAGGATTTAGCTCAAGATGCCACCACTGTTCTGGATAAAATGCGGGAAGAGGAGCGGGAATCCATTCAGAAAATTCAGCGCGGCATTATGCACATGTGCCGAGAAGTAAAGTTCCGCGGCGTTGAACTTGTAGATTTTGACAAATAACATTTATGTGTTTATTTAAATAAATTTATTTTTTGTCCATATAAGATGTTAAGATAACTGTATAGTGATCATCTGTATGTCAAAAATTTACTCAAGCGTCTAATTTATTGCAGTTACAAAATTTTTGTTTGTTCAAAATTAGTTAATAAGTTTAATTAGTATGATTAGTTTTCCAAGTGCGTATACAGTGGGAGAGGGGGCAAGGGAGGCAGTGCCTCCCCCTAGACCTGTGAAGGATAGGCGTAGCCACTAGCCCCCCCCCCCCCATTAGAACTCAGAGCTATCACTTCTTTAAATCTTAATTTAAAGTGTAAAGAACATAGATAAATAGTTTGCTGTTCCGAATTAGGGGTTCGATGGGAGCCCCACAAAAAAAATATATATTACTAGAAGTTTAAGGCGCCTTGCGCCCTTCTTTTTAGGCTTTTAGGGCGCTTCGCGCCCATATTCTTTTTAAATTGTGAACATGTTCTATTTAATAAAATTTTAAAACAAAGAAGAAAAAAATTTTGCGGATTTTAAAAAAATTCGTGGATTTTCAAGAATTTAAATTTTTTACAAAATTAGAAACCTTAAAAACACATTTTTTTAAATTTTTATAATTCATAAACCTTCCCTGTGGTCACGTGATGTCCCACAAAAAAATTGGGCCCGACCGGTTCTATTTCTGTATACGCCCTGGCAGTTTTCCATATTATAAAAAATTAATGCAGGCCATCCTTAATTAGAAACTTGGGTGTGTTCATTTCTAAGTAGTCAGGGTGTCCCCTTCTCCGAAGTCTGCATCTATATCCTAAATATTCATTTGTTGATATGTAAACACAAAAAAAAAATCAAATTCCGAAATTTGATTTGTCTGTTTTGTAACATCAGGAATAGTTAAGATTCTTGGATTTTTTCACGTGTTTAATAAAAAACAAAAGACGACATTTATTTTAAAAAATCTGATTCTCAGATTTGTTGGACATTGAATGTATTCAGAAAAAAATGGAAGTAATAATCTCCTATGAACGTCGAGGAGGAGAAACAAAATACTTGTTTTTTATGTCTAAACGACCCGACAAAAAAAAAATAATTTACTTAATTGTGCACTGGATGAAGAATGTAGTATGTTACAAAAGCTGGATACCAAATATACATTGAGCTGTCAAAGCCAAAATTTGGCGCAATTTTGATTTTAAATTTCACATATTTATGATATTCTCGAAGGGTGTGAATTTGATGAAGCTTAGGGAATAAATAAGATAACAAAGGTAAATTTAATTTATAGATTTTGCTTTCCATACTATTTGTATCTACTAGAAGGAATATAATAGCTCTTATTTGATCGTAAGAAACCTAATCTATTTAATGGAGTCTAAAGTTATATATTTCAACTACAGTAAATTACAATATAAGATAAGATAAGTTTAGAAAAGGAACAGTATAGCGGAATAACAATATCATACTAACGGGACTGTTCACATATTTTGAAAATAAAGATTTTCTGATCTGATCTCGTCGGTTTTATAGTTTTTCTATTATTCAATGAAGATATGTCTTCCCACGCAAACTTATGTTTTAACTGCATAGTCGTTAAAAAAAGGGTTTGTTTTAGTATTCCAATGAACTTAAAACACGGTAATTATTCAGTTCACTCGGATATATTTTATTAAAGTTGACTTTTTAAGCGTCTAGTTTAGCCAAGATTATATAATTATTATACAACCTTGAGTAAAACTCTAAAATGCACATTAGATTAATTAAACATCGTCTTCATATTTCACGTTTCACGCGTCTGCCTGTATATGAGTTCCTAGTTATCTGGACAACAGACCTTGGAATATCTTAAGCAGTTAGATGTCATATCTGTAAATTGATGAAAATGTTTGTTTTCAAATATGTTAACAGTCCCTTAACAGCTAATACATTTGAACTAAAGAAATGGCACAATAAGTAAAAATACTGAAGCAGCGTAAATTCTATATACTAATAATATCAATTTTGATATTGATAATATTAATATTCATACTAATATTTAAATAAATAAATAAATTCATAATATTAATAACAGTAATATTGATTTTATTGATAAAGAAAGCGTTAAACTTAAATACAAACATTATTAAAATCAAACGAACTCCAAAGCTAAGTTTCGTCAATTATGAATTATGTCGGAGTTTCAATCTTCTTGTACACACAATTCAAAAAATCTTATTTTCTAATTGTTAGATAAACGTTAAATATGGCTTAATTGTTTTATTAGGGAATTCTATCCAGAGATTAATCTTGTTCACGTAGCTTAGATATTTCTGATCAATCAGGGAGCTCAATTTATCAACCTGGCGGATCAATTGATTAGCCAGGAGGATCAATTGATCAGCTAAAAGGATTGATTAATAAGCTAAAAAGATTAATTAGTAAGCCTGCAGGATCAATTAATAAGACAAAAGGATTAATTGATCAGCTAAAAGGAACAATTAATAATAAGAAGGATTATCCAATCAGCCAAAGGAATCAATTAATAAACCATAAGGATAAATTGATCAGCTAAAAGAATCGATAAGAAAGCCAGCACAATTAATTGATCAGCTAAAATTATCCATTAATAAACCAGCAGAAATAATTTATCAGCTAAAATTATCCGTTAATAAGCCAGCAGAATTAATTTATCAGCTTAAATTATCTATTAATAAACCAGCAGTGTTAATTGATCAGCTAAAAAAATTAATAAGCCAGTAGGATTAATTGATCAGCTAAAAGAATTAATAAGCTAGTGGGATTAATTGATCAGCTAAAAGGATCAAGAAATGAGCCAGCAGGAATAAATGTTCAGCTAAAAGGATCGACTGATTGCTAAAGCAAGACAAGGATGATCCATTAACTTGGAACAAAGACACCTAAGATAAAATCTAGCTCTGATGTGCAGTGTGCACCACCTATTCTAAAATCTACCTGTTTATGCCTGTGCACCACCTATTATTCTAATCTAGCTGTGCTATGCCTGTGCACTACCTATTATTCTAATATCTAGCTGTGCTGTGCAGTGTGCAGCACCTTAGCACTAAAAATATCCCGAAAAAGTCCTATTATGTCCCCTGAGCGGAAAACTTTAGAATGGTGGATATCGAGATCAATGCTTAATCCTCTCTTTTTGCTAATCTTAAGACTAATTTAGTCTCTAGATTAATTTCTAGAGATTAGAGATGCGCTATTTAACTTTTGAAAAACCGGTTTTTAATTTTCCCGCATTTTTGGTGTCAACAATTGGACAAATGATCGATTGAACGCCCATAATTTTGGGATTAATGTTTATTATGACTAACGTTTAAAAGGACGTAAGTCCTCAAATGTGATAAAATGTGTTTTTAATAAGTTCATATTAACATGATTAAATTTATATTGGTTTAATTGCTCTAAAAGCCGGCTTGTGAACAGCTGACTTCAGTTTTATCGATATAGCATCGTATCTGTCTTTGAAATCAAACGTATTTTATTAGATGTAGTAGGAAATTAAAAGAAAATTAAAAGTTTCCACAGCTTGGATATATCAGATTAAGCTAAGCGATCAGGATTAAGGTATCCAATTCTAAAGTTTTCAGCTTTGGTAAAAGTAAAGATGGCGCCCAATTTCTAAAAGTATAAATATAAAGTTTATCGTGACAAAACATCAAGTATATAGATTCCATCTAGATGATTGTCAACCGAATTTTAGAAATTTCAAAAAACTTTTGTAAAAACGCGACTCAGCAATTTTTTATGTATTAAGGACTTAATCGCCAATTACAAAGTTTTCACTGAGAATTACCGGTTCAGTCGCTTAGATCAGCGCCGTTCTGTAAAAAATATCCACCTCGGAGGGTTTCATCAAATTCATTTGCTTTGAATTGATTAAGATTAGAAAATGGTTCTCAATCAATTGAGATCAATCTTCAGCTTAAATCACCAAACAAGATTACAAGAAATTTAAACGCGAAGAAAATTTTAACACGGATAAGTTAAAAATTTTAGATATTTCGAAACTTACATAATATTTAAGAGGTTAGAAATATCAAGATTGTCAACTTTAAATTAAATTAGAAATGCAAAAAAACTACAGGGTGTCCCACGAAACATGACAGTAGCAAGTCTACTCTTGAAACAGTCAAATTTCTCCTAGTCCTGGTATTTCCAAAATGTCGTCTGCCTTTATTGTGCTGTCAATATTACCGAAGATATTAAAAATTTGGTTCAGATTTTAATTTTTGTTAAATTTAACCAAAATGGTCGAAATCTGAACGAAATTCTTCTTATCTCGGGTTTGAATAGGGGTATTTTGTGATTACTATCTACTTCTAAAATTAGGTTGACAAATAAATGCAGCAAATTAGGTAAGGTAGACGGCGTTCAAGTCGTCTTGCTACTGTCATGTTTCGTGGGACACCCTGCAGAAGCGTACAATGATACAACGATACAATGCTTGTATCATATACATACAAATAATTAAGTTTTAAGCTTTACATATAATATAAATTTCATAAATGGCACTTGGTTTCTTTTATGCAATTGTCAAATTGTAAGAATAATTGTGAAATTCAAGTAATTCCATGCAAATTTTATATAATTATGTTTAACATGAAATAAATTATTTTATTTATCAGATTTGTTAAGCTAAGCTTTTAAAAAAGAATGCAGGACATGCCATAAAAACATTAAATACGATTCTCAGAAAGCTAAAATTATTTATGTGAAATGTTTGAGTCGGAAAGGGTCTGTTATTGAAATAGTAGAGTGATAACCAGAAAACTCTGGAATAGGAAGACGACATTTAAGCGATATTGAAGTGCTTTTGATGCTGTTGCAAAACAAATAGTTTTACTAGTAAGTTGTTAAATTACTTATTAAGTAAAATGAGTCTGTTTACACTGCACAATTGCTGTGCTTTATGTTCATTGGACTATTTAAAATCTTAACTTGAGTCTAAAAGTCGACTTCTTATTCCAGAGTTTTCTGGTTATCACTGTATAATGACAGTTCTTGGAAAGATATGGACTAACGAGTATGGATTGTTGGATTAAAGGAAAATAGGAAAATTTATGGAAGGAATAAAAGAGGTTTCAAGTTTTAAGAATTGTATTTAAATAATATTTGCATAACTATTTAAATCTGAATGTTTCCTTATCTTTAAATTACAGTAAAATTAAAATGACTTTTATATTTAAGAAAATGTTTTGGACGAAATAGAAGATGTATTCAAAATATTTCAATCTCCTTCAGGTTAACGAATAAATAATTTATTCTCCTTGTTCTTCTTGCTTCTTATTTATCATCTGACAAAACTCCCTAAAATAGAAAATAGATAAAAATTGAATTACAATTTATTGATGGGCTCGGTGGAACCGCATTCGGAAATTTTTAAAGGCTTCAAAATTTTGATATTTTTTGAGCAGCTACACATTATTTAGCTTATTTCTACACAATTGTGAGCTGTGCCCCGGCAGTGCAGTTGTACGATTAATGACTTTAATTTCTAACGAAATCCTGAGCTTTAAACATAGTTAGAAGATAAGGTAATCCAGGAATTATAGTTTCTTCTTCTTCTTCTTCTACTTCTTCTTCTTTTTCTTCTTCTTCTTCTTCTTCTTCTTCTTCTTCTTCTTCTTCTTCTTCTTCTTCTTCTTCTTCTTCTTCTTCTTCTTCTTCTTCTTCTTCTTCTCACATTGAAAAAAGGTCTTCCAATGTTTTCATAAACTAATATTGTGAAAAAATGGTTACATTTATAAGAGTAAGAAAAACTCAAGGAGGAAACAGGCTCAAAATCTCCTTTTTAACTCTTGAAAACTTTAAGGCTGAAACTTTTCAATTTATTCGAAGGAAAGTGATATTTTGAGGAATAGATGCTGCTTTAAATGGAATTTTCTGGAGAAATTATTATTCTATAATTTTAATATTTATATTTAAAATCTGTAGTTTGTTAAAGTGTAACTGTATCTAAGGTTATACTAGAACATAATAAATCCTGAAATTTTTCAAATCTAGAACACTGCACTGAATATTAAGAAGAAAACTCCAATATTTAGCACCTAGCTGTTTTCTCAGTATAATGTACTATTATAACTTGTGAATCGAATTTAATATCGGGTCGTCTTTGAAGCTTTTAAATGCCCAAGTCTTAGGGCTGTGCATACTGTGCACTATGTACTGTGTGCTGAATATTATGTACTGTGTACTGTGAACTGTTTACTGTTTACTGTGTACTGTGTACTGTGTACTGTGTACTGTGTACTGTATACTGTATACTGTGTACTGTGTACTGTGTACTGTGTACTGTGTACTGTGTTCTGTGTACTGTGTACTGTGTACTTTGTACTGTGTACTGTGTACTGTGTAATGTGTAATGTATACTGTGTACTGTGTACTGTGTACTGTTTACTGTGTACTGTGTAATATGTACTGCGCAGTGTACTGTGTACTGTGTACTACCTGTAGTCTAGTTTATCATCTCCGGTTTTATCAAACTTCTGGAACGCCATCTTAACCTAAACATTTTTTTTTCATTTAGTTGTTAAAGGGAGTGTTCGCAAAAAATGAAGGGGGGTGTAGGCTGGTATCGAATTGAATTCGATATATTGATCGCTACTAACTTCTTTCTGTTCAATCTATAATGAGAATGCTTAAAAATGTCTTGTACACAAGAGCATGGCGTCATTATAAATTCACAGAATTGAGCTGAAAACTTTAGAATGGAATATACTTAATCCCGATCTGTTAATTAATCTGGAGGTTAATAACAAGAGGAGAACAAGATTTATTTAATCTGGAGATTCAGAAAAAGAGTGGATCAAGCATTAATCCCGATATTCACTATTGAAAAGTTCTCAGCTCTGCATAAGATTGTAAATAATTAAATTAAATTAAAAGACTAATCATTCTGATATTACAACCTATAAATGTAGAATTCAATTTGATGCATTCGTATATATAAATATATATATATATATATAGTTGATATTTTATAATATATTTTTTTTATTTTGTTTATAATTAATATTTTGTTGAAAACTAGTTTTAACGGCAGGCGCTGGATTTTCGAATAATCCTGGAAAATATGAAAATGTCGTTTTCGTTTCGTCAAAACCCCTCGAAATTTCAGGAATAAATGTTTTCATAAGTAACTTTCAGGACATATAAAATCTAAATAATAAAAATCTTTGCTCATAGTCATATATGTATGTATTTGTATATTTTTATATATCTTAGCTATAGCTGGCCAAACTACTGGTCCAAATTGACTGAAATTTTTTGAGGGAATACATGGGTACCCTTTTTTTTCGGTGTTTAAAAACTACACGGGCAACGCGGGCACTTCAGCTTGTAAAAAGGAACCATAGGCGCAATCTTAAGTGTAGAATGGTTTGTCTTATTAACAAGGGTCTTTTACACATTTTCCGAGGAAGGAGAACATTATTTCCCGGAACTATATTTTTATCTATAAAAAAGAAAATCTGCGCATTTTTTATCAGACAAGGGTTTAAAGGGTATCGTTGTAAATCGTACATGCTTGCACATACATAAAGGTGTACTTATGATATTTAAAATAAACGGGCTGCCGTAGCACATTTTAATTTCCTAGCCGGGTCAACCTTTTCGGTCCCAGTTTGTACTGTACATAACTCTATGGTTAGGACTAGCCGGCGCAACAAGGTTGACGCGGTCTGGCTTTATGCTTCATATAGGTTGAATTTACTTTTACCAAAGGGGCAGATTTGCGTGAGTTATATTGTCTACAGTGCCTTTAATTAAAAAAAAACTATAGACTAATTTACCTGGTCAGAACTCAGATTTTTGCAGATGGAATTGAACTCCTGAAACAGTTGTGTTTAGTTCATGGTTATCCTTTATTTTTAAATAGCTAGGGAACCCAGCGCTGCTTAGGCTACTTTTAGTAACTCTCGCCGCTTACCCGCACTTGGACGATTTTACCGGGAAAATAAATGTTCGTTATTAAAGTCCACCGACCCAACATAGTCCCGTGACTCTCCTGATTTCCCTAATCAAAATGAGAGACAAATCGGTCTAATGGTTCCTGACCTATGATCGGACAAACAAACAGACAGGCAAACAGAGATTACAACTTTATTTACATAGATACAGGTTTACCCACAAAGGATGAGACTTCAGAGACGACTGTATGGAATTAATGCTATCTTTTTCTTTTTTATGTATATAAGTTATTCATAACTATATATTTGGCTATAGGATGCTATGCATATCTTCTATTGGATTAATAAATTAGGTTGCTTCCCATTGTTGGTAAATCCTGGTAATCTGTTACAATGTAAATACTGAATAATATTACAACCGCTCACATATCGCAAGTGAGCTTTTTTATAAGGTAAAACCCTATTACATTAAACTAAAACAAACAAACAGACAGAAAGACAAACAGAGATTTTAACTTTATATAAATAGATTATATATTTTCTACCTCTTTTGTAACCACCCCATCTCCATTTTTATCCATTGATTTGAACAGCTTTTCTATTGTTGACTCTTCTCCCATAAACTCCTGAAACACACAAACATTAGAATTCATTTATAAAAGTTGCTTTGTCTGATTCACAAAGGGACCCTAAGTTTTCAACCTTTGCTTGAACAAAATCCATTGAGTTATCGCTGTTCATGCAGCAGAAAAAAAAGAAAGGAAAATAAGCGAATCTATAACTTTTGAGACAGAAAATGACGATATCTTCCTCATTGTTAATCAGGGACCTAATAAAGGGTACCGTTGTGAATCAAGCTGCATATATGTAACGCTGTAAATTGAAAGTTATTATATCTTAGTTGAATCTATATATATCCCTAGTAACATGTTTATCAATGTTTCTTTCATGTAAATTGTTAACAATGTAATAAAATCCTTAAATTGCAGAATAGACTAATTTAGAATATTTAAAGAAGAGTGTTGCCTCAAAAGATAATCTCCCGTCGAAATCTCTGTCCATAGTCTCAAAAAACTCCTCAACTTCTTCCCTGCAACAAACAAATTAATAAATAGATAAATAATCTAAAATTTTGATTTCAAACAACTTTTGTAACTCGAACTTGACTTTAAAGAAAACAAATACTTCAAAATTAAAATTAAAAATTAAATACTTCAAAATTTAAATTTAAATTTAAATTAGAATTAAAAAAAATTAAAATTAAAAAAGAAATTAAATCTATAAGTTTTAAGAATAAAAGTTCCAGTAATGAATCATTCTTAAAGTAAACAAGAAATAATTGATAACCAACCTAGAACATGAAAGCTAAATTATAAATATTTGATAAATCAGAGGTCTAGACTTATGAGTCAGATCTCGATGTTCACTGCAATCAAGTGAATACTTCTAAATCAAAGGGATAAGTGCTTGATTCTTCAATTTTTTTAAGAAAGAGTATCTATATGAAACCCAGTATCGGACAGTATCACGAATGTAGTATGGCAATTTTGAAGATGTAATTTTTTTGTAAAAAAGATTTTGTTCATGGTTAGTTTTATATTCTCTTTCTATTTTATAACTTTAATCTTACTCTACACAAATGTATATTTCCCAAAAAGGAAACTCGGGAGTTTCGTTAGAAGTATAAGGATATAAGGATTCATCTCTAACTGGATAATTAGATAGATAGATGATACTGCAATGCAATTTCTATTGGTTCAGAATAAACACCAAACACATTACTAAACCCTGATTGGATTAGGCGCTAATGGAAAATAACAGCAAAATAATCTTACATAGTAGTTGGTACTCCGGAGCTATTCAGAACTCTAAACCATTCCTCTTTAGTCAGCTTTCCATCCTTGTTATTATCCGCTCGGTCAAAGTATCTTCGAACCTACATTTTATAGATGTTTATGTTTATGTTTATGTTTATGTTTATGTTTATGTTTATGTTTATGTTTATGTTTATGTTTATGTTTATGTTTATGTTTATGTTTATGTGATAAATCTTAAATTATGTCGAAAAATCGCAACTATAATTAATTTGAGAGTGTTTTCCTTAGGTAAAATTTGGACGAGTTATTGTAAAATAAAAATTAATTAAATTACAAAATAATTTTCTTCAACAATTTTAATAAAATACGAGAGAAATTAACTGTTAAATCATGTTTTGATTTTTTTTGATTAAAAGATTTATCACAAAATATATTTAATTGTGTTGTAATAAAGTCATATTTTCATAATATTTCATTTTATTTTTTCTTTCCCTTTAGAGAATTTGTTATCCAGTCAATACATAATCCATCCTTTATTCATTATTCAACATTTATTCACTTTATATCATTTTCAATCTTTTTAACGTTAGTTGCAGTATTTCGTTTTCATTATTATATTGAATTTCTAATTTTCTTTGAATATATTCGTAGATTTCTTCAAATTCTTCAAATGTCGTCTTTTCAATAATAATACCCCTTCCCACAAGACAACCTACCCCCTTCCCACTCCCTATACCTCCTTCCCACAAGACAACCTACCTCCTTCCCACTCCCTATACCTCCTTCCCAAAAGACAACCTAGACAACCTACCCCCTTCCCACAGCCCACTACCTGCCCGGTGTCCCCTTCCTACCCCTGGCTCACCTCTCTCCTTCTCCTTGCCTCTTCATGTGGCCCAGCCACACAATTATTCTTGTTGAAAAATCTGGCCATTTTTCTGAAAATATTTTAATTTGCAAAAGTAAAAATCAAATTTAACAAGGTGACAGTAAATCTATCTATTAGGACATCCCAATAACACAAATGTTACCAGGAAACCACCCCTCCCGGCAACCCTCCGCCTCCCTTAGGAGTACTTGGGTCACAGAGTTAGCATGACATGTGCAATGATACTGTTATGCCCGAGTGGAAGTAGCCGAAGCCGTGAAGCCCCAACTACAGAGGCTTGTATCTATAAAAGTTTAAAATTTTATTTAATTTTTCTTACTAATTTTTTAAGCAACGAAAAAAATCTGCAAAATTGAATGAAAAAGTTCGTATAAGGAAAAAAACGTCCGTGTTGTGTAAAAAACGTCCGTATTGTGTAAAAAACGTCCGTATTGTGTAAAAACGTCCATATTGTGTAAAAAATGTGTTTATTGTGGAAAACACGACCCTACGATGGAAAAATGTTTTAAAATGAAAACTGGGAATATACTGAGTAAATATACTTTTATTTGATGTTATTTTATCATCTAACTCAAACTTCAACTTATTTTATTTAAGTTTTAATATAGTTTTCTTCGGTTCGTAGAACACATCCAGTTCCAAGCTCAAGTTCAAGACGAATCCTAGCTCTGAGCTAGGATATATATATATTTATATATATAAAACAATGTATTTGAACTGCTGTCCTATCTTAAAAGGCATTGAAAAGGGTCAGCTTAAAAAACATTACCTAATAAAAATATGGACTTCTTTGTGTTTACCACAAATTTATACAGATAAATCCGCCAAAAAATGTGTTTATCGGAGAACAATGAAAAAGTTGCAACAGCTATATATATATATATACATATAACAGCTAAAAGCTAAAACTGTTCCTAGAAAAGGATAAAAGCCTAGCATTTTTAGAATGCACGTGAAAGTTCTAAGAATCATGAAATTGTAAAAAAAAATAATAAAACAATCGAATATTTGATCATGTTATTTTTCAATAAAACACTTTAAAAAAATGTATTGCCTTTTCTCATCTTACTGTTTTTGTCAATACTAGGCTTTTAGGGCACTTAGCCCCCTTTTTCTTTAAGCAATTTAAGCTTTAAACTTTGAAATTCTCTGAATTGCTGAAGTTTGAAAAAAAACATTTCGACCTTTTTTTTGGGCAATTTCTTTTTAACTTAGACCTGCCATAAACCTTCCCTGAGGTCATGTTAGTAGCCTCAAAAATTTAGGCTTTATCCAAGTGTATCTAGGGGCTGGATCCTAGTGTATCTAGGGGCTTGATCCTAGTGTATCTAGGGGCTGGATCCTAGCGTATCTAGGGGCTTGATCCTAGTGTATCTAGGGGCTTGATCCTAGCGTATCTAGGGGCTTGATCCTAGTGTATCTAGGGGCTGGATCCTAGCGTATCTAGGGGCTCAATCCTAGTGTATCTAGGGGCTCAATCCTAGTGTATCTAGGGGCTCAATCGATTCAGCCATTTGAAGTTTATTGGATACATACGGGCTCAAACAGACAAACAGACAAGCAAAGTATATATAATGTCTTTAGATGAACTCTCTCTCATAAGTTCTTTATTTTACGACGCGTGAAAAATCCTGGAATAAGTGACAGACTTAGATCATCTAAACCCCCTTATATTTTACAGCGAAAGCTAGGAACCAAGGCTGGCTTTTATACAACATTGTTTGCTCTATTATTAAGAGTAAATATTTGCCTGCAATATTACAGGTTAGAAATATCTATCTAAAGATTATATTGTTGTAAAAATAGAGAAAAAGTTTGAATTGGTTATTTATGAATTGTCTATTATTAAAATAATTAGAAAAGGTATAACAGTCGAATATTTCGCAAAATACAAAATTGTTTTATTAAAATATTACAAGCACATTTCGATTTTAATTGTCCCTTGGGATACAAAATTAATTCTTTTTCTTCCCGGCCCCTGGAGTTTTGTAAAGTATAACTTTACATTACTAGCTATTACTAGCTATATATCATAAAATATTATAAATATTAACCTTAAATGAGTGCACTTTCACTGCACTGTGTATTAATATTAATATCGATGGCAATAAACTAGAATTACTTTTTATGTTGAAATAAATTTATGATTATTTTCAAAAATTTTTTATGAAACTATTGTGTGCTTTATCATTATTACTCACTTCATTGTGATTTTCATAATGAACGTGCTATAAGTAATCGTCGTGCTATAATAAAAATTTGTCAATAAATCAATGCTACAATCGATTATTTCGTTTTCATTATTATATTGAATTTCTAATTTTCTTTGAATATATTCGTAGATTTCTTCAAATTCTTCAAATGTCGTCTTTTCAATAATAATTCTAGAAAATCTGCGAAAATCTTTGTGAATAATAAGAAACCAGAATAAAAGAAACTAATAATTGAACAAGATTACTTATTTTCGATGATAAGATTTCAATTTCATTTTCTCAACATGTTCCTATACATGACGTCTGTAGTTTATTGTATTTAATATGTCTGAAATGAATCCGAAAGAGATTTTCCACAACACTGCATACTCAGTTCAACTACCTTACATAGTCGGTCACTCCCTTTAACACTTTTATTTTGGCACGACGAACCAAAATAACAGTCTTATAAATAGTTATTACAATAAAATGTCAGGTTTCAGGAAAATTTTATCTCGTCATGAATCAAAGGTAATATACAGCAAATATTGTTGAACTGGGAAGACACAGCTGAAGAAACACTTCTCTTGAACAGTGGTTCATGTAGGCATATAGGCAAAAGTCAGATTCCTTTTACAGAAACTTTTAATATTTTTAGACTTTTAAATGTTTTACGACAATATGAGAAGGTTCCAACATTTTAAACTTTTATTCTGTAGAAGTTTGCTTATATTAAATTTGTTACCTGGAAGAAAATAAAAGGAAAAACGATCGTTTTAAATCGACAATTTTTTGGGTTTTAAAACGATAGTGTTAGGTTAATTTTTGCCTTATATATTCACCTCGTATAACAAATTTGCATGTTTAATAAAAGCAAACTTCTACAGAATACAATTTAAATATTTGGATCCTTCTCAGATTGTCGTGAAACCTTTTTAAAGTCTAGAAATATTAAAAGTTTCTGTAAAATTAATCTAGCTGTTGCCCCACTATAGTTTCAGCAGAAGATAATTTTTTTATTTAGTGCATAGCGCCGATTTAAGGATTGATCTCTAATTGGATGATGAGATAGATAGAAAGATAGATGTTACCGCCACACTATTTCAATTGGTTCAGAATAAACACCAAACACATGACTTAACCCTGATTGGATCAGGCACTAATTGGCTCGGCATACAAGAGTGGACCATCGCTGGATTCAAGTCAAAGAGAAGAGACTCAAGTTAATCTACTTAGTTCCAATTCTTCGACTTATTCATCAAATTTTATTTTACCAAAAATTCCCAATATGGCGTTTATATCAATAATAAATGTTCCGAAACGTAGATGTTTTAAATTTAACCGCGCCCTTCGATCCAACTTAAATTCCCCAATTGTTTTTAAAAAATCTTTGCAAATGATTTTTTTCCCAAAAGGTATTTGAGCATCAAAGCATTCGGTCATTGAAGTATAATGGAGGAATCATGGATAATTTGGAATTAGAATTTGAATCCTTCCTTGATCTTCAACTTTAAATCAGTAGTTCAAATTTGAACCGGCATCAGTTAATAGATCAGCGTCATATCTCAAATTCATTAAATTCATTCTTTGAGGTTCCTATATTTCAGTTGTATATTCTGTAAAATAATAATTATGGTAGACAGCAAACATATATATATATTGTTTACTATCTATTAAGGGTTTAATGTCTTGCAAATAACTCATTTCTTACGTAATTGAGTAAAGGCTAAACAAAGATAGCTTATTACTCCTCATATATCCTTCCCCCCCCTTTGAAATTTTCTTATTCCGTCACCCCCCCCCCCCACCAAGCTCATGCACCCCCGTAATAAACTTATTCTAGTTTTAAACCCTTTTCCAGTGCTTGTTTCCTTCAGTACAAATCAGTACATTATAGTACATTATAGTACCCAATAGCATGTATTATAGTACCCAACAGTGCATTATAGTTCCTAACAGTGCATGATAGTACCCAATAGTACATTTCTACATTTACTACATTTTAACCCTTTCTTACATTTCTACATTTTTTATACAAACCTATTTTACATTTATAGTATGCAAAGAATCATGCTTTATGCCTTACGGGCTGCAAAAAATGTAATTAACTATTTTGAAGATTTTACAATATATGGAACCCAGGAAACTGTGGAATATGAAGACGACTTTTAGAATTAAGGAAGCGTGCAGACCCGTTTTACATTAAACTATTTGCTTTTTATCTACATCAAAACTCATCAGATTTCTTAAACAAACATTAAACAATGAACAATGAACAGTAAACAATAAGCAACGAACAATGAACAATGAACAATGAACTAAGAACAACAAATATTAAACAATTAACAATGAACAATGAACAATGAACAATGAACAATGAACAATGAACAATGAACAATGAACAATGAACAATGAACAATGAACAATGAACAATAAACAATAAACAATAAACAAACAATGAACAATGCACAATGAACAATGAACAAACATTAAATAATGAACAATGAGCAGTGAACAGTGAACAGTGTCTCATCGTATAAATTACAAATTTTGGAAACGGAATTGCTCAGTAAGATTAGTAAAGATTTGTCTAAGCAACCTAATCTTCCATCAATGAAGAATGAAGAATGAACAATGAACAATGAACAATGAACAATAAACAATAAACAATAAACAATGAACAATGAACAATGAACAATGAACAATGAACAATGAACAATGAACAATAAACAATAAACAATAAACAATGAACAATGAACAATGAACAATGAACGATGAGCAATGAACAATGAACAATGAACAGGATAGGATAGGATAGGATAGGATGGGTTTTCACTTTATTGCATGTATTGTTA